CTTTCTAACGCCCCCCCCCCTTTTACCCCCCCATCCGCCGACTTCCCCCCCTAACTTAGCCGGGGGGTCGCCGACCACCAGCGAATCCTCACTGTTGTATGTTTTTTTTTTGGTCTTCTTCCAGGTGTTATTCGAAGAGAGAGATTGAGAGAACTCCTTTGACTTAGTATATCAATCATTGATATTATAACATGCTACTCCTCTCAAATCAGTACGACGGATCTTTTTTAGCTCTTTTGTCGTCTAACCTTTGCCAAGCACATCATGCCAGTATTTTAGACAAGGCACTGATTTGTGTCTTTGGTTTCAAACGCTCAATCCCAAGAAAATGTCTGTTATAGATTTTGAGACCTTTCGTAATTTTTAAAGAAAGCTAGCTTTCAACCAATCCGTAACCTCCAGTTCTTGCTAAGCATCAACTGTAGCCATGTTATATGTGTCATTCCAGTATCGTGAAGCACCCACAATTCTTCCAACAAGTCGATAACCCATAGCGTAGATAACAGGCGATTCGTCGAATACACTTCATTTAGCCTGTGCCGGATCTGGTCGCGTTTGAATGCATCTGAGGATGTCATTTCTGCCCCAGCACTCATCAATGGTATGGTTTGGATATTCAAATAAGGCGAGTTTGACTTGGTTTGCAATAGAAGTTCAATAATGTCGACTGCGAGATCGTGCACGTAGTTCTCATTTTCTACCTGCGCAGACGGAGAATTCTTCCAAAGTTCGTTCAATGACTTGCCGGAATTGAATTGTTTCGTTATTGGAAAGGTTGATCAATATATCGTGGATTGTTGGGTTGTCCAAGATTTGGATCCCAGATATTTCCGCCATTTTGGGGTTCGGAGTGTTGAAAAAGATTTGAGAAAAGCGTCGAGTAAGATGATAACTTAGTAGTCCATGGAATCTCAGCATATAGGAGACGTGAGAAAAACCGAGTGGGCTTGTGGAAAGAATCCGAGGCTTCTTTTTATGGCATACAGCGGGTACAGGAGGCAACTGGTGACGAGCCTGTTGTTAACCATCTTCGGCTCGGTATGGCTTCCGAAACACCTCAGAGTGGTGTTTGTGGGCGATCAAGTTTGACCGTGAAGTGTGAGGTGTATCAGCAGAGGACCGAAGATCATAGTGGAGCCCCTCGCGTTCTGTCCGAAACGGGCAACTTCTTAATCGGATGGATGACCCGACCTAATTCCCTGCTATCAGGCTGCAAAACCCCTTTTTTAAAAAAAGAAAAAACTTTATGTATAACATACGAAGACTACCTCTGTATCTACTTAAGTATAATTGACAATCCGCTCAACCAGACTAACACATTGCCTGGTATCCGGAGTATATCAGAGAGTATATCCAACATCATCGGAATTTATGTGAGGGTCTCATATTCCTGCGAGCACACCTGCGATATGGCACGAATCACCATAGTTGGGTCTGGGTAAGATTTGCTCTTGTTCTCACGCTTGAAATATTTACGTAGGAGATCCTGAAGTCAAAGATATAGCTAATTTTGAAGCATCTCTAGCATCATCGGCCTGGCTATCGCAACTCAACTTTCCCGCCAGCACAAGATCACAGTGATAGCAAGAGATATCCCTGGCGATGACCCGTCAGTATAATGGGCCAGTCCTTGGGCCGGTGCCAATTTCGTCCCGGGCTATTGCTCCGAACCTCGCGACCGAATGATGCAACGTGATACGTTTGCCGTGCTATGGAGATTGGCAATAAGACACCCGGAATCTAGCGTGAAAATGATTCCAATGGAGGAGATCTTCGATGATGAGAGGACTGATGACGATCTTTGGTATAAAGACTATATGCCAAACGTACAGGCAACACCTTCATCGCTGAATGTAGCTCCTGCTGACTGAATTATAGTTCCAATTCCTACCGAAGGATCGGCTCCCAAGTGGAGCAAAGGGTGGAATAACCTGTGGGTCTAGTCTCACCTAACCCTTTACTAACGCGCTGACTAGTATAGACACCACTATTGTCCTTGACCCAGGCATCTTTCTCCCTTGGCTGAAACGGAATCTCGAATCTTCGGGTGTGGACTTCAAACGTATGACTCTGCACTCTTTGTCAGATGCCTATCACCTTGGCCATGACATTCTCATCAATGCCACTGGGGCTGGTCCTATTTACTTGGACGATATTCAAGATGATAATATGGAGCTCCTCAAAGGACAGATCATGATCATCAAGAGCGATTACAAAAAATGTTTCATGCGCGACGATGGCAAAAACTACACTTATGTCATACCTCGTCTTGATGGTAAGGTAATTCTTGGAGGTATCAGAGACCCCGATATACGGTAGGTTGAAATATCCCTTAGGGACCTCTTTCAAATTGGCGACTAATAGCGATTTATATCAATAGAAATAGTGCGGTCGACATTGAGGTCGATAAGGATGTGAGTTGTCCAACCCTTTTTAAGATAAATAAGAACTCACACTTACACCGTTAAGATCGTGAGAAGGATCCACCGCAGCCTTCCTGAACGGTTCTCTATAGATCTGTCAGATTACGACATCGTGGGGCACAATGTATGCATTCGACCGTACAGATCTTCAGGGATGCGTATTGAGAATGAAGTCAAAGATGGTCAGAAAATCGTCCATGCTTATGGTACGTCGTGTATAGTGCGGACGCCTCTTATTGGAACTATCGAAGGCTGACAAGGTCTAGGTATTACTGGTGGCGGTTATATCTTTAGTTTTGGCGTGGCGCGGGAGACTGCAAAACTGGTTAATGAGTTCCTGTTCCAAAGCGGGAAAGCTCATCTTTAATCTGCAGCTAGCAATTCTGTACCTTAAAGTGTTGGGCACAGTTGGTATTGTTTATTTGGCAAAAGTTCCATATATACACACAAGATTATGTGCCTTAATGGAGCTAAGCTAGGATGATATGCTGAGCTTCTCCCCAAAGCTATGAATCATGCAATTTGTGGAAGCCGACTTTAGATGGAGGGCAACACTCTCCTTGAACAAAACACCTGAAAATTTGTATAGAGAAAGAGGATTTTCTTCGTTTTTTGAAGGCCATGTATGGTAATTTCACTTTATACGCCCTCAATTATGCCCGGCTGTTGACTCAAAGTAGAAGACGAAGAGGTCCTGACAACGGCTTCTGATACAAAAAATAAAAAAACAAAAGAATTTTTACACGCGCAAGACAGCCTCAAGATTCACGGTAAGTTATACCAAGACGGCTCTCGACAGTCCTCAGTCTATCCGAAGTCCTGCGGTGAGCCAGCTGACTAGCTACTCGATCTCTCTCAAGCGCACCAATCGAATGGGTAACTTGGCGCAAATCCCTTTCCAGTTGATGCACCCGTGCTGCCAATGGCGAGCAGCAAATGTTTATGAGCGTAATGATTGATGTGACCAACGTACAAGTGATTTGGATCACAGTTGCCACCTCTGTAAACCAGGCAGGGGGGGTCGCAGTTGGAGCGGAGGCCTTTGGGCCCACAAAAGACGGAGGGTCTCGAAGTGATCTCCCTAAGCCAGAATATTAGCATTCAGTCCTTGACAATATCTGAGACTCCTGGTCATGCTCAAAATCCTGCTCGATAGGAGAAGATCCTTCCAATACAGTGAAGGATATTCCCTTAAAGCCCAGGACGAACGAGTCATGTTCATCTCAGTAGGCTGGGTGAAAAGTTGTATAGGGGACATTGACTTACAGTTAGCCAAGTCCTTGTGGTCGCGGATTTCAGCAAGCGCGACAAGCTCGGGAACCGCCTCTTTGTTCTTGTCGCTTAGTTTCGCTGATGAAACATTGTCAGTAAATAATTCGCAACTCCCTCACTCTATTTCCTAGGGCCATTGTGTATAGCCTCTGTTGTACTCTATGACCACTTCCCGAAAAGACAAGGAGCTTGCATCGGACACAGAAGCGATACACGAGGGCCTAGGGAAAAGCCTGTTGTGGAACTCATCAACGTACCGAACAGAGGACGGTTGGTGTCGCAGAAGTGAGCGAGATTTGTTAGGACCGACTCGAGGGGGGCAGGTTGGCGCCCAGTTGGAATAGCTCCCACTCTGGAGAGCACAATGACCTAAGCAGTGAATCTCTGTTAATACTGCAATGAGAACGCGGACCAGGGCGGAGGGTGGTCTCACGAAGGCCAGCATCGCCAGAAACACCACGTGATTGAGGTAACGCATGGTGTTGGGTTTATAAAAAGGCTGGTTTCGGGAGAATTGGGCGTAAGCAGAGAAGTATCGGGTGTGCAGAAAAAAGAAAAGAGGGAACGATTTGTGGGATGCGATTGATATGAGCTGGGGAGTAGGGGGTGCTATTCCGCATTGGGCCATCCAGGCAATCTTCCACTGTCGAGATCCCCCATTGTTACTTTCACCTATTCTCACATTCCTTTATTGTCACTTTCATCTATTGTCTCCATTGTCGGGGGGAGAAGTGGAATACAATTCGTGAGAAAGGCAGTGTCACTTCCCTACAGCTTTGCGCCATTGCGGGAGTCGCCTTGCCCAAGATACCAAAGACCGAAGGCTTCAACGCGGCTAGCTCCAGTGCGACCACTTCATAATCAGGAACACGGGATGAAAAAGAAAAAGAAGGAGCTAGAGTGATACTTACGGTGCGGGCACGAGACTCCAGGCCACCAAATACAATGTCCAATATAAAGATTAGTTTTTCCGGCCATGATTGAAACTACTTGAACGCCAGTTGTCCTAGCAGCAGTAGCCCTGAGCCTTGATTACTGTTGTATAGGGAGTTTGTCCCACCCCCCGTATGTAGATAGTTCCCAGCCTTCTAGCTTCTCCCTTCTGTCTCTGTCTCTCCCAGCAGTTAATTCAGTCGGTTCCCTTCTTTTTCTCTTGCCAGTCAGTCTCAACAGGTTATGAGAGCCCCTCTATCAGAATAAGCTATTCTACACGCTTCTCTGAGCTCAGCTGGCACGTGGGAAGATATCAACAACGAACGCACCAAATTTCACGAAAGAGACTGCGAGGCAGTACGGACTTACACTGTGGATAACTTCTTCTCTGATTGTCGGAGTATACTCGATCGAGTTGCTCCTATGGAAGAGCGAGCCAGCTTTGCAGGCGTAGCGGTGGCAAGGAAAGCCTCCACCCCTAGCAAGCTCGCTACCGCTAACGCTACAGTTACTACCCCTCATTAACCTAGTCAACGCCTGAATACTCCACCCGAAGAAATCAAGGCCAAAGGCTGAATAAAGAAGTGGGTGGATGCTCAACAACCTAGGGGACAATGTTCCTACTGCTCCCTAGCCAGTCATTCAGCAAAAGTATGCTTGTACTTTATATAACGAGATTAAAGTAAAAAGCAAAGAATTACTTGTGATTATTTATCAAGACAGTAAGTACAGAAAGAGGATGAATCTGGTATGCGGCCGACCGATCTTATAACTCTGGGATATTTGTTCCGTAGAGACCAAGTATCAGGTGCATAATGCCCAAAAGATAAAAAGGTGTTTTGGGTCATGCATTTTTTGAAATGCTGATCTTTGAGGAAAGCGATGTTGCGAGACCGTAAGCTTTCTGTCGATGCACGTTCGAAACAGGCCCGAGCGCTTGCTTTCGCTGAATCCCCGGCGTACTCTCCTTTTGTGCACCTCATGGTTGAAGATTTCCAATCACAGTGTTTCCGCCATTGAGGATCTTCTGGTGTCAAACCAGCACCTAGGCCTATCCACTTTGTCATCACCAGAGCCAGTTGATGTTCGAATTCAAGGATTTCAACAAGAGCTTCGGTATCACAGTGGCCACAACCAAAAGAGACTGACGGCTTTTTTTCTCCGGCACGATGGGCCTTCACAACTTGATTGAACCAGTCATCAATATCACTGTCATCCTGGTGTTCGCAGATAGTGATGTTGTGCGGAGGGATCATAGATCTTTTGATAGATCGTCGTGTAGGTGGGCATCGATACAGTAAGTATCGCTTATGACGATCAACCGAAATAATCTGTTGGACTCTCAGAATTAGATTAGGATTGGTAGAACATATATCTGCATCAATGGAAGAGATGAGGGACACTTGGGTGCCAGGTTGGAGACTGTGAACTTGAACTTCTGTGTAAGAAATATCCTCGGTGCCGATTCCATATTCTGGGCCATGAGAAAACCTCATCATAAGAAGTTGCAGGTGTGTAAAGTAAAAGTAATAAGCACCATGCAAACCGGAAGACCATAGCTGGCGGTAAGGAAGACCAAGTTGCGCTGATTCTCTAGGGCAGCGGGAAATAATCCTGCTGTCAGGCCCAGGAAGAAAGTCCGTTGAAGTATCATGCCTATGAAGAACATGGCAGGCATAGCAAACGAAGAATTTCGGGAGATCTCGCCCCAGGCGTGTTAAAAAGGCCAGCTTTTCTCGTCCGAAGATTATTTGAGGTGATTGGAATTAAAAGAGCTTGAGAAACGCAGTTGATTGAGTAAAGAAAGAAAAAACTCGGACGAAGGGAACTTCTGCCAAAAAATCAACGATGACACGCCAGACGGTAATACAAGTCGCTCGAAAGCCCTATATAGCCATGGATCCCTTCAATAGATGCTGTAGTTAGTCCACGGGTCTAAATCTACGGGTCCACGCGTGGACCGGCCCGCGGGCCCGCAGGAACCGCCTATGATGTTAAGGAGGAACCTTGGAAAGAAAGTTACCAGACCGACAAACGATTCTTGTTATGGATGGATAAGAGAAAGAGAAGGTAGGAGTATGCATTGGTCACCTATTTCCTATCATGGCTTCGTAGGCCACAGTTCATGTCCACTGTTGTTCTTATCCCGTCACAGTCCTCTCGTCGTTCTGTCTGCGACGTCAGACCTCCATCGTGCTCTTCCCATTTCACTATGTACGAGATTTTGGGACCCTACCTTTCAGGTAGATGCGCATTTGTATTATTTGATCTCCGCGGTTTACAAAATAGGGTGGTCCAGACTGAATCCATGGGTGTTTTGGGTGAGAGACTTGGCGGGCCGGCGCGATTGCCGCCCGGGCTATGATCATTGGTTCCCAGGGTTGTGTGTTTGCTTCTTTGCGATCCCTCGGGGGTCAACTACCATTTTGTACTAGTGTCATGTAGGGTCAATGGCAAACACCTGCACCTGGGAACATTCAGCCCCCGGAATTTCATGCTGGATTCTCTTCCATCTCGCCCATCTCTCAACCCTGCCTATGAATACTTCATCGGATCACCTGTCTCGTTTATCCTTCGGAGAGCATTTCTGTACCGATGAATCCTCAGTACACCAGCCTGAGAAAGGGCATCAAGCCGAAGTCGAAGAACTGGAGTTGGAGATTCATTTGTCTAGACACATGGATTCCTGAAATAGTCGCGGCGCTATTCAGCATCGCGTGCTTCATTGGCATATGCGGCATTCTCCTCGCCTACAATCAAAAAAGTCGACCGGAACTTTATTATGGTCTATCTTTGAACGCCATAATTTCTGTGTTGGCAACGGGCTGCAGATCATCTTTGATATTCGTCATAGGAGAAGCCATGGGTCAACTGAAATGGACTTGGTTTTACGCAACACCAAAAAGGCTTATCGACATACAAACACTCGACAGTGCCAGTCGAGGACCTCTTGGATCAATTACAACTTTATTCAATGGAACAAGACGATCGCTTGCTTCTTTGGGGGCAGTAACCATCATCTTTCTGCTTGCTTTCGATCCATTTATTCAGCAAATCATTAGTTATCCAATTCGGTTAACTACTGTGAGCGATGGAACAAATCTTGCGATAGCAAAGAGATTGGGTTACTTCACCCCTGACCTAGACTATAGCACTGTCTATTCCACAGGTTTTTGGTCTGAGGATACCTTATTGAGCCCTGACTGTCCATCGGGAAATTGTACCTGGTCAAAGTTCCAATCCAGTGGGCTGTGTAGCCAATGCTCTGATATAACACAGTCCGTGGATCTGAAATGTGAAATTATCGATGAGGTTACCAATACATCGAATGTTTTTTCGAATCCATTTGCGTTTGTGCAATGTGATCTTGCTCCCCCACAAGGAAACACGAACAAGTTCGATCTAATGTTTGATTTGTCTGCATCAGATTCTTCCTCTTTGAAGAACTGGTCAAGCTATACTCACTCAACACGCAAGCTATCTTGGCATATACTTTCGGCCTTCGACTTTAATGATTACAAAACAAGTCCACAAACCAAGAATCAACCGTTTGCTTCGCCGAGCGATCCGCTCATGGTCATCGGATATGCTGAGATAGGTTACAATCAAGATTACATCGATTCGGACTGGATAAATGGGATCCAAGTTGAGAAGGCAACGCAATGTAGCCTTGAACTCTGTGTTCTCGATTATGATGTGTCTGTCAAAAATGGAATCCCGAATGTCACTACCTCGGTGGCTGACTACGGCGAATTGTTTTGGAGAAATACTTCTGATCCTGATATCTCCTTGGGTGCAACAACTTGTTGGAAACCGAGATCTAGTCCGCGAGATATTGCATTTGAGAACTCTAAGCCCGGAACATTCTTTCAACTCAGTCCGGTCGAGTTTGCATTTTGTGGAATTAACCTTGAGATGCCACTTGATGGGAGCGTTTTTGTGGGATTCACAAGAACAAGTCTGCAGCGCAATTCTACCAAACACGATAAGACTGCTGATGATCAAAATATAGCTCGCATTGCTTCTGTCGGCCTTGAAAATATCATGTCAAATGTTGCCCAACATATGAACAAAGAAGCATTGCGTCAAAATGGTTCAGAAGTGTACGGCAAAGCACAAATCACCGAAGTCTTCGTGGAAGTGAAATGGCTCTGGCTCATCCTCCCAATCATATTAGTGACCTCAGGGACTCTCTTCATTACCATGGTCATTTTCGAAAACAAGAAGAACGGCACCAGTCTATGGAAGTCATCTGTGCTAGCCTTTTTCTACCACGGCTTATACGATGTGGACAGTGATTCCATGGCTGCCAGTGTTATGGAGAAAAAGGCTGAAGGGTCGGTTGTCAGGCTTCAGGCATCGGGGGATCATGGAGGTCTGATTCTGAAAGAAGAGGAGAATTCGGTGCAATGCTAGAATGGACCCTTCGCTAAGATATGTTGATCGAGTTCACGTGGGATGAATCCTACGTGCCCTATGGGGCAGCACCGACTCAACGAACGCATCGATTTTGATGGAGATGCGATGCAAATCGCAATGCGTGTTCTGGCATGTCGGTCCCTCGGTATCTGATCCTGAAGCAGCGACTTTTAGCCTTACAATGCGAGGATGGTGGCTGGGGTGCTAGTTGCCTGTGCAGAGAGGAACTCGAATTGAACCGCGGACTCGCGACAGCACTTGCAGTAAATGCCTTAGGCTAGCGGCCTATTCAAAAATTTCGGCCGAGTTTCTTCGAATGTTGCTGTCATTAAACGGTTCAATAGTAGTGGCAGTTGCGGAGGATTTGTGCTCGTCTCGACCGGGGTAGTAGTCGGATTTATCGGAGCCCCGGTGGTGCGTTTCGGAGCCGAGCGAAGTGCTGGCAACTTCGTGCCACAACGTTGAAGTAGTATCGAGAATCCCACAATAGAAATCTACCTCACGTTGAAATTAGCTGAGCTCTCGGCCGTATGTCCGATGCAGCCTATCATGGCGTGAAGACTTCCTTGTCACGGGATCTCGGTGGTCTCAGCGAATCACACCTTCATGAGTCATTGTATTCGCCCGAACTTGACAATATCAACAACTTAAGTATAAAAAACCCAGACTCACTCTTGATATCTGGCATCAGAAAAAAATCTCAAATCAGCAACATGGCAGCACTGCGTCCCAAAGGCCCCTTGGTCTCTTTCACCCCGGCTCTTCTGCCATCAGTCAAAACACTCCCAGGTCGGACTATTGCTCTCGAGAAACTCGAGCCAAAGCATGCCGAAGATATATTCAATGTCACTGGCGGGACCGAAGCATCCAGAGCAGCCCTGTGGGACTATATGCCCGAAGAACCAGTTTCCGACCTGAACACATTCAAAGAAAACATTGCTTCCAAATCCACGTCAAGCGACCCATACTTCTATGCAATCATCGACCGTCGCGAGAACCTGCCAACATCTGGAAAGGCCATTGGCCATATTTCCCTGATGCGAATGGTCCCCAGCCATTTGAACATCGAGATCGGACATGTGATGTACTCCGCTGCTCTTCAACGCACGACCGGTGCAACCGAGGCTGTCTATCTTCTTGCTCAGCATGCGTTCCATGATCTCGGATATCGCCGGTTGGAATGGAAGTGTCATTCCCTGAATGAGCCGTCGCGACGGGCTGCCTTGCGGTTGGGTTTCACTTTTGAGGGAATCTTCAGGCAACACATGATTGTCAAGGGCCGGAACAGGGATACTGCATGGTTCTCTATCTTGAAAGACGAGTGGGATGCATCCTTGAAGTCTGCGATGGAGAAATGGCTAGATGTGGGCAATTTCAAAGAAGATGGAACCCAAATTAGAACTTTGCAGGATTTGAGGGCTGAGAGCTCATGAGTCCGACGTTAGGGTTTAATCCCAGACTCTGAGAGTGCCATAGATTTTTCCAATCGGATGTGTTGATTTCCCAATGCCGTCCCTTCAAATCCAAAATGACCATAATTGTCCAACTCGTAGACTGTTACTCGTAAAAGGGGGGGAAACTCACAAATAGTGGTGGATCAATGGAGCCCGAGACCCACTGAGCAGCACGAGCCTTCACTCTAGTCCCAAGCGACTTGAATGATCGCACTACTCGTACTTCTGTCGGACCGTGTGTGATGAGCGCGTACATCAAAGGCCGAGATCTTCCACCGATGTTCTCCGAGATCGCGAGATCGCGATCGAAGCTAAGGCGCCAAGACGGGACCCACGATAGGCTTCAAGCTGCTGCCGAGACCAGATTAAGGAATTTAAGGAATAGTCACTCCTCGCAAAATGACCCATCACAATCCTGCGGGTCTCGGTTCTTTGAGCCGGTCATGGTGCACTTTGTAGATCATTTTCGCACTCTGCTGGTCAATCTGGTGTTGCGTCGAATGGAAGTATAAATATGAGCGAATTTCCCCTTCGCTTTAAAACATCTTCAAACATCTTTCTCAAAATGTCCACAGCAAGCGAACCAAAAGAAATACCCAAGCTGGCTTCGCCTCAGAGCCAGTATGGCTTCAGTGGTGTCAACTGGTCCAACTATATCAAATTCCGCCCCATCTACCCAACCTCCTTTTTCCAAAATATCTTCGCCTACCACGCACAAAAGAAAACAGCAGCCTGGTCCACGGCTCATGATGTCGGTGCTGGCTGCGGTGTCATATCTGCAAGTCTGGCACCTCACTTCAACAATGTGGTTGTGTCAGATCCCAACGAAGGATATGCCACGCTAGCTCGCAAGATCTTGGTCGAGGAATCCCGCCTTCCAGAATCTAAATTGAGATTCCTGCGAGAGAGTGCCGAAGACAGCTCTGTTGATTCTGCTTCCGTCGATCTGATCACGGCCTGCGAGTGTATACATTGGACGAGACCGGAAGTTGCGATCAAGGGCTTCGCTCGCCAACTTCGTCCTGGAGGTACACTAGTCATCTCCCTTTATACTCGGCCATGCATTGTGGATAATGAGCGGGCTCAACGGGCTTGGATGGCGGTTTTCAAGTTCTATGCTGGGCGAGTAAAGAATCCACTGTTGGATCATGCGCTTCGGATCTTGAATTCGGGAACTGAAGCCTGGGAATTCCCGGAAGAAGATTGGGACTCTGTGGAGAGACTGTATCTCAACGCGGGAGGGAGTGTAGATGCGTTCAGACTCAATGATCTTGCTGTTGAAAGTAAGGTTAAAGAGGGGGAGAAGACGATTTGGAAAGAAAATGTCCAAGAATGGATGGATGAGCAGGATATGAACTGGTTCAGGGGATATGCAGCCACTTGGTCGAAGCCCGATGTGGCAGACGATGAGGTTCAACCTCTCTGGGACGAGATGGAACAGGCGCTTGATGGAAAGAAAGCAAGGATTGCGACGCCAGTTGCTTTGGCCTTTGCTACTAGGAGATCTTAACTTGTTTTTTTGCTTAATATCTTTCACTTCATTCTCAAATTTCATTCAATCAGAAATCATATCATTTGGTCTGAGTCTTTCAAAGCTTCGAGTTCAACTGACCACCAATGATCTCCTCAACTACTTTAGCAGCCGCCAAAGTCTCCTCGTCCTTGAATCGCCTCCCGGCAATCTGCAGCCCGATCGGTGCACCTTCATATCGCTCTGGACCCTGATACTTGCGCCACTCGCGCTCATCCACATCATCCCTAGGAACATACCTCTTGTCATTCTCAGTTAAGACATCCAACTTGGAATCAACAGTGAGACCCGACGGGAAAGTCGCAGAAGGAAGATCCACAATATTCCAGATCGCGGTATAATTCCAATACTGAGACTCACCCATCACAGCAGCGACTCCAGGATAATTCGGCGACAGAATGAAGTCAACACCACGACTCTTCATGATACCACAATATTCATCCCGATATATTTCCCGCTGTTCTTGCAGATTCCAGGTTTCTGCCTGGGTGAGGGGCTTGCTTCTACTATACGACAACGCCCATTCCGTGAGAGGGCGAGCAGGCTCGCCAGATTGGGCGAGGAGTTCACGTTGCTTTACGCCTGCGTCGGGGTAGTACAGGGCGGACTTGAATCGTGTTAGCATTAACATGTGAATGCAGAGTCTGATTTTAACTTACGATGACCTCCCATCCATGTTGGTGCTTATACGGCTCCCAGTCCACGACTTTGATGCCCGCAGCAACGAGTCGATCCCTGGCAAATCGCAAGGCACGGGTGATTGGAGGATGAGGGTGTACACAGCTGATTGGATTTAGCATTCTCTCAACAAATGGCAAGTCTTGATACATACCCATCGTCCCACATAATCGCCACAGTCATATTTCGCGTTGGAGCAACATTCTTCCAAGGGAGAGGCATCAATGATGTCTCCACATCCCACGGTTCCTGATCCAAAACAGCTCGTTGGAACAGCTCCAGATCTTCAATCGAGCGACTGGACATCGGTCCCACGACACCGCGGATATTCTCCTGTCCAGATGAAGCCACTTTGATCCCTGTTGCCGGGTTTCGCAGTGAGGAAGGACGGAATCCATAGGCGCCGCAGAACGCTGCCGGACAGCGAATCGATCCGCCAATATCGGTGCCGATGCCGAGTGGTGCACAGCGGAATCCCATTGAGGCACCTTCGCCGCCGGATGATCCTCCTGGAGTTAAAGTGCGGTTATGTGGGTTCACAGTCGTGCCGGTGATGTTGTTACTGCAGCACAAGTGCTGGATCGTGTCAGCTATTGAGCGGCTGGTTTACATGACCCTGAATCAACCTACCATGAGTGATTGGGGTTGGTTGGTTCTGACGTGGAATACTGCGCCAGCTTTGGATAGGAGTTGAAGGAGAAGTGCATCTTCCGTGTAGACTTTGTCGGTCCTTTTCTACTTGTCAGCAAAAATCAACCGGTGCAGTCAGGCTCTACTCACCAAGCTACATATCCCGTGTTACATGTTCGGTTCTTCATAGACAGATGCTCTTTCACACTGATCGGAACACCGTGCTTCAAAATGAATCCATCAGCATGACCATTGTCAGAATAACTAAGTTCTATGGACCTACCAAGGGGCCAACGAGTCTCCCTGTGCGTCGGTAGTACTCATCGAGCTCTTTAGCACGGGAGATTGCCTCCTCGGCGAGGAACTCGGTTGCAAAATTGAGCTAGTGACAGCATCAACACTGAGGTTTATCAAGTTGACTCTTGTAGCCTCACCAATTGATGACCTATAACAGCTCGCTTCAAGAAAGCAGTAACGACATCTTCCGCCGTCAATGCTCCCTTCCCCATCTCAGCTACCAATACCGTAGCAGTCATATCTGTAATCTGAAGTTCGCGTGTGGAAAGCAAGCCACTTTCCCTCGGGAATTCAACCACGCTCTTCTGCGAGGCTGGTGGCAGTCTGTCAGCGGGAACAAGCCATTGCTTCGGAATGGAGTTGGTCAGGATGTCTCTGCCCTTTTGGGCTTGGCTTTCCCAGTCGAAACTCATGGTGTATAGATGAAGCAATTTCAATATGCAGAGTATTGGAATTGGTCACACAGGGGATCTCGGTGGTTATATAGGTTCCCCGCACTGCTTTCGAGTCCATTCTGTATCTCGGAATCGGAATATGCGTTCCTACAGGATCAGAGCGGCCAATCTAGGGCCACAGATTGTCGGTCCGAACAGTTGAGTGGGGGGCCTTGCGTCTGTTATCGCAGAGTTGGAGACTGTGCATATAGATCGGCGCGGAGCAATTCCGTCTACAGGTAGTTACTCCAACATTGTGTTCCCTCTGTTCGTAGCAGCATACTTCCAACTTTAGAAGGTAAAGTAAAGGATTTATTTCATGGCATTTTCTGGGAACAAAATCAAGCAAAATAAAACAAAAGCAAAAAAGAAATCTCTCCCTCGGGGAATCGAACCCCGGTCTCCCGCGCTTATCGGTGTTAATGACAAGCGGAAATCATCACCACTAGACCAAGGAAGATGTGATGGCTGAGTTACTGCTCGGCCACTTGGCTGGTTGATGGAATGTCCGGCCATTTTTGGTTTCATGAGGGAGCAGATTTAAAATGGCACTCGTCGCCAGTGCATTCATCTGAACATCTCCAGGGCTTATCGGTAAAGACTTAAGGTCGTTGAATCGTATTGAATATTTTCTCAATTATACTTTGGCTTATAATCGACTTGTCTCAGATGAATAGGGCAATATTAGATTTTTCAGGGACCCAGGCTGACCATAGAGTATTTAAGAAGTCGCTGTATATATCGGTATATATCCGGGAAGCAACATGAAGTTAACCTTGGAACATAGGTATTATATTTGAATTAAATAGCTTATACTTAACTATTTTCACCTAAAATGAACATCGATACCTCGATCGCATTTTATATGCAACGATAGCACAAACCCCAAATATGCAGCAAGATAAGGTGGGTATATGGGCATACACTCGAGCACCATATTAACCACAGCAGGTCAACTGCTCACACAGGGTGCCGCAAATAACCTGACATCGAGGCGGCTTATCACTGTCCTGGGCAACATCGACATCAGTACCATCAGAGAGCTCAGGCTGGAGTGTGATGGAGTGGATTCCATAAGCGTGGAAACATTCATTAATGACCCGAGCAACCTTCATGAAGTCCTCAACAGAGTCATCGGAAACAACAACGTGCACGGATGCAAGCGTCTTTTGCTGATTGAGGCGCCAGATATGAAGCTCGTGAATTGATGTCACGCCCTTGATCTGGTGGTTATTAGCATATTGTCTCTGTACAGGGGATTTCAGAACAAACCTTCTCTAGATCATGTTTGACATCGTTCATATTAACGCTGGTCGGGGCGCTTTCTAGCAGGATTAACCCGGCATTGCGCACTAGAGTTCGTTAACTTTGGACCTGAATTCGAGACGATTGACTCACTTAATGGAAGAGAGGACAGCATTATCAGGATGGCGATGAACATGCTCACACCGGGGTCGGCGTAGTAACGACCGGGATGGGGTGCTGCTAGCCAGATGACTAGACCAGCAGCCATGACTCCTAGGTTGTTGATTGCATCTCCAATGACGTGGATCATAACGCCCATCATCCCAAGGTCGCCATGATCGTGGCCACCGTGACTGTGGCCATGGCCGTGACCTGAGTCGGCACAGTGAGGTTTTTCAAGATGGAGATGTTTGTGTTCATGGTGCTGGGTATATTAGAGTCGGGGTTTCTCTGAAAAGTGGTGGTACATACCGTGGCGTGAGATTCATGGCAGTGCTCACCCAGATCAGGCGGGCTCTCAATCGTAGACGGACCATGATCGTGACCATGACCATGACCATGACCGTGTTCTGGGACGAGTTAGCTTAAGACGAGGTAGGCTAGTCTGACAATCATACCATGAAGAAAGACAGCGCTGATCAAGTTAAGTCCCAGTCCAACACAACCCACAATAAACATCATCTTAGGATTGTTGACATCTGAAACCTCGTTAGATCTGGAATGAATCCTCAGGGCCATTGACTTACGTTGCAGGGCGATAAACCGCTCAATCGACTGCAAGAAGATACTAATACCCAAGCCGAGGAGAAGAACACCATTAAAAAAGGCACCAAGCAGCTGAGCTCGCTGCCAACCGAAAGAAAGCTCATTGGGCGAATCGGCTTGCTCGGATTTCTACATTACCCAGATCAGCATCCCACCAATAGCGTCAAGTCAATCGGGGACATACCTTCAATGCGACAAGGGCAATGATAAATCCAACGAGATCATTAAGCTGCAATATGTTAATGTCCTGCCCAACGAACCCCACGTGCGCACTTACATAGTGGAAGGCATCGGCAATCAAAGAAATAGAGTGCGTATAAAATCCCACTTTGTAATGTTAGTACCGGAACCAAGTCAAGGAGACAGAATACCGACAAGATATTTCAGCTAGAAAGAAACACGTCGAGATGCCAATGACAACGCTCAGGCGCGTTGAACGCGAAATGTGAAATACCATGATCAGGTGTCGATGCACAAGAGCCCCCAAATATAGAACAGAGAAGGGAAGTATTCGGATCGGTCTAAGTCATTGAGAGATTCAAACAAAGAGCAAGGAGCAGAAAGGAGAAACCAAGTGAACAGGAAGTTAAACGCAACTACAACCGTCCACGGTAAACTCTTCTGCCTCAAAGTCTCAGTTGCAACAAGAATTGTCCGCTGTGTAACTGGCTTAACGATCCACCGCAAGAACCTTGGAATGCGAGGGGGTGGTATGTGGTATCGGCATTACCTAGGTGGCTATTTTGTGTGTGCATGAGCCGTGTCATATGCTGTATACTTCAGATACCATAGATATAGGGGTTAAACAACACATCACTCTGGAGTATGGAGGATAAAAGTGAAAGGACCTTGGGAGGGGGATCTCCTAGGGCGACAAGAATTCTACAAGCCTTACAAAAGCTTGGGGGGATGGGTTTTTATTGCGAATCAGTCGCGGAATGCAAGCAACCTCGACGCGGTGACCTCCTGCGTACGGGGGAATTAGGAGCAATCGCGATAACACCAGTCTCTGCGAAGGAAAATGATCCATATGATAATTAACTACGGATTAGGTAGATCTATATGATCAGAAGAGACAAACAAAAAACAAAAACAATTATATGATCCCCAAGGGACGATCTCGGGAGAGCACAGTATCTACTCAAGGAGTACGGAGTACGGTGTACAGGTGCGCATCTTTGTCTCAAGTCACAAAGTACTTCATATGGAGCACGAAGTAGGGAAAATATGAATTCCACCACCTACCTAGGTGTAAAAGGTGCACATGGTATACTCCGTGCTCACTCCATATTCCACATATCTACCGAGTACTGCGCACTCCTAGATCGTGCTAAACGCGCCATAAAGGCAGCAGACTGCGCCACTTCATCGATTTAGTACACGAAAAAGAGTCAAGCAACCAGTAGACACATTTTCCAATAAAAACCAAGGTATCATTTCAAAAAAGCGACATCCCCTTTCGTGGTCCCTAGTAACGCGCGTACCCGCGTCTACACCGTATGATCAAATTTTGGAAAAAAGCATCATTATTCATTTCATCCTAATTGTACATATATCAATTTTAAGCAGCAATCTGTTCAGCCAATCCATCCAATTCGCGAGCCCAGTTACGGTGTCGCGACACATGCCAGATGAATTGCTCCGCCAGCCCCTTTGCATCGGGTCCGATCTGACCAACCTTCAACAACGACGCGGCATCTCCATACCCTGTCACAACACCGTACGACTCCTTAAGAGCAGAGCCATTCTGCGCAACCTCCACTTCAGGGAGATTGATCTGTCGCTGGATGAATGGCACAGCCTCATTGGAACCCGCGATGGCTTTGAGGTGAGCGAAGGATTCGGCGATCCAGTGCTTCGCAACGCCATTCTTGGACAGGGTTTCCACGTGTTTGCCGCCGGGGACATACACGGCGTCGAAGAGTGTCGATCGCATTCCGACGAAGAAGTGGTCTGGGATTACGGTCTGCCCTGACTCGGATGTTACGCCTTGGCGCTGCGCGCCTATGGTGAATACAAACGCGCCTTGTTTGGTTAAGGCTTCTTTCATGGTTGTGTACTGGTTGAAGTCGAAGCCGTCTGCGATGAGGATGGAGATGCGACGTGTCTCGATGGTGGGTTTCTCGGGCATGTACTCTAGTTGACTGAGACCCTTGGCTTTGAGACCCTTGTTCTCTTTCGTCGGCTTTGTGGGCTTGTCGCCGCCGACATTGCTCGCGACCGTCTTGGCGAGGTCTAGGTCGATGGCGGTAAGACGCTCTGCCATGCGCTTGTAGACGACTGGGTCGTCGCAGTGGTCTAGTTCGAAGGAGAAGGCGCTCGCCACATGTTTCTTCTCAATTGGTGACAGCGAGTTGTAGAAGACTTGCGCTTGGTTGTAGTGCTCTTTGAACTTCTCGGAGAATCCGCGCTTCTTGTGCCCCTGGACCTTCTGTGGGTGACTGACGAAACCACCTTCAGCTGGTGTTGCGGGTGGGTTTGCGTCAAATCGGTTCGGCCAGTAGTTGACTGTACCCTTGGTGATACGGTGCCTCATCGCGCCATCACGGTTGGTGATGCTCATGTACGGACACACAGGCCGGTTGATCGGGAGTTCCTGCCAGTTCGCACCGAGACGCGAAAGCTGCGTGTCGAAGTAAGAGAAGTTGCGGCCTTGCAGCAGAGGATCATCGGAGAAATCAATACCAGGGACAATGTGACTGGTACAGAAAGCGACCTGTTCGGTCTGCGTGAAGAACTCGTCCACGTTGCGGTTCAGCTCCAGCTGGCCGATGTAGCGGATGGGAATCAGCTCCTCGGGCCAGACCTTGGTGGCATCCAGAGGATCAAACTCGAAGTCGTCAAGCTTCTCCTCTGGAAGGAGTTGGAGACCGAACTTCCAACGGGGGAAGTGGCCATTATCAATAGCTTCCATCAGATCCTTACGGTGGAAATCGGGATCCTGACCATTGATCTTGAGAGCCTCATCCCAGACAAGCGAGTGCACACCCAGTTCGGGGGTGAAGTGGAACTTCACGAATGTGCGCTTTCCCTCCTTGTTCACCAGTGAATAAGTGTTCACACCGAATCCCTGCATCATACGGAATGAACGAGGAATAGCGCGATCCGACATAATCTGCGACAGTTAGCACACAGGCCATAACACGGATCCTATCACTACTAACCCATTGGTTCATATGCGTAGTCTCAGAGTGCAGATATTGGAAATCCCAGAAATTATTATGCGCACTCTGGCCCTGCGGCACTTCATTGTGCGGCTCGGGCTTGACAGCGTGAATAGCATCGGCAAATTTAATCGCATCTTGAATAAAGAAGACGGGGATATTGTTACCCACAATATCCCAGTTACCTTCGTCGGTATACATCTTGACGGCGAACCCGCGCACATCTCGAACTGTATCCGCACTGCCCTTGCTTCCTTGTACGGTTGAGAACCGAAGGAACACAGGTGTCTCCCGGCTGGTGTCTGTTAAGACACCGGCTGTGGTGACGTCTTCGGCGCTCTCGAAAAGCTTGAAAGTGCCGAATGCACCAGTGCCACGGGCGTGAACTACTCGCTCGGGAATGCGTTCGTGGTCGAACCGCATGATCTGCCATTAATTAGATTTGGTCCATGGTATGTTCGGGTAGTAAGTTACCTTTTCGCGAGCAATTTGATCTTCTAGCAGTGCGGGACCGGTACGCTTCTCGTCGACGACGCGAAGCGTATGATCCGGATCAGAGATTTTGATTCCATAGTCAGTTGTCATATGCTGTTTGTCTCCAGCATTGACAGTCTCCTTGTTTAAGTCGGCAAGCTTGCCATTGGTAGTAGACGACATTGTGAGTGATGTCAGTGTGGTAGGTTAATTGAAAGGAATTGCAATGGACAGCAGAGCTTTATAAAAAGGCAGGCTTCCCTGTGCCAGAATCCCAAATCGATGATGTAACGCAGCATATGGACATTCATAACCAAGTACTGGACTCTCCGATTATTCAGGAATATCGGAACTATGACCAGATACCTGATCATGCTGACCAAATCCCGAGAAACCTGTCCTGGAGGCCGTGACGACCTGGAATATTGTCAATTGGAGCCCTGCCATTCGTGCAGATGAATCCACCAACGAGCTTAATTGCGTTGAGCTCCTTGTTTTCGGCGATCTCGGTTCCACTTGACGTTAAGGTCTGGAATTGGCTTCTTACTCAGTCGATGCTGTGGTTCACTGAGACCATTTCGAATGAATGTCTCGATGCTGTAGCATACATACGAGTATTCCTGAAGTCCATGGAAGTACCGAGGTATTGAGGTCCGAGGGAAAGGGAAAAGTCAAGTGGCCAGTATCACAGTGACGTCATATATCCAAGTAACGGTCAAGTCGACTTCTCACTATTTACATCTACTTAAGTATATGCTCTTACAGTTACATGTTGTCTTCACTCCAATGGCTCCGTGTCTTCTTCCAAGCATCGGTCTCCTCCTTATTCTGCTGAGCATTACTGCCAAGCCCCAGACCTCTCTCCACCCACTCCTTACTGCCCATTTCCGAAAGACGAGAAAGGGCACGTGCAAAGGCAAAGCGCTCCTCGTCTCCACTGAAGATGGAGGTATTCTTAAGCGCTTGCACAGACATACCAAGGTCATCCATGAGGTTACGCATAGCATCCGAGAGATCCGAGTGCTCGCCCTCTGGAAGGGACTTTTGCATATCTGCGGCGGAGATGAAGAGGTTGGAAAGAGGAACCTCGGTGGTGAGAACCAGCTTAGCCTGTGGGGGGTATTAGCATGCGAAGTGCAAGTAGGAAAGGAAAGAAAACATACCCTGCTTTCGTAGACTGCGTCGATGAAGGTGATGAAGCGTCGGGCGAGATCGCGCTGTGTGTGGTTCATACCGGGGACCTCGGTCACGATGAATGCATCGTAGTGTCGGACGAGCTCGAGGTAGTCGGCGGCACCGGTCGCGCTGCCGATGAGCTCTTGGAAGGTGAAGTGAGCGGCTTTGCCGCTGGCGCGGGGCACTTTGATTTCACGACCCCAGACAATCTGGGTATCTGCGTGGGGAGGGTCTTTCACAGGTTCGCCCAGGAAGTCGAACCACTTCTCTGCGTGGCGTGCTGCGTCTTCGCCGAGAGGGTGGTGATAAACGGCTGCTGGGGGACGAGGGATTTTACGGTAATCCGTTGGGGAGTTGAGGCTGATGACGGTCAGGTCGTTCTTAAGGAGGTTGATGCATGGAATAAATGATTCGCGCTGGATGCCGTTTTTGTACAGTTCGTCGGGGTGGCGGTTGGATGTGGTGACGAGAACCACACCGTGAGACATGAGAATTTCAAGTAGGCTGGCTATGGTCAGTGGATTTATAATAGAAAGGACCGCAAAGTGCATACCGTCGCAAGATCATTGCATCAGCAACATCCGTACATTGGAACTCATCAAAACAGAGGACCCCAGCGGTTTCGGCGATATCCGCCGCAACCATGGGCAAGGCATCGAAGTCATTTCCATACTTCATCTTTACGACGTGCATGCGCTTGTGCACGTCCTGCATGAAGTTGTGGAAGTGAATGCGGGTCTTATCTTTGATATTCGGAGGAAGCGTATCAAAGAACAGATCCATCAACATAGTCTTTCCGCACCCAACATCGCCATACATATACACGCCTTTCGGCAAGTTCTCCGGAACAGCAGACTTCGCCTGCTTCTTTGCGCCTCCGAAGAGGGACCCAAAGAATCCGGATTTTGCTTGCGGATCCAAAGCCTGGGGGTCTGGGTGAACAACTTTCGGCGGGTTATAGCCTTTCAGGGCTTCGAAGAGGTCTTGTAATCCTTGGATGATACCTGGATTTTGCCGTATGTCAATTTGATATCCAACACATGTCCAGCTTATGCGACTTACCTCGCTGGTATTCGTCATCTCGTAACCTTCCTTCCTCCACCCGCGCATCATACTCCCTCATCGGTCCATCTTGTGGGGCAGAAGGCACTTTGTTTGCGCCTTCCGCGACAGTGGCCAGACCTCGCACTCTGGGCTGCGCATATTGTGGCATGCGCTCGGAGGCACATTGCGGTATCGATCGGTGCGGTCTTTGCGGTCTTCCGATGCTCCGCTCAGTGGCATAGGATTGTTGACGAGCGACCCGCACCGGGCGGGTGCGCCGTGATGCCCGGATGGCATTTGGAAGGCATTCCGCGCATAGCTTTGCCGAAGGGCGGCTCATTGCCGGTGTTGTGTTTGGTGTTTGCGGGGACGTGAGAAAGGCTTCGGAGATCGGGTTGGGATGGTCGGGTCGGGTTAACCGAGGTATTCTGTTACGGTACAGAGTAGACGTTGGTTCCATACACAGACACTGTGCTTGTTCTAAGCGCTTGAGGCGACAAACAGAAATAGACAAATATAGTTAATAAACAAGGGAACGCCGGCCGAAACCTCCGTCAGAATACAGTTGCCACTGCTTTTTTACTTCAGTTTCACTTTTACTACCGAAGTAGCTTTCATTACCGCTTCTTGAATATTGTTTGTACAAAGCTTTCTTTCTCTCTCTATCTCTCTCTTTACAAAAATTTTTCTTATTCCCTTCATTCGCCTGATTTTGACAGAGTATACCTTTATGCATTCTATCAAGAATACTAATAGATACAGTCTTGATATCAAAACACTACTCGATACATGCTAAATTACCTGGCAGAATTCATAAAACGTTATAGGTCACGTGAATCGGCAATACTTCGGCAACTAATGCTACTGTACTTAAGTATAGAGTACTCAGTACTTATATAGAGTACTCGGTAACTACAATTCAATGAACATAAAGACAATAGAAAGTTGAGAAAGAAATTGTAATTCAATAGTGCGGCGGGAAACACCCCATATGCACGAGAAGAAGAACATATGTACACAAGCAGGGGTATGATCCTAAACAGAATGGATATGATCGAAAACAAATACACAAAAGCACCAAAAAAAATCAGAAACATGGCCATACATCTCGCATCAGATTCGTAACATCGCGATACTCGTCCTCATGGAGCATAAATCGCTGGAAACAGGGGTGTAGAGCAAAAACCCCGAAACGCCAAATGCACCTCATTGCAAACATTAATGAACAACCCAAGTCTATCGAAACGCAAAATCGAATGCTTTTTATGCAATGCTGACAAACAGCGTTAGCTTGACGTTTCGCTGCATCGCGCTCTCCAAGTCTTGATCGGTATGCAGGTCGACGTAGGAACCGGAGGATTCATCGCGATACTGCACCAGAATCTCTTCTTGAATCTTGAGGCGGTCACACAGCTTGTCTTTGAGGTGTTGCATGCTGACTCCGGATGGGATGCGGATGGCGATCAGGTCGTCTTGGAAGAAGACCTTGACTTTCATGGCGGAGTTGGTCGAGTTGCCTGAGGCCTGGGTCATGGAGCTGGGCTGTCGGTCCATGGGTGGGCGGTTGGCGTTCGGGGCAAGGGTAGGCGCACGCTGCTGCGAGATGCGATCGGTGGATGCGTTGATCTGTTGCTGCGAGGATTGGCGGGATACGCTCTGGGCGGGCTCCATGCCGGATTGCTGGGAGCCACCGGAGTAGCGGGCGTCTTCGCCGAAGGCTGCGGGGTCGATTTCGAAGTCACCGTCGCGGGGTGCGAACAGTTCGCGTACGAGGCTGCAACGGGCGATGTGTTGGGGCATGGAAAGGAGTTTCTTGATATATTCGTCGAGGTTCTGGCGTCGGCCGTTGGAAATGGCGTCTGTGACGTGGGTGACGGGCCCGGGCATGAATGGGAGTGTTCGTGCGCGGCCCCGATTGCCGGCTTCGTCCTCGAATTGGGTCAGGAGGGCGATCTGGAAGTCGTAGAAATCGTGGTAGTATCGCGATAACTCCCAGCAGCGACCGTCTTCCATCTTTGCCTCGATGATATACCAGTACTTGTCATTGTCGAAACAGTATCGGGGGATATAGGCGGAAACCGGGACGAGTAGGGGGTAGCCCTTTGCCATGGGCACTTGGGACACCGTTCCTCTGCTGGCATTACGTTGGTGATCCTGTTGAGCGTATCGATTAGACTCCTGCAGCATGCAACACAATATGATATGAAGAAAAGGGGCGGAGTGTGGGGGCATGAAAAAAAAAAGAAAAGAGTCGCCCTACATAACCGTTGCCGTTCTGACTCAACTGAGATTTATGGCCTTGGCTCATGGACATCTTGTCCATGCCGGAGGTGACGGCCATCATCTGGCCCTGACCTTGACCAGCTTCAATCTTGCCGAGAGTGATACTGCTGTTCTTATACTCGGCCGTCATCTTCTTCCATTCCTCCACCTTAGGAACCCCCGCGCGTCGCACAGCATCCAACGGGTCAACAACGGCCTGACCACTTTGCATATCGCGCAATTCGATGAAAGACACCGGAATCAAACCTGGACCACCGAGGCGACCAATGGGCTTAGCGACAAACCACTCGGGATTGGATTGCGCGATGACGATAATGGCCTCGCCGGCCTTCGCATCCAGTTCATCGGGGCGCTCGGCCTGAAAATCATACTGCACGATACCATAGACCATTGCGCCTTGGCCCTTAAGAGCAGACATTCTAAATATACCGTTTTTGTGAGAGTCAGGAAGACGGTCGGAGAAGCCTGAGTCGTGGTTGGACAAGTCGCCGGAACCCCCACTATCCCTCTCGTTTTTGCCGATGACTTCAAAAAAGGAGACGGGCACGAGCCCCCTGGCACTAGGAATCAGCGGATTGCACGCTTCGTACCAATCTGAATCGTCCTCGCGACTTATAACGTGAAAGAAGTCGCCCTTGCTGAACGCCAATTCTTGTGTCGCACCTTCGGGCGTGTAGTCGTAAAGCGCTTTAATCACCTGCGAAAGGTCAGTCGCCTACCAAATTCGCCACAGGTACGGAGGCACTCACCTTTTTCGGGGGAAGGATCGCGATGGCAGATTTGGGGGTAATAGAGATGTGGTGGTGTTTGGGATCTTTCTCCCCTTTCAAGGATCGCCTAATGGCCTGCGAAACCGGATTAATTAAACCCTCACGGAGCGAAGGAAGGGGGGGATGAAATTCACCTTCATACTGAATCCGAGTAGTTGTTAAAGGATGAAGAATGAAGTTCAATCTTTTTTTTTCCCGCCATATAATTGAAGAACCAGTGAGCGCAGGGGACTTGCGCTGCGTATTGCGGTTCCAACCACCTTGGATGATGATTGCCAGGGCCCGCTTTTCCCGGTTTCTTTGACCTTGGGGGGGTTGGTTTTGGGTCTTAGTCTTGGGATGAGATTTGGGGAATCTATTAATGTGATAGTTCCGGAGTAATATAGATTAGATGGGTTTATAGGTACTGGCTACTTAAGGATACTCTGTTTCGTTGCGCGATATTGAGGTACCGGTACAGTGTGTACCTGAATCCCTAGTATTGTCAGACAAATACTCGAACATCTCAAAGGAACTCGAATACAAATGTACTTGGCTGGGATTGGGCACAAAGAGCGGCTAGAGGATGACCCTTTGCCTCTTCGGTATTTTTTGGAAATAACCGCCAACCCTGGGAGACTCCCTCAAGAGACACGGTACTGAGTTTGCCTTCTGAGGTTCCATGGTCACAATCATACTGTGCATTGTCCCCCGTTATGCCCCATATATCAAAAAAGGTCTAGACAAGGCTAATAATAACCGGCGAAATTAGCTTGTACGTAACTGCGCAATGTAACTTGCGCGGGGTTTCCACTCGAAGCATTTATTGTGATATTCTCACATGTCCGAGAGGCTCTATTTTTTTGGGGATCGTCGCCTTCAACTCTGAAAGTTGGGTCACACGTGGTTTGGAAGCCACGAAGAAGGTGGCGTTCCACGGTTATCATATTACTTAGAACATGGAACATGGAACATGGAATCAGATGATATTTACTCAAAGTACTGTAGCACCTTGTACCCGTTGAAAACAAAGAGACGCCGGGTATTAGTATCATACGCCCAACCCTGCAGGAAGAGGCAATATGGAAAGCCCTGGAAGGCTGGAGATGGCACGTCCGAAAGTAAACGCCTATCGCTTTTGAGAACACGCCAAATGGAAACGCAATATGAAGAAAAAAAGACCAATCCGACGGGTTACGAGGGCCAAGGGGGAATGCGTTAAATCTGGCCCTTGATATCGACCACACGATGAGCGGCCGATTTGGCCTGGTCGAATAAAGAGCCAGCCTTGCCAGTCAACAGCCTCACAGCCCCGTTCTTCTCTTCCAGCAGCCCCGCGGAGGAGTTGTCGAGGATAAAGCGGGCGGCCTGCTCATCGGACTCAAAGCCAAGTTCCTCTGTAATGAACCGAATGTTGACATCGGGTTTGTATCTGCAAGGAAAGGGTCAGTGACAATCTAGACAAGAACGGGGGAGAGGGAAAACTCACGCTCTAGACATCACTGCCAACGCACTCAGCCGCTCACGGTCCACAAACATGTCCATGAGGTAGGCTCCCATGTTGGGCGTATCAAGGTATAGCTGGAAGAAACGATGGTAGTTCCCGAGCGCCAGGGCAGAGCGGACATCCAGGGCATGTTTCACGGCCGGGTCTTGCTTATCTTCCTGGGTTACGTCCGCGAGCGCGTCGTTCATAGCCGTCCAATTCCGAGTATAAATGAAATACAGAATACGATAGGCCTTGAATTCCGTCGGGTGGCCGGCCAGCTGCTGGGCATACAGCACCCGTAATTGGGTTTGGCACTGGTTGTACTCACCAAGATCCCCTTTCTCCAGGGCGATGCGCGCGTGAATCTCATAGACGGTCACAGTGAACTCGGTTCGGATATGCTGGACCGTCAGGTCCTGGCGGAGGGACTTAAACTGATCACAGATGTATCCGTAGTTGCCGTCGGTCTTCCATTTTCTTTTCAACAGATCCAGGGCCTTGATTAGGACGGGCAACGGACGGACAGTGTCTGGGTTGGGGGCAGAAGTCAAGCGGAAGTAATTCTTCTCCAATGTTTGGCATCGTCCCACGACAGGACCTCGGTCTGCATCGGCACTGCGTGCCGGGGATCCAGCGGGCGATGGGGACTTTCCATTGTCCAAATCGAAGCGCTTTCGCCTCATTTCCAAATTAGCTTTGGACTTACTAAACTGGTCCACTGCAATACGGGGCTTCTTCTTTTCTGTGGCTGGGTGAGTAACTCGATCTTCAAAACGACTGGTGTTAGCTGATCTCCAGGGAGGCGATCCGGTGCCTGACGGCTGGCCATCGGTGGACTTTCTTTTCCGACTGGCGTTTCCTGGGGAGGATGGCTGGGTGGATGCCCAGTTCGAGGAGGCAGGGTTGGCCAGGATTTTGTTGCGTTCATTTTGGACCATCACCTGTGGCAAAGGTAGTCTTTCCCAGTCGATCATTCCCAGCTTGTTATTCTCCGCCGCGTCGGTAATCACGTGTTTCAGTTTCTCCTGCATCTCGTAGGTGCTGACGCTGGCAACCTGGTTCTCGGGGGCAAAGCAACGTTGCACGTATGATCGGACGGGAGGCGGGAATTCCACTCGCTTTGGGGATTCATCGTCCGGCGATTCTTGCCTGCCAGATGAAGCGACAGGTCCGGTGGTAGAGTTGGTAGTACTATGGGCGAGGCTACGACGGGCTTGGACGGGGATGTAGGCAGGGGTCGCTGTTTGAACGTTAGCCAACGGAACCGAGATCGAGGACATCGAGGATGGAAGACTCACCAGTTGTAGGGTATGCAGAAGCTCGAGCCATCGGAGCTGTAGCGGTAGAGCGCCAAGGTGGAACACTGGAATTCATGCCGTAGATATCTGAGAAGACAGATGTAATATTTGGGCAAGACAAAGGAACAAGATGAAAGAGATGTGAAAGCTACGAGGGGGCAAGAGTCGGGGTACGGTCGGAAGGAAAAAGGTGAGATCCTACGCCGCACTTGAAACTGAAGTCTGCAAATGAAAAAGAGGAGAGAGTAGCAAGATGAGAGAGGATGCGAAGATGAGCAGACAAGAATGTGAGAAATGTATTTCGAGACGAGAGAGAGTCAACACACACAAGACGGTGAAGGATATTCCAAGGTTCGCTTGCCTCTGCCGGATCTTTGTTTCTCCGAATCCCTCTTATCGTTATCGCAATCGCGAGTCCAGTGGTCTCTGACTTCATATGGGCTCTGCTTCATGCTGCTTGAATCTCCATGTTCTTCAAGTCGCTGGATCTGACTACTGCGCTCAGACCGTTGTTGTTGCCCGATGAGACCTTACTCTTTGTTCAAGATGCGGTAGGTCTGTATGAAGGGTAAGGAGCCTCCCCGATGATGAGGATGCGGGGTGCTAATTGGGGTAGGAAATACAAAGTCCAGAATTACCAAAATGGCCATGCCTACCTTACCTCTCACAGAGTATGCTATGTGGCAGCTGAGGACCCGCGCATATACTCGGTGGCTATCGATCTGAAGGAGCTTGATCGAGTCGAATCACAGGTATGCTTATACATGCGCGAATGATAACAAGACTCTCGGTCATTAACATACTCCGTCTACAGGCTGGATTCCTCAAATCATCACCCAAACTCACAATATACCCAAAGCCCCAAAAGAAAAAGCCCGAGAACCCGAGGAGTGCAACGGCCAGCCCGGCGGTCTCTCACCAATTGTCACTTCACTCGACCGAGTCATTGGCCCACTCTTCACAACCGAATCTACCTCAGACATCGGCATCTCCAAAGCCCATCAATGCAACCTGGATTTGCCCAATATGTACATTCTCGAACCCTGTGCCTTCGAATTTCGATCCTGCGACAGCCAGCGCAGCTACACACCTGCCTCCCTGTCTAGCATGTGGCATCAAGCCTCCATTCACGACAGTTCTGAAGGCAGCTATAAGCGCAGCAACAAGCCGTGAACCCCCTTTGCCAACCTCCGCCCCATCCCCAGCCCAAGCGCAAGATATTGTACAATCGAATAGCAGCTGGTCCGTTGGACCGGGAGGATCAACCCCTTGTCCACGCTGTACCTTTGTGAACCACCCATCTTTGGCCGAGTGTGAGATATGCGGAGCGCCATTGGCTGGTGGGTCTTCAGGCAGCGCCAATCGCGTAGACTCCCCCGCGCCACTATTCGAGCAATCCCATATTGCCAATACGGAAGTCAGTGAAAGCATCAAGCTCTCCTTCCGAGCAGGTGGTGATAAGACTTTCTATGAAAGACTCAAAGGTGCGCTTGTTCAGAGAAAATGGCTTCTGCAAAATGCGCCGCCTGTCCCTTCGCCATCTCAAGCCAGTTCCTCGCCTGGCTTATCTTCTGCTGTTAGCGTTGAAAGCCCTCAGCCTTCAGTCCAGCGGCCTGCTGGTGTTGGTATTGCAGGATTGGAACGACGAGGACTTGAAGCGAGGAAAAAGAATGAACTAGTCATAGGCAACTCCTTTGAAGACTTGGAGGCCTTGATGGCCTCAGCGAAGCAAATTGTTGCTCTTGCTGAGACTTTGGCCCGAGAATCTGGAATGACTACGAGCGAAGGCTCGGCTGAAGCTAGCGCTGTGCTCTCCGAGTCTGCAGCAGCATTGGGAATGGTAACTACTAAAGACATGCTCAGCTCAGGCTCAGAAACCCTCTACCTGTCAGAGCTGGCGAGAGACCTAGCAGAGTTTCTCACAGACGATCGAAAGGGTATTCTGCAGCGCGAAGGCGGCATAATGAGCCTTATAGATCTCTGGGCAGTATTCAACCGGTCCCGCAACGGTGTCGAGCTAGCCAGCCCTTCGGATTTTCAAAAAGCAGCTGAGTTATGGGAAAAGCTCAAACTGCCTGTTCGCCTGAGGCGTTTCAAAAGTGGGCTTCTCGTAGTTCAGCGATACGATTGGAGTGACGAGAAGACCATTGGAAAACTACAAGATTGGATAGGAGAGCTCCGACGTGTTCCTCCTGATGACCCTGTTCCCTGGGATTGGTCTCTCTTTGGTCAAGCTATCACGGCACAGGAAGCTGCTCATCGATTTAAGTGGAGCGTTGGAGTTGCCGCTGAAGAGCTGGAGATGGCTGAAGACAGGGGTGTTCTCTGCCGTGAAGAGGGAATTGAGGGTCTTCGCTTCTGGTACAACTATATGTCGTTGTCCCCAGATTCTGACGATTTCTCACGCCTTACTATTTGAGCCTTGGACATGGCCATGTTTAGAATCATTCATAGATACCAATAAACAGAGGTGTAGAATCACCAGTGTTAAAATCCAGAGCTACTGAAGTAGGTAATAATGAGGGTTGGTATGGTTTTTAGGCAGTCAAAGACTCCCAGTGTTTACCTGAGGTTTCCCTTTGCAACCTCTTGCTCCTTCGAATGGATCGTCTTGTATATTCTTCCCTTGGTCCAGTAGCCTCAATAGGCCATGACTTCTGCATCAATTTTGAAGCTTCCTTCAAATAATGTTTGTTTGCTTCTACATGTTTGCCGCTTCTATGAGCTTCCATGTTTGCTTCCTTCCAGCTATTAAAGCTTGCGAACTTCCATACATCTACTAGGTAGTTCTTCTTCTTCTTCTTCTTCTTCTTCTCACTACAATACTATTGTTCTGATTTCTGTTTCATTCTGGAGCTCTGATCAGCCATGGTGTTTCTCCATCTTACCGTGAAGATCTTCCCCCGGACTCAGATCCACGCACCTGCGGGCTCGATGCCACCCACAGTCTTCTTACTTCCTATCGAGAACCCAGAAGAGGTGACATTGAAGAGACTAGTAGATCTCATTCAACAGAAATGGAGCGACCTTCACCCCAATCTCGAGTAAGTAGCCTCAATCAGTCAACTGAAGTGTCATACATTAACTTGAATTTCACTTAGATCTTTCGCGATTGAACAAATATTTGACGATGCAAATAAAGGTTTTGACCTTTACTCTGGTATGACTGTCGCCGATGTCTGGGTAGACCATGGAAAGGCGCGTATCGACGGCTGTGATCAGCGTGGCGCGGTATGCGTTATTCAGAAACCTCGCGATCGAAAGCTTGAGAAAACCGAGTCTCCCTGATTCGAAAAGAAGAGAAGGAGGAAGATAAGCCCACCGGTGATGACGTTGGGTCTCAGTCATACAGCCAGAGCAGTTCATTTTCTACGAAGAACGACTTTCAGCACAACCAGCCTCTCTCCTCAATTGAGTTAGACCCGGAGGATCACGCTCGTCTACCTACTACATCTTCGCAACCTCGTCCTAAATCTGTGAGATTCGCCAACAACTCTCTACCAGAACAGCGGGCCGCTACACCAGGAACCCAGGTTATTTCATCTTTGCCGCATAGGACCATCCTAGGAATAAACCAGATGCTGTTGCTCGAAGAGGCTTCAAAATTGACGTCTTTGATGTCTCCATCCCTTATTCCAGTAGCCTCGATGCTCAACTTTAGAAGCAACTACTCAAGTGCAATATTGAGGTTCTTACTTAAATACTTAAGTATGTAGCAGGATTTGCGCTGGCAAGATGGGAGAACAGCTCCAGGGCTGGGTATTACATTCAAAGCGGACTGCATAGATGGAAAAGCATGTTATATTACTCATTGGAATAGTCAGGCTATCAAATTGGTGCTACTGAAGAGGAATTAACTCAAGGAAATCTACCATACCCCTGGATCACAATCACTCTCGACGCCTATCCGACTCAAACACAGTAAAAGCATCGGCGCCACGTCCATCTTTTCCGCCGGTGCGAAAGAATTCAGTTACCGCTCCAATAGCATAGCATGTCATTGCAGTAGCCACGCCAGCGAATATCATTCTTTGGATTACGCCGCGGGACGACCCCGATTCCGTCAACGGTTCGGGCTTCAGACTTGATGGCTCGGCTGCTAGAAGGGGCTAAGTTTATTTGTTAGGAAGCCGCCTGGATGACAGTTCCACCGTCTACTCACCTCTGGGGTTTGTTCATAAGATGTTGGGATAGATGGAGAAGAATCTTTTGAATCGCGTTGAAGATGCTTTGCAGTTTCCGAGTGAACGGCTGCATCTTGCTCTGCGTTTTCAGGGGAAGGGGTGCTATGGATTTTTCGACAAACAAGGATGTTTCCTCCGCCGGCTGCTATCTCGTAACCCTCTGATTGCATCTTTTCGAAATATGGCAGAAATATGGTAGGGTTGTGGAGTTGTGAGAGGATCTCACTGGGTTTGGCATCTTCGTTGATTCCGAAAAATGTGTCTGCTGTCGCGGTCGTCACTTGTGATGTGGACGCATCAAAAGCAAAGATATAAAACTCTGGAAAAGACTGCTGGGGCACTGATGGCTGAGTATCGTCTTTAAGGACCGAGGCTTGATTCTGGACAATACAGTCGCCAACGCGGTCTTCTGAATAAGCAAGGCTTGAATGGCAGGGATGCACTTTCATTTTACTTTGACCAAAGCTGTCGGGGCCTGTGTCTGTGTTTGGGTCTTTCGTGTTCGTAGAATCAGTAATAAACATCGCTTCGAGCTCATTCCCCGGTGGGCAGTCGACATTGACGTTGATATTCTTGGTAGTACTTGGACTTGCAATATTTGGTGGCCGGGAATGGTCATCGTTGGCTGACGACGGGTTGGTAATGAAGTTTGCTTCAAGCTCGCTTCCAGGGGGACAGTAGATAGGCTCTTGGTCTTCTAACTGGGCGTTGTCTCTGTTGACCGACTCGGACACGATCTGTGCTTCTATCTCGCTGACCGGAGAACAGTCAACAGTTTCCTGTTTGTATGACGGAGGTTGTGGATTAGCAATTGGCTGAGGTTCATCGGTCTGGGCCTCTTGGTGTGCATTTATAGCAGTAAAATTGGCTTCTATTTCACCACCGGGTGAACAAGGAACGGTCATCGCGGATTTTTCTGGCTGCTGGGTGTTGAGCTCAGATGCGAGGCTTTTTTCGGAGCAGCTGACAGGATCAGCTATGAACTTAGCCTCCAGTTCATTTCCTGGTGAACACTCAAAAGTGGCAGTTGAGGCCGGATCTGTGAGCAAGATCGGTCCCGCGGTTTTTATCTCGGGCTTAGAATGGTCTGGTTGGCGCTGGGCTGGCTTTGTGGACTCGGAAGTCGAAAAAGAGTGCAAATCACTTCCAAAATGACCGTTGACATCGAGCTTGGGCTTATCTTCAGTCTCACAGAGAGTTTCTGATCTTGCCTGCACACCTTGAGTCAAAGAACTGGAACTTGAGGCTGCTCCCGACTCAATTTCTGGAGAATCTGTAACTGCGGAGTGTGGATCGAGTTGAGTCTGAGCGCTTAGCTTCAAAGCCCCCTGTTGAGGCTGTCTATCTTCAGTTAAGTTGTTTTCGGCGGTGTACTTTGATTCGGCTTCATTTGCTGATGGGCTTTCAGCATTCTTCTGGTGCTCGCGGATTACTCCATCAAGATCCTGAGATGCCGAGGGTGGCATGGGCGCCATACGTCCACTGATCGGGTCATATTGCAACCCTATATGGTTGATGTTGCTCCCCGCTTGCTTTTGAGTCGAACCCGGTACACTTGGTTTGGTAGGCCGCTGTGCCTTCGAAAAGGATTGAAGATAGCCATTCCAGAAGGTATCACCTTTTCCAAAATTGTGGAAGCGATCTAGTCTACGCCCAAACACAGCGGCGTAGGCGTCTGCCTCGATGAGCTTTTTCAGCGATTGGATGCGCTTCTGTGATTCTGCATCCCAATATCTTCTTCTCTGACCCGGTACCCAATCCGAAACACCCGACCGAGACCACCAGACTTCCCAGCTCCGGCCTGGGATTTTCCGACTGGCCGAAGTCCAGTTATGATGCCATTCTGTTTCTTTGTGACTCGATACAGGATGATTTTGACGCTTGTTGGCTCGAGCAAATTGTTCTGCGTGTTCGTCCTTGCTACTTCGTGCACATCGCCATAGACTCCGGCAGTGAGTGTGCGCAGCTACCAGGTGAAAGCGCGGGTGTGAGATGCCCGGTCCCACTTTAGATAGCCTTGCCGAAAAGCCCATCGTGTATTATTGCAGGATCGATTTGGTACTCCGTGTGGCTTACGACTCGACGTCATGAAATCAATCTGAGACAGTCCGCGGTGGCAATCGGCCGATCGGGGCCCACTTATGGGTACGGTGGGGTACAGTTAATCTGATGGGAACAGGAAGGTGAATGAAAGCTTACAAGTAGGTAGAGGTAGAAGTAGAAGTAGAATGGAAGTAGAATAGAAGTAGAATTGGAAGTCCAAGTCGCGGTAGAGGCGGTATATGGCCAACCAATCAAGAGCTGACGTCAGGCTACATAGGGCTCTAACCAGGTCCGCTGTTTGTTGAGAGTCTCGGGGAACTCCAATCGAAGTTGGAAGTCCAGCATTGTGTTCTGCAGCATCTGAAATAGATCGGGTCCCCTTCGTGTTTGCCCATACGTTGCGCTCGCTAGAGTATGTGATGTTTTGAGAATTCATGGTGTCCTTGATTGCGGCTAGAGGTGCCCGTGGACCTTTGCCGTAGAGGATGAAACTCCCAAGGCTCCTTGGCACCTTATCCGGACCTGTAGAGAGATGCCTGCTCAGGTGTTTGCCCTCTTTCGCTCCCTCTTGTGTTCTATCTTCCTCCCAGGGTCTCGGTCCCGGCAGCGGCAAAAAATACGTTTCTTGCAATCAAATGTGCTCGCGCTCTTGGGGGGGTCGACTTTGTGCTATTCAGTGTGAGTAACGGGGGAATGTACTTTCAAGCTTTTGCTCAAGTGATCAAAAGCTCCAGGGTTGATCATAGGTAGAATGGATGGTTAGCGGGAATGTTTGTTTAGTTGTTAATTTTGTTCTTAGATTTTGGTTCTAGAATTTTGATCGGCTCCAAGTTCTTTTTTCTCTGATAAAGGCGACATCTATAGATTCGATGTGATATAAGTTATTCATCATTTTCCAGAGTTACTTAGGAATTCCTGAATTCCTGCCCAGGGAGAAAATTGAGACCACAATCTATATATACTTTAAGTATATATTCTGCTTGAGTAACTCTGAATGCCCAAATCTTTGCTCGTAAACCGAATCTCAAAATTCAGGTACGGAGTACTTAGAGCTCTAGAGGTAGCCAACTATCAATGTTCCAAGATTCATAGGGTGAATTGTGTTCTAAAGTTGTGTTGACTCACAGTGGGGAAGGGCGTAACAGTCCTCCGTAGGGCGTTATCGATTAGAAACCCCGCATATTCCCCAGAACCTCAACGTTCATTCTCAACTTTAGAAGTTCCTCATCCACCCCTTCTCACTACAAATACTCACCACTCGTCATGTCCAAGGTAGCACGGGTCCCCGTTCGCACAGAGCGCGCACCGCTCCCCCCACCATTCCTATCGCAAGGCCTGGTAGTCGGAGACGTGGTCTATTGTTCCGGCCAGGTTGGAGCCGACCCGACCACGGGCAAACTGGTGGAGGGAAGCATCCAGAACCGAACAGTGAGACCGAACCCTCTCAAATTCTAAAGTTGCTCCACCAAGTCGCCTCTAACAGATGCAATTGTAGCGCCAAATCCTCAACAACCTCAGTGCGGTCTTGGAGGCGGGCGGATCCAGCCTCCACGATGCGATCAAGGTCAACATTTTCTTGACCGACATGGCCGATTTCCCCGCTGTCAATGAAGTCTATGCTACCTTCTTCTCAGACCCCAAGCCGGTAAGTGAGATCCAGACTTTGGAGACTGGTGTCGGTCTGGACTTCCAGTGTCGACGCACAACCGTTTACGTGGACCGTGCATTGTACTCATCATCTCCAGGTGCGGACGTGCGTCAGCGTCAAGTCTCTCCCATTGGGAACGGATGTTGAAATCGAGTGTTCTGGTCTGGTTACGAAGAGTGGCAATGGACGCAGTTCTAGACTTTGAAGACGATGACGTGGGGGACACTCCACTGTCGATTGCAAGGGCTTTTTTTGTTTTTGATTCGCGTGCAGTGACATGTGTGGGCTTTGTCGACTTGGCTCCACTCGAAATCTGCCGGAGAAGTCACATGACAGGAAAATAGATTACATGGAAATATTACTGTATTAGGAACACACTAACAAGTACCCATTGGCTGTAAGTGGTGTTTCAGGTAATACAGGCTCCAGGCCGCAACCAAGGATGAAAGGTGGAGCCGGGAGCTATAGTGTTCAGGAACAGGACTAGCGTCTGCGCTGGTCCTTGGTACCGTTAATGAATACCCCTGATGCCGTTGCTCGTTAAAGCAATGACTATGTACTCTGTATACATAACGGAGTACAGGTCGCTGTTTCGTCCGAACTTGGGATATTCGATGGGAAACGTGATAGCTAAAGTGTATCAGTCAACTCTCGGTGTAAAAGTTCCTGCTTCTGCCATATTCATGCCGTGCAGCATGCAGCCACAACTCCCTGACGAAGTCAAATAGGAATACATGCAGCTATCCAAGAGATGAATTCTTGATTCCAAAGCTTGCGGCAGTGGATGACACAATCTCCCACGCGTGAAGAATGTGCAACTGATGGCAAGAATGGGGGGAAATCGTCTCTCCATTCCGATCGCACGTGGTGTATTGAATCCGTCATCGTCTTAAATCACCCAACTTCACTTTGACACTTGATGCTCCGTAGTCCATACGAGTACTCCGTACGGAGTAATCCGTAGATGGGTGCTCCAGGGCTATTCTTATCCCAGAGACAGTCTAGTCATTAAAGTGTGAAACATTCTTAATAGTTGCCGGGACCAAATTTGAGCCATCCCCTGCATCCGAGCTTACTATCGAAGACTAGCACCGCTGTCGCACTGGCAAGGCAGATTCTGCAACAGCTCAGTGCTGAGTCAAGGTAACTAACTAGCTAAAGAGACTGCCAACTGTAGCGCTTCAAAAGCCCAACTCTTGCCGAAAGAGCGGCTAGTTCAAGGCCTGATTTGATCTCTTTGTTGATCCCATGCCAGAACGAGCCAAGTGCGTCAAACTAGCCGGGGCTCAAAGCCACTAAAGATAATTCTGGTATCGTGAGCCGGGTACCTGAAAGACTTCTCGGTATACTTGGTAATGCGAGCTGGGTGCAGCTCTAAGGCCACATACAAAGTCTCTTAAAAGCACATCCCGGGAACGTGTGGATAAGACCCACTTAGCTGACGCCGCCGGCCTGGACCTTTGCAACGGACTGAACCTTGTGGGTTGGATTTGTTCTTTTTCTCTTTGCGCTGTTAACCGTTCATATTGGGATGCGCGGCTTGGCTGGGGCTAGCTTGGAATGGGCTTTTTTGACCTCCGGAGCTAGTGGAATTGCGCTCAGGCCTTTTGCCTTCTTTTTCTTCCACATGGTGAGTCTTGTACTCCGCATTCTAGGAGTATACGCTGATGGATTTTATCTTGGATTCGATATGCGGTTCAATCTCGAATTTTTTCATCCCTGCCATCTTCATTGGCTTGCGAAACAGCTCACTCTGCGTCCATTATCAATCGCTCGGATCTGGCTGAATTGCTTTTTCGTGATCGTCGATCCTGATATTCGCAATGGGTCAGGATTTTCCCTCGCACAGACCTAACGGTGAGAAATGAGTACACAGAGTACATCCCGATGATTTGTACAACTGTACTCTGTACTGCGTTGAGACGAAATAGTTGCCAGGGACCGTACGATGTTAAAAAAAGCACGGAGTACTCCGTACTCCATACTCGTGCTCCAGGTTCTTTTAGCACTGCATGGACCCGTCACTTATTGCCTGGGCTTGGCAATATGTAGGAAATCAGTAGTTCACCGGCTGACACGTTCAATAGTAGCTTAGTTGGAGATTGTCAATTGCAGCATATCACTGACTACGAGTAGTTAACTACACAAGTACTGGAGTGCAAGATTATACTTGTACGAGAATAATACTAAATGCTAAGTATACGAGACTAGCAACAATAGTCCCGGTGCGTGTCCACAGCCCCCAAGCCCCAAACGCAGCCGTAAAATACCATAATTTACCGTAATTTACACTGTTGTCGCTCAACGTGTCCCGCCCCCCCATTCCCCCCCTAAGATCCTCTTCCTTTCTCGATCCTCATCTTCATTCACTCCTTTGTTTCTTTCCCCCCCTGTCAGCTTTGCTGCTTTGCCCGTTGACTTAGTTCGACGTTTTTTTTCGACCTGGGATCAATTCCCCTTGCTTCGGTCGCTTATTCTTTGATCCCGTTGCCCTGACGGTGCTCGACAGAAAGTCACTCCTTACAGCTTCTTCAAGCCCACACTCGCTTTACACACCTTCGGGGGTCGTTTCAGATTTATCGCCCCTTTCCATTCATTAACTCTTGGTCGCGCTCGTCTTTTTGGTCTGTCTCATCGGTTGCCATCGAGACCTTGAATATCTTCAATTATCGAAATCCCTGTTGCCATTGGACTATATCAGATCGAAACCCGGTCGTTTTGGGATTCTTGATTGCTGCACACGATACTTTCATGAGGTGTCAATAGACAGCATTTCATCGCAATTCGTACACTGACCTTGGACGCGCTCTGAGCGATAACGTACAGAATTGTTCAATATGCGCCCCGACGCTATCTCCGTCCTCGCGGCCTTGATCGCCATTGGTGCTCTCGACATTGCCGCTGCCCAGGATGCCGACACTTACGTCGACCGACCTCGCTACTACTTCCCCAAGGAAGTCAAGCGAACCATTCGCAACAGTGCCCGGAGCGCTGATAACAGCCCCGGTTCGTTTTTGGACGGTTTCTTCGACAACTTGATTCCCACCCAGAGCTCTTCCATTGCGCCAGAGGCTACTCCCACGCCCGAGACCACCTCAGCTGCTGCCCAGGAACCCCAGGGACACGAAGTCGTGGTTGTGACCATCTCCGTCGACCCTAAGAACCCGGAAATCACCCACCGCATCACCGGAACTACAACCGTTGGCGGAGAGCCAACTGCCACTCTCACCACGACAACCAAGCAGACCGAAGCTGCTGTCGCTGAGGACACTAACAGCAGTGCTGCGGCCGCTTCTTCCAACACAGATAACACTAGCCAACCGGCAGCGGCCGTCGCTTCATCCAAGGCCTCGAGCGCACCCGCTTCAACCTCGAGCGACAGCAACCTGCTTGGTGACCTTGGTTCGGGTCTGGGTAATTTGCTTGGCGGAGACTCGACAACTTCGACCCCGGCTGCCGCCGCTTCGACAGCAACTCCTACCGTGGATTCAGCGGCCCAGGTCTCATCTACTGCCCCCCAGGTCTCATCTGCAGCTGCCCAGGTTTCGTCTACGCCTGCATCCACCACCAGCTCTAACGGCAACATTGTCGCTGACATCGGCTCTGGTCTTGGTGGTCTTCTCGGCGTGGACTCCACAACTTCAACATCTAGCTCGGCGTCTTCTGTTCCCGCTTCTGCTTCTGCCTCTGCCGTTGCTGACTCGACCTCAACTGCTACATCTGCACCTGCCACCTCCAGCGGCAACATCCTCAGTGATCTCGGTTCCGATGTGGGTGATCTCCTTGGTGTGAACTCCAAGACCACCTCTACTGCCTCAACTGTTGCCTCTTCCGACCCATCAGCCAAGGCCTCCACCACCCCAGCTTCTACTTCCGTTACCTCTAGCGGCAGCGATAACATCTTTGGTGACATCGGTTCTGGCCTTGGTGGTCTCCTCGGCGGTCAGTCGACAACCTCCACTGCTAGCACAGCATCTTCTGCTTCTGCTACTGCTTCTGCTACTGCTTCCGGTACCGCTGCCGCTGCCGCTGCCACGACCACGCCTGCTTCATCCGCTACTCCCTCCTCCAGCGGCAACATCCTCAGCGATCTCGGTTCGGATGTGGGTGATCTCCTCGGTGTGAACTCCAAGACTACCTCTACTGCTTCAACTGTTGCCTCTCCCGACCAATCAGGCAAGGCATCGGCCACCCCAGCTTCTACTCCCGTAACCTCCAGCAGCAGTGATAACATCTTTGGCGACATTGGCTCAGGCCTCGGAGGCCTCCTGGGTGGCTCGACCACCAGCTCTTCTGCGACCCCCACTGGTTCTAGCGTCCAGAGCCCCGAATCAAGCAAGGCCAGCACAACCAGCTCTGGATCCGATCTCCTTGACCTCTTGGGTCTCGGTGGTGATAACAGCACCAGTGCTACCGCTTCTGGTACTACCATCCCAGTGAGCGTTCCCGCTTCTGCCACTGGCTCTGCGAAGCCCACCCCCACCTCGGGCGATCTCCTTGGTGGAATTGGATCTGGCCTGGAGTCCCTCCTCGGTATCGACACTACCAGCACTGGTCTCATCCCAACTGCCCCCAAGTCGACTGGTCTCATCCCTACTCTTCCCTCTATCGGACTGGGTGGCCTTGGAGGAAGCAGCACTGCTTTGATCCCCACCGCTACCAACCCCATTGGAACGATTCCCTCGCCCCACTCGCCCGGCTCTGAGCCCACCGCTACCTCGAGCACTGGCACTGGATCTGGCGCTGGATCTGGTTCTGCTTCAGTCCCCGTTCTGGGCACAACTGTCCCCACTCCTGGCACTGGATCTCACGAGACCCCCAAGGTTCCAACTCCCACCTCTCACATCGCTTCTATCCCTGTTCCCACTTCGACCAGCACCGAAGCCAGCACTACCAAGACTCAGACCCCCGTGGAGCCCCAGACTACCCAGGTCGAGACCCCTACCCCCTCCACCACCAACGACAATGACTGGATCCCCTCGACTATCTTGATCGTGCCCACCGTTGCCACTACTGAGAGCACCACCTCCGGTCAAACCGCCAAGCCCACGGCAACCTCGCTCCCGGGATCTATCACTCCCTCGAACGACGTCACCGAGGCCCCGTCTGACTCCATCCTGCTTCAGCTTGGTTTCAACAGCCAGCTGCCGTGGTCCTTTGTTGCAACCACCCCCTTGTCCTCGTCGCAGATCTTCAACTACACTCCTCAGGCTATTGAGAACGCTCTGCCAACTCTCTCGGCCAAGGATGCTCCTGTCATGTTCGCCATTGAGCCTTACTACAACTGGCAGGCTACTGGCTACAACGCGACTCTTGCAATCTTCTACTTCCCTCGTGACAAGGTTGATGCCCTGAGAGCTCTCAAGTCCAACCCCAACTCTGCTCTTTACAACCAGGCCAGTGAATCCATTCAGTCGCTGATGAACATGGTTGACTCGACAATTCCTCTTGAATTCTCTGGCAACTACCCTAGCAGCAACGGTGATTCCAACGGCGGCAGCAACACTGGTGGAGATGATGACAACACCGACGGTGGCAACAACACCAACGGCGATGGCTCTGCCAGCAGCTCCAAGACCAAGGCCAGCTCTGTTGGCATTGGAGTCGGTGTCGTTGCCGGTGCCGCCGCTTACGGTGCCGGTATGTTCTGGGTTGCCCGCCGCTACCGCAAGAGAAAGCAGCTGCACCAGCGCTCCAGCTCCACCGTTGAGCAAATGAGCCAGGGCGGTTCCGCTGCTGGCTCTATGATGGCCGCTGGTGGTCGCGCTCCCAGCCACGGCAGCCGTGGCACCGCTCGCTCCCAGATGATCAGTGCCCCCGTCATGGCGGAAAACTCCCTGGGATGGAACTAAATGCGCTTTCAATTGTACGACGTATAGACCCTTCCATCATACCCTTTCTCCTTTTGGACCTCACGACGACGACCAGAGGGCTTTGAGCCTTCTAAGTTCTTTATCTCGCTCCGAGATAACTGCCCTTCATGCGCTCATGCTCTCGCCATCTGACAAGAGGCAGGGACAGAGAGACTGCACAAAACTTCTTCTTCATTGTCCATCATCCTACATGTCACATATCAGGTATTTCTTCTTTTTGTGCAATTTTTTGATCGACCCACTCTTCTTCTCAACATGATACTCCGAGCGAGTTCCTCGCTGCGTGTGTCGCGTTTTCTTTTCTTCTTTTCTTGAAATATTCCCCCTTTTGTTCTCCAAATATTTTACATCCCTTTACTCTTTTCAATGGCACTGGGACTACCAAATTTGGGACGAATTCTTTTCTCTACTTTTGGCTGGTGCCACTTGAATCTCTTATGAATTACTGGTCTTTGTTGTCATTTGGACTCGCACATTAATCTTGGTTATGGGCGGTTGGAATCGTGCCTTTGACTAAGGCCTGTTCTTCTCTCCCCTGATTTCCTCTCCTTACTACTGACATCTCTCCCTGTCTCTCTGTTTTACTTGAATTGTTTTTGTTTGCCCTGTACAGATGTATGAAATGTGTCCAAGTGCCGTGTGGCCTTGTGGCTGTGGATTCGAGCGTGTGAATGAATGAGTAGATCTTCTATCTCTTTCCATACTCTTTATAGTAAGATGTAGTGCCTAACTCTGTAGTATCTATGGATGATTTGTCCCATGTCTCTTAACCCGAGGTTTACATCCATAGATAGCTACCTAATCCTCACGTATTGGGTAAACTGTGCTTAGTAGCCTACTTAAGTATATAATCAACTCTTCTCTTATGATCTCAACGTTATAAATTACTAGTCAGACATGAATGTCACACTCCTGTGCTGAATAGCTAAAAGCGCCAACTTGTCCAAGTCCGAGTCAGAAGGCTCTTCCCAATTCTTCTGAACCCGGACCACCAAATTTTGCCCATAAAAATGTTCAAAGTCCACCATCGCATCCCATTCGAAGAGGGGAGAGCTCTCGCGGAAGAAGTATGGCTGACCACTCTTTTCAATGAGGTCAAATTTCTGCCGATGAGAAGACTTGTGTGCCGTGATGAACTTCCCATCCACCAGCACCGCAACACTACAATGCCATGGACTCATTGAGAATGAATCCTTCTGCGGAATCAGAGGGCAGGATAGCTTCGTCTGTCCGGAAGAAGGGTGAATCGACAGCCGTAGTGAATCTGGGTAGATCTGGCGCACAAGCTCCGCATACTCCTGTAAAGAATGAGACCAGCTACATAGTAGGAGAAGAATAACTCACCACGCCGCGAACTATCATTTTCTTGGCAATTGATTTTATTCTCTTTTTATATTGCTTCGGACCGGCACAGTCCTTAGTCACAGGGCTGAATTTAAGATCGACTTTCATGAACTTGTCATATCCTGGAATCAGTGAGCAGAAGGGTATACTAAGTATCAGAGGGCTGATCAGAACTGACCATTGTATGTCCGCAAGTAATCCTCATCGCTCTTCAAGAACTTATCAACGTCAAATCCAGGTCGTCCGCATCTCCGATGAATCTCATTTCTCGACATGTTGGCAAGCTTTACATATTCATCCTTGGAGATCTGAGCACCAGAATAAAGATCTAGCATGTTCATAATGCGGTGGAACTGAATACAAGCGTATCCTTTCTCGACAGCAATTTTCCGCAGTCGATTTCCATAATCCCAGACTTCTTCATCTGGGATTCCAGTCAGGTCTAAAAACCGTTAGTTTTGAATTTCAAAAGGAATTTGCATTTCGATCCCGAGTCCAATTGAAACATACCATTATAGCAGATTCCATCCGTGACAATAACTACAATCGCACCAGGCGCATAAACGGCTTTGATATCTCGACACAGATTGACCAACCTGGCCAATCCCAGTTCTTCACCCAGGTCTGGAAGTGCACCAAGCACTTTGTCCATTCGGTTATTACTTTTCATTGGAAAAGCAGGTAAGACCATTGGAATTGCCCGGTTGGCTGCGACATGTGTTTCCACCCGTGGAGTGAAAGATGCCCGGCCCAGCCACTCCCCTGCTGCAGTTGTGCGTTCATGGGATCCATATGTTTCGACGATGTTGATGATCTCTTCCGCTTTTGAACGAGCTGGATTGACAGATTCCAGTGATGTGCCGGTAGTGTCATCTTCGACTGAGACAACCGGGACAGTTCTTGAGAGAACGAAGACTCGAGATTTGGGCGTGAGAACAATCCTGTCAGAAGCATTCAATAACGGAACTTCGACTATTGCTGTAGCTAGCATCTTGATCTCTTTATCGAGTATCGATAGCTTAGGGAATGGGGTGATGTTCAATCCAGGAGCCAAGAAAGGGATGGATCAGATGGCATGTCCAACATTTGTAGTTATATAGGATTGTTCCAGCCCTGGAGTGAACAAAGTTGAGATCCAGTGGCAAAAGATGCCACAACTCCCCTTTCTTCCAAGGTTGTCTTAGTATTTCCCCAGACATGGATGTACCACCCATCGAATCTACGTATCCCAACCTTGCACCAGACACCTGGGCATGATTACTCACATTCGAGTATTGTTCGATATTTCAAGGTCCAAATAAAGCCATTTAGTCAACGAAGCCTTGAATCTGTGATATCAATAAGCGCATTACGGAGATCTCCGTACACGTGTGCTGGTTTCAGTGCATGGCGTGGAGTATGACTGTTTTCGTATGTCCGCATTAGGCATTCCAATTAACAAAACAAGGAAAAGAGCCGCATGACTATGATGAATGTATTCTGTGCGAGCCCCAACTCAATTGAAGTTCATTCGATAGAGAGTTTCTGCTGCTTTGACTCTTTATGCATGATCGGCGCATAGGGGAGTCTACTGATTGGTCTGGTTACGAGGCCCCTTACACAAGAGGTTTCAAGGTTGAGAATATACTCCGTACAGTATGGCCGATAAGTCTACAGGTCTCATGAGAACTTTAGAAGTTAATTAGAAAAGGCAATATGACTACACCGTAAAGTGTATCAAGCCCAATTCTCAAAGTTTGCCCAGGCAGCCAATGTACCGAATCTAGAAAATTCTATACTTCCCCTACTGCAAGTTTAACACGAGATCTATACAGCATCTTTGATAAAGACATGGGTAGCATGTCACGATCAAGGATACTGCAGATTCGAGGGTTGTCAAGAGGTCTGTTTCAAACCGGACTAAAAGTTTCTCGTGCCAGGGCCGAAATACAAAAAGGCTATATCTCGGGTGGTAACATTCAGCTTCACCCCGCGAGATCGAGACCGGGTGTCTTGGATATGAGCATGATTGAGCATTCACAGGAAATACGAGGCCTCCCGCTCCCGCTCCCAGCGATATTCCATCCGCCTCGCAGTCTGCATTCCGATTTCGAGGCCTCCATAATGCGCCGAGATGAACTCCAACATCACGTCAATCCCTGCTGTGATCCCAGCAGATGTCCAGATCTCAATTCCAGGCAGCAGTCGCCCGGATGTATCATTCGGTATGATATCACGTACCCATCGCTTATTATGCTGCCAGTTCACTCTGCGTGAAGTACCGGTGACATCGCTGTAGCGGGCAGAGTTGGTAGTGGCTCGTAGATGATTCAAAAGGCCTGTTTGAGCGAGGATATGGCTTCCTGTGCAGATAGTGATGATACTGTGTCGAACGTAGGGTGCAACATCGACCAGAAAATCTTGTACCTCCTGTGTGTTCGAGACTCGGTCTCCAAACGTATCGGAAATGCGATCCAAACGTGTGCCTGGACCACCCGGGATGATCAACACGTCAACGGGCTGGATGTCGCCACGGGCTTCCCCCGCTTTCAGGCCGGAAATCACGTCAGCAAAAGTACACTGCGGCACGATATGTTGGTTGCAAGCTGCGTTGGTGGGGATCTCGAATTTCCAGTTGGCTTTCGGGGGTGGTATTGGCTTGACGGAGACTGGATCCAAAGTTGCGGCTGATACAGTCAGGGTGATGTCTGCCGTGTCAGGGTACTGGGTACGGATATTGAGAATGTCGAGTGGGGCTGCGACATCTAACAGTTGGAATCCTGGGAATAGTGGGAGGTGGTAGTGAAGAGGTCTGAGGGCCTTGTGTGAGGTCGAGAATCGAGCGAGTGGGAGCAAACGTGGCATGGTGTGTTCGGAGAGGTCTTTGTAATTCGTGAAAAGGAAGATACAATTCCGACTGGAGATATGCAATTTACTTTTGATCAGAGCCAAACAGAATAGAGTTGTTTGCACCTCAGGTCTCCCCCAGCCCTAACCTGGACTCTAAACAGTCCTACACCATCCCCGTTGAATCTACGTAGCACAAGGATTTTTTACTGCGAGTATGTACTAAGGTAAAACTGTTACCAGTTTGGACATTAGGCACCCGACATGTGAGACCCAACTACAAACAGCGCCCCAGTCACAATGCAAATACCCCCAAATAACTGAGCGTACAGGTAATCACCTCCCCGTAGGGCAATCAGCTGCCCGGCAATGTAGGGCCCAGTCAGTAACGGGATACTGTTGATTGTGGTGATCATCCCGACACGCGTGCCTGACCTTTCCGGGTCCTTCGAGCCGAAGTATGCAAGGGCAGCAGGGAGTTGACTTTGTACAGCATTGGCCATCAGTCCATAGATAGCAGCCCAGACAAACATGCCAGTATGGGTGTGAGCTCCAATCCACCCAAAGATGACAATGCCGCAAGGGATAGAAACTGTAATGCAGGTTCTCACGGCCCCCAGCCACCGATCTGCCACGAATGCAGATACAATTCGAGAAGGGATGCCTATTCCATTCATCAGAATTAAAAGGAGGAGCGAGTCCGACGCATGGAATCCTGCGTGCGCCTGGGCGTATTGTCGGACCTGAGGGTGTTAGTTCAGGTGCCAAAGGTCGGACGGGGTGAAATCCAATCTTACATAGATGTATGCAAAATAGATCCCTTCGAAAATCAAAAACGAGCCGATTGAAAAAAGGAGGTAAGGGCGTTCGCGGAACGCACCCAAATCCACCCAGGGAGGGGGACTGCGAGGCTTAATTCTCGACCGGGTGAAAGTGACAATGATGACACAGTTGACTAGGATGACGAGCGCCATGATTCGGACCGTCCACGCAAATCCAATAACGTCGAAGCATCTGTATGCAATCACAGGGAACACCATTCCCCCCGTGGCTGCTCCACAGGCAGCCAGTGAGACAGCCATCACCCGTTTTGAGGTGAAGTATGTCGCGAAGAGGGCGATCATTGGGCTGAACAAGAGTCCGTGGCCAATGCCACTGACAATGCCCTGCGCTAGCCAGAAATGCCACAGCTTTGTGCCAAAGGAGGTTGCAAGGGCTCCCACAACCTGGAATACGCAGCCAGTCGCAATACAGTACCGCAGATAGCCGGCGTCCATGGTTCGACCGGAGAACATAGCCAGGAAATGGACCAGGAACATCTGCAGGGATCCAATCCAAGAGGCATTGGCTGGACTGACATGGAGATGGTTGACGTAGTATTCTTGGAAGAATCCATAGCTTGTATGCATTAGCAGACAGGATCGGCATCGAACGTTTCAATGTAGGCCTCTTACGATGTGATATAGCCCCAAATGTTGAATACAACCAAATGCCCTGTCAGTACCTGGGTCCAGGCCACGAGACCACCATCGGGAATATCATGATTCTCAGCCTTTCGTTCTTCATCCTGCTGGCGGATGTCCGAAGACGCGGGTGATGGGGACCCTTCTGTCGGTGTTGTCGTGTAGGTGGTAGCTAAGATTGTATGGTCGGCGGTTGGATATGTTCGATTTATCTCATTGCTTGAATGAGATATCTCAGTCTGCCCCATACTCGTATTTCCCCAAGACTCAGGGGTATCTTCAAGAAGTTAAGAGACTCGGAGTGTGGCGAGCGGAAACTATATGAAGGCCGCGTGTGTAAGGTGACCCGAATGCTACATTGCGGAGTCAAATCTCCACACCCTGCGGAGCTTATGCATGTGGTGACTGGGCATTCAAATGCTGCATGACTTCAGTGCATGGTTTAAGGAATGGACCGGAGACACAGCCCGAACGTTGCTGTATAAAGTCGCTGCATTCGGATCGATCTGCCACGCGAGGGATGACATCTGGACACATCTTGTCATTATACTTCCATAATTGACGACTTATTTTGATCATGAAATTCGAATATGCACCAGAAGATATCCCAGAGAAGGTGGTTCAGGTTTTGAGGCGATTCTCTCTGCACTCGAGCAACGGGCAAAAAGATGCCGGAAAGGTGTTTGAGATCGTGGTGGAAAAGGTGAGTAATGACATCGCAGAGAACCAAGCAATCACAATGGTACTTCCGGCATTCCCATGGAAGAACCCAAACCGCGATAAAGTTCTCGGCGAAGGTGCTGATTTGGGGGAAGAATGGGGGCTTGCCAAATTGAATCACCTATGCGAGGACATCTCAAAAGTCTACCCGTATGGGGCGCGACTGATTCTCATTTGCGATGGGCCGGTGTATAATGGTGTGTTACTCTTGGTCCATAACACTGTCATTTCGTAAAATGTGTCCAGAACTAACAAATCAGACCTGGTCGGCGTGTCCGACGAAGAATACTATGAGTATGGAATCCAGCTACGAAAAATAGCCCAAGACAAAAAGTTCTCCTCCATTCAATTCATCCGCCTCATGGATCTTCTCGGGCTCGGTGACGGCGAGAAGATATCCAAACCAGATTACCTTCGTCTGGTGCCCACCTGCAGAGAAACATTGATGTCTCCTGCATACTTTGATCCCAAATTCGATATCGAGCATGAACTGAAGACAAACCCCGATACCAAAACCACATTCGACAGCTACTTCAGTCGTATCTCAGAGGATCTGAGATGGTCCAAGGGACTTGACCCTGCTATAGCGGGTGACCCGGCACTTTATGCAGCCGAGGTCTCGAAGATGGCGAAGACTATGATCAACCGGCTCATTGTAAGTTGAAGTGTTGTGGCTTTTATCTGACACAGTTCCTAACATTCATTGTTTCATACAGGCATATGAGGCGGTCATCAATGCTGCACTTGGAAAGTTTATTCGTCTGTCAATTCATCCATCAATAGGGCGGAATAAAATCTCCATTCCTTTGTTGCGACAAGGTGACCGGTTTGGTGATATGCCTTGGCATGCAAGTGTTGTGGTTCTTTCCAACGGGGATATCAAGACTGGCAACTCTCGGGATTTCCGCAAGTTGTATGAGACTGTCATGAAGAATGGTCGTCCGTATTACTTCCGGGAGAGAAGCCCGATGTATGAATGGGCAGCAGAGGTGGAGTTTGAGCATGATTATGAGGGATTGATTGTGCGGAATAAAGGGACGCAGATGTTGGGGAGGGACGATCGATTCAAACTTGCACGTCTAATCATGCAGCATCGGAATAAGTCTGTGCGAGTGGAGGGGTTTGAGGTACCCAATGATGCATGATACAATACGATTCAACGTGGCACGAGTAGATCTTGCAGCAAACCATCCCAAGATCCATAGCCGTGTGCGAAGGGGCATAGCGGCCAGTGTCGCAGTTCATTTGGTCAATTTTTTTCTTGGGAATAAATGCCTCTGATTTAAAGTGCTTTTCATACCAAATACCACCTACTGTAAGTTCTAGCTTGAAAGAGCTCTGCTCTGATAGTTTACTTTGGGGATAAGACGTGATGTAGATTCGGATATAAGAATGGGATTTAGGTATATGAAAAAGAGACAGCAAAGAAAGGGTCAAAAGCCAAACAACATCTCGTGTCTCGTGAATGTTTATCTTTTGTCAGATAAAAGCTCACTTGTGTAGCTGATAGCTGCTTCCTTCTTTGACATTTGACAGCTTTGATAATTGAAATTCTCCTCACGATTCCAACAACTTCATATCATCGACAATGAGCTCATCGCCCTTGGAGAATCTTCCCACCGAGATACTTCACCATATCTCCAGTCATCTCGATAGAGAGCCTCGTCTTCGACAGGACCTGCAGTCCCTTCGATTGACATCTCACAAACTGAATGATGTTGCAACACGGTGGTGGTTTAGGAGATTCCACTTCACTTTTCATATTGGTGGCGGTCGGTGTCTAGGTGAGAAGCACGACCAGGCCGACGCCCAATTGATACTCATCAAGAAATATGGCCACTTTATTCGTGAGGTCCAAGTGGGAAAGCACATCGGATGCAAGCAGGACCAAGCTCGTCCTCTGTCACTTGTGCCCTTCCTGGAGCAACTTGATCTTCTACAACACCTCGAAATCCAAGGCCGACTTGAGAATTTCGAGATCTTCAAGACGGACTTGAAGGACTTGATGCGTCGGGCGAGCCTGTTAGCTCAACCCCAAGATCGTGCCTTAAAACATCTTCGTTCTAGTGAGTAACGCGTTGGAAATCCTGCCGGTGTGATTTAATAGAACTAACTCCATGAAGTTCAGCTCGTATGCGGCTTAATGGGTGATTTTCATACAGCGGCTGATGTGGAAATATTGTTCCTCGTGCCACAGCTACAGGACTTGGAAATAAGGGGAGTACAGATTGCTTCGAAAGGGCTGATCAACACTGCACACGCCAGGTCAACTGGCCTCAAGAGTCTGCACTTGGAATCTTGCTGGATTGAATCCAAATTTCTCATCACGCTCCTCTCCTTGCCCTCTGCGTTAGTTAGTCTCTGTCTTATGGGAACTCATGTCGCATCCACTCACGACCTCCAAGTGCATCACGTTCAATCAAATCACGAGGAATTTCGCTTGCGACTACCTTTGATTGGGAATGATGTGGTTCAGGGAATGCTGCAGCAACGGCATTCACTCAAGTGGGCATTTTTTCGGCCAAACCCTTGGTTGGACTCTTGGTTCATGGGAGCCGAACGATATCTTTTCGGTCACGCATATGACAAAAACGACGAAAGTGGTTATACCCACTACAACTACTGGCGCCGTAAGGTGTTTGATAACAAGGACAACTTCCCGACGTTGTTTGCCCAGCCGGATTGGGATCGTCCGACAACAACCTGTGTGGCCAAGACGCAAGGGCAGATCGGCCATTGATCGTTTAGGTCCTGACCGGCGTTTGGGGTGGAATTTCGATTTTGGGGCCAGAATAGTGGAAATATGTTCCAATGGATATCAATAGGAGATCAGGGAGTGGGAAGTGATATGTACAAGAGATAGGAGAGAGTAATCCCGAAAAGAAAAGAATGTCCCACTCATCAAAGCGAAGAATGGTAGGAATTTAGCAATTAGTCGTTCTTCTTGTCCCCAGAAGACTTTCCAAACCAGCTCGTCAGTGACGCAATCCCACTGGTCTCTTCGCCAGACCGACGACGCAGCTCGCGTGCTCGCTCCCGCTCGGCCTTGTACTCATCCCAAGAGAGATTGGCCGCCGCAGCAGCACGGACTTCCTCTTCTTCTCGGGGAGGCAGGCTCTTGCCTGGCAGTGGGCGAACAGCTGCTTCACCGCCGTATGCACGCAGACCAGTGCGGAAGGCCCATTCAACGGCTTCATCGACGGGGTGGTCGAAAATGTAAGGAAGGAAGGGGACAACAGCGAGACCCAACTATGAAAGTGGTTAGCGTCCTGACCCTCGCCTCAATATCCCTGGAATACATATACATACCCCGATAGGCGTCCAAGTGCGAATGAACGAAGTCTTCACCCCCTTGACCATCTTCCCAGAGTACCGCACAACACTGTGGATTGTGAAAGCCGGCAGACCCATACTGGCAATACTCTGGAAGACAGCACGCTTAGCCATGACCAAGCGGTAATCCTCCGCAAGCGGGATCTCGGGGGTAGGCCAGTGCAGCGAATCCTTAGAGTCAGCCTGATTACCGATGGTCATGTTTCCCGTTGCCATGCCCTTGATGATCTGGTCTTGTGAGGGCTCGCTGGCGTCTCTGTAGGCGTCCCCGGTGGGCGCCAGGGCCTTCCAGTTGCGTAGGTAGGCTTTGTAGCCCTCGTGTCCGACATCACCTAGGAGATAACCCCATGAGATTCCGTAGGCGGAGCGGACGAGCCATGGGTGTGCGATTGGGCGGAAGGATTCGCCAATGTCGGAGGTGTAGGCGACCTGGATCGGTTAGTGGATGTTGACTTGGGTGTGCGGGGATCGTACATAGCGATGAGCGGAGACTAAGATGGTGCGAATGCGATTGGCATACGCAGCATAACGGTAGGGAGTTTCCGTTGAATCGACGGAGCTGTCAGAGGTTCCCATTGTTAGTTGCTTTAGTCTTGGGTGATGTTGGGCTTCAAGGTGATCTGCGGTGCGGAGAGAGGCTATGTCATCGGAGACACACGACAATTCGCGCTCTGCACTTCTGCGCTTCTTCTCTTTGTTTCTGTTTTCCCACTCTTCGTTTGTGCATTTCTCTTTTGCGCTTTCTTTTTTTATAACAATGCAAGGAGAAATAAAAAATCAAGAAATCAAGAATCAAGAACCACGTACTATCCAGAGTATAGGTCGTCGTAGAACTCGTCTTCGCGGTCTACAAGTTGTTGTAACTTGACGGGCAGCTTCTTTTGCACTACAGGCTTGTCCAGCAATTCCTGTGGAGGTTTTGGTTCTTCTTGTCGACTGCCCCAAGCCATCGTGTGAATCGTACGGTGCTCAAGGGGGGGAGGGGCTGTGTACAGGAAAAGAGAGGGGAAGAATGAAAGCTATGCAAGGGAGAAATTTGTATTATTAAAAGCTGTCAGATCAACCGTCCAGCACAGCCGAAAGGCGCAGCCATAGCCGGGGTATATAGCAATGTCCGTCAATAGTGTCCCGAGGCAGTTGTCCGATATTCCGGGGTAGGACTACTCCGGAGTGTACAGAGCACAGAGAGTACAGGGCAGTTGGGCTCAGGGCCGTCCACACGGATCCTGGAATATCTTCGTAGCACTCGGCCTGAAGGATATCGTCGGCTTCTGTACTTCTGGGCATCTCGGCCTATCTGTGTCCGTTGCATGATTGTCCGTAGTTGAGCCCGAAAGACCGGGGAAGATCGGACGCCCTCGGGTAGTCCGCGGATGCCAAGACCTCGAAATATTACATAAGAGCTGAGTCACGGGATATATGGTCATGTGATTCCGATCTAGGCCCAATCGGGAAAGGCGGTCTCGGTGCCGACCTCGTCGTTTGGTCCACGCCTGAGGATTCCCGTCCACATCGCCAGTTGAAACCTTTAGCTGAACCTCAATTCACATCTTCCCAAAATGGTTGTCTACTATCAGATTGCTGGCAAGAAGGTCGGCTCCCACGTCGTAAGTTCCCCACCCCGCGCCCTCATCCCTTTCTCGGTACGAAACGGCGAACCGAAAGCTGATCGAGTCCTCGCTTCCCTCATAGCTCGCCATGGCCACCCTCGGCAGCATCTTCGCCGGTTCCTGGTTGGCCGCTGGTGGTGGTGAGAAGCCCAAGACCGCCCAGGGTCCCCCCATCAACGCTTCCTCCAAGGATGAGGAGAACTTCATTCAGTATGTGCACGCCATTCCGGAGGGTCCTGATCCGCCCTGGACCTTGCGAAAATCATACCCAACGGGGTGACTGACATTTCGCCTCTACAGGAACTTCATGAAGGAGGTTGACGGCGGCGAGAAGAAGCCTGCCCAGCACTAGACAACCCCTCGACACGGTTTTGATGGAGCGGTCGATCATCAGCAGATAGGACTTTGAATTGAACTATACTGCCCGTTCGCCCTGGTGCCATTTCTAGCGCGCTGTGTACCCGCTCGGCGTTCTGGCGACGATTTTTCAAGCTACACGGACCAATCTCGGAATGTCGGATGCGGTTGATCTGTATATAGGGGGTGTGTACGCTGCATAGAAAGTTTTCCTGCTGATACAGGCTCTATGGGCCATCGCATTCGTCTCTCGTTGAGCTTTGTTCACCGCGGACTGTGGGGAGGGAGTTGTGCGACAGCAATTCAATTCGCTTCGGGTGACTCGGATCTACGCTTCATAACCATGTGGAAGATCACGCCCGGGACGAAGATTGGAACTTGGTGTCTGCAATCGCTTTCCGGTCCGTCGAAAGTTTCACGCTATAAAATCGGTGATACGTACGGAGTAGAATCTGATAAGATGTATGGAGTAGATGTAAACAGCCTGGATCAAGCTCCAAGAACCCGGCAATATCCCCCAATGATTTGACTTTATAAATTGCCATAAACGGGATAGGTCGAGCTCGTACTTGATCAAGGGCTCGGCAGTTGTGTCAAAAAGCTCATGTCACTTGTAAACACTTCACCTTCACAACCTCCCCACACCTCTCGACACCCAAAATGAAACCACTGCCCTTCCCCTTTCCATTCAATATCGGCACAGACGTCGTCCACATCCCTCGAATTGGCCGCCTCCTCGCCCAACCAAACTACCTCCCCCGCTTCACGCGCCGCATCCTCTGCGACTCCGAACAAACAGACTTCAAAACCCGCTTTAGCGAGTCCCTCCAAGCCCGCGCCGCATACCACCAGCAGCCTCCACCTGTACCTGCAGACATCACACGCTGGCTGGCCGGGCGCTTCGCGGCTAAGGAGGCGGCGCGCAAGGCAGCGCCGGAGGGCGCGGCGTCAATTGGTTGGAAGGATGTGATGGTGCGTGTTCAGGAGGATGGAGGTGCGTTCGGAGTTGGTGTCAGTCGTCGGCCGGAGATTGTGTATCTTCCGCCTGCGGATGGGAGTCATGAGGGGAGGGTTGCGCGGCTTTCAATCTCTCATGATGGGGATTATGTTGTTGCTACGGTTCTGGCGGCAGGGTGATCGGATGGCAGGCTCCAGATATGGCCAACGTCAACCCTACTACAATTGGTCTCGGCTTTGTTAATTTGATACGTGAACACACTCGTCGGCTCAAAGCTCTGCGACGAATCTCTGCTTCAGATGATGGCATTTGGATCCATCTCCCGAGTCCAGATCAGGATCCAACTGCGATTCGGCCAATTCGCCTTTGCTACACTCCGAGCACCACTTCATAATTTGCAAAGCTCGATGTCGGTGATCACGCAGTGTGCATGCGACATACTGGGACTGGGGACAAGATGGAAAGCTGAAAGCTGGAAGGCTTGGCCCTAGAGTCTTGAGACCCATACTGGGAGAAATGAAACAGCTGTTCAAGAAAAGATGTATATAATTACCCAATTCAGATAGACCAGCACATCTCTGCATTGAGGTGGGGAGCTAAGCTGTGCTGGACTCGGAGACCGCGGGGAGTTCTCTTATCGGACTATCTTCCACCTCGACTCCATCGACCACCTCCGACGGAATAGAGTGACCTTGAATACAGATACTAAATGTAGGTGATATCTGCCTTGCAAGAAGCCATCTTTGCTACCCACTCTGAATGAACCCCCGAGTTTAGAGCTTCAGTTGACCGTCAACACAGAGAGTCAGACCATACAATGCCATTCTCCCACCACAGCCACTCGGGCCAGTTCTGCCCAGGCCATGCTCAGAACTCATTAGAAGATGTCATCCAAACGGCCATCAGCAAGAAAATGCAAGTCTTTTGCTTGACTGAACATATGCCCCGCCATAAGGAAGATTTCTATCCCGAAGAAGTACGCAAATACCCACTCCACGAAGCCCAGGCAAGATTGACTCATCAAAAATCCAGGTTGAATCTGGAAATACAGAAGAGAGCCACGCAGCAAATGAAGCCGCTTATTGGGAAGAAGCAGTTCGCCTACGCGAGAAATACGCCTCCCAGATCAAAATCATCATCGGGTTCGAGATCGACTGGATCAGACCTGCCTCGAGAGATCTGATTGACCGCTCTCTAGCAAGGTTCCCATTTGAGTTCTTCATCGGTTCGGTTCATCACATGCACACCGTGCCGATTGACTATGACCGGCCGATGTATGAGCAAGCGAGGGAGCTCGCGGGCGGAACCGATGAGCGGCTTTTCGAAGATTACTTCGATGCCCAGTTCGATATGCTGCAGCAGTTGCAGCCGTTGGTGGTGGGTCATTTTGATCTGATTCGACTTAAGAGCGATGACATGGAGCGCAGCTTTACGGAATGGCCTGGGGTTTGGAGCAAGATTCTACGGAACTTGGATCTCATTGCTTCGTATGGAGGCATGTTGGAGCTTAATTCCGCAGCTTTACGGAAGGGAATGAGTGAGCCCTATCCCAAGGCTGAAATTTGCCAGGTAGGTGATGCTACGTATGCTTCATGATTTAGGTTCGTTGCTGATTGTATTAGGAATTCGTGGCCCGCGGCGGCCGCTTTGTTTTGTCCGATGACAGCCATGGCGTTGACCAGGTGGCTTTGAACTTCCACCGGGTCTTGAAATTCTTGGATCTCGCTGGCATCTCTACTCTTCATTATCTCCAGCTGGGAGTGCCCTCGGTGTCAGCCATTGTCCCCGATGCTCGTTTCCCCCAGACGCAGGTTGCTGAAATATCTGTGGAAGATCTGGGCAAGATGGAGTTTTGGTCATAGTCTCTATGCTTTGGGCGAATCAATGCGATCCCGCTTCATTGCCGACGATCTTACTTCCCCGCCGGGAAAAAGGAGTAAACCGGAGCGCCCTTCTCGTACGGGCTAGTGGCTTGATCCTTCTAACCCCCAAGACTTGGCCCGTGTAGTGAGCGTCATTCCATAGACTTCGTGATATTCAATTCCAATCATCCTCACCGTTCCAGCCATGTGGCACTCAATTCCCCCGCCTGCAGATCACATCCCGTGCATGACAACGTTTAGATTATCTATGCAAACTTACAATTGCCAATATAATCTGTACTCTTTGGTAGTGAAATATACAAAAGACTTTACAATTATGACGCTCGGTTCCGCTTAGCAAAAAAAAAGTGGACCTGCCCCTCCCCCTCCTCGCGCTTCTTACCTTCACCTCTTCACCTCACTTCATACTCAAAATCATTCAAAATGGGCGTCGAAAAGAAGATCATCGAGAACGGCAACGGCACTGACTACCCCAAGGTGGGTGAGAACGTTGCCATCCACTACACCGGCTGCCTCTACGATGAGACTGCCGAGAACAAGATGGGCAAGAAGTAAGCTACCCTCGTAACTGAAGTCATCTTGAACTTCAAATACACAGATCCTAACACCTCCCTAGGTTCGACAGCTCCTACGACCGTGGCTCCCCCCTTGCCACCCCCATCGGTGTCGGCCGTCTGATCAGAGGTGCGTGTTTGACGTGAAGCTTCTAGCTGTGGATGACCGACTGACTGGATACTATAGGCTGGGACGAGGGTGTTCCCCAGATGTCCCTTGGTGAGCGTGCTATCCTGACCATCTCTCCGTAAGTCATTGCCTGCCAACCTCTCCTAGTTTGAACCCAGCTAACATGCTTTACAGTGACTTCGGCTACGGTCCCCGGTACGTATTCCGATAACTCCTGTGCTCGCGCAAATGTCCCGATGCTATACATACTCCATTTACGCCTTGGATAAAATCATCAGGTCATATCAAGCTAACAGAATCTCTTAGTGGTTTCCCCGGTCTGATCCCCGCCAACTCCACCCTGGTCTTGTAAGTTATTCGATGTCTACATGGTGTGTCTAACACGAATGAAATACTGACATGATCGCAGCGATGTCAAGCTCGTCACCATCGGTACCCGCAACGCTTAAATCAGTCGTGATACCACGAATTGGAAAAGACATGCGAATTATGGATCACACCTGTCTGCCTACTTCAGTTGACAGGTTACGGAGTACTTGGTAGCAAAATCTAATATCGATATTTGCTGTCAATTTGACTCTGAGCTTCCACTGCCTATAGTAGACGTACAACTAACCTTGCGACATTACCGTGCAATACTATTGATATACGCGATCCCAGCAGCACGGTACGTATCAGCCTCAGTATAGCTCTCAGTCCGGGGCAAGCGGAGAACGAAATTCGAAGCGGATGTACCAGATGCGTATTTCGGCCATCGAGAGATACCAGATACTAGATGCGAGTCAACAATCAGCCTCAAGCCACCCGAAGCGAGATTTAAAAGAAAATTCTTACCACCATGTCCATTTGGATCCAGATCTGCTACAAAAGACGTCCACATGCGCGCTGCCATCTGTCCCAATTCTAGACGGGCAGGATCACTTCCCAGAGGCGTAATGGTTTGAACGGGATTTGCGAAAACGAAGGGAATCTGTTTTTCTATGTCAATTACTAAACCTGCCATCAAATTTATATCGACATACCTCGGCAAAGTGCTGCACACCAATTGTGGATGAAGTATTCAATGCAGCTACATCCCACCGGTACGAAAACACATCTGTGAATTCAAACATGGTCTGCGCTAGCAGACGCCGTGGTGCTACCATTGTCAAATCTCCTGCCATGGATGAATACCGCTTGTACATCTGGCCCAGGGCGGGCCAGGTGATATTCCCCCAGCCGTAGGGACAGCCGATGGCGGAGATGTTGGGATAGTGTTGTAGAAGGGTAGTGGCTTGGGTGCGGTTCAAGACCCAGCGCTTAGATTCTGTAGTCGGGTTAGGATTTATTGTCAGCAAGGTATGGAAAACGTACTGGTCAACTCATCAATGCAGTCTTTGTCTGTGTCTGTGTCTGTTGTACCAAAGCTGGTTCCTTCGTCTGTGTTGGTGCCTAGGAGAATGGGTACCTGGGCTACTTTGCCTTTCTTGTAGCTTATTTGGGGGTATTGCGTTATGAATGATCCGTCGATAGTTGCAAACCATTCGAGGCCTTCGTAGGCAGAGTCGTATATCTTTTCGTATGGTAATTCGCGAAGACATTGGAGGGTATTTTCAGCATCCGTACAGCTATCAAGTGTCAGTTTTTATGGGACAAGAGTTGAAGATGCAAACTCACCCAGCTCTCTCGACGATTCGGTTGTACATCGGCTGGTGCCATTCAGTACCGTTGTAGGGAGGACCAACAGCATTACCTGAGTCCATGATTACTAGCATTTCTCTTAGTATTGTCTGACCATTGGTGCTGGGAAATGATAGACAAACCAGCTCTGAAAAGCCCCTCGTTATTTCCATCATTGGTTACCAGATGGGCTCCAACGCTGTATGCACCACTTTGAATCTTTCAGTTAGCATTCAATTGGAGAGAACAGAAGACTTGTCGCAAGCTCACGCTGACTCTCCCCAGATAGTAATCTTCTTTGGATCTCCTCCAAAGGCTTTGATGTTCTTCTTCACCCACCGCATGGCAATCCGCTGGTCGCGCAGAGCTAGGTTGGTGTTGCCCTCGGCCTGGAAAATCATTCAGTTTGCAAGTCATCCTATAATCGCGAAAAAAAAAAAAAAGAATCCTCACCCTCACTTCCTCCGAATCCAGGAATCCAAAGGCTGACAATCGGTAATTGATAGAGACGCCCAAGACCGGTTTTCCATTCAAAGCGCTCTGTTCAACGATATAACTCATGTTATACCTGTATATCATTTAGCCATTGACTGGATATGCACTCATAGCTGCCAACTGTATCTTCAACATACCTCGGATCCGCAGTAGCACCCTGCGTCCATCCACCGCCAAAGATCCAAATCATCACCGGAAGCAACCCGGGATCCTCTGTCTGAGGACGAATGACATTCAAATTCATACAATCCTCATTCAGAGTGATTAGACCCTGTTTCACTAGAGTGGTAGTATCCGATCCATACGCAGGACAGTCATAACCATACTGGGTAGCATTGTAGTATACCGTGCCGGCAGTAGTTCTTTGGGTCCCGGAAAGTTCATATTCACCGGAATTGCTGTCGTTGGAAGCGTATGTACTCTTCAGCTGGGCTGGCGTGAAGCGAACAGGCTGATCAGCATATTTTATACCGAGGAAGAGATCTTGTTTGAATTGTGGGAGAGATCGTCCCACGAATATCGCTTTGGTCGTGCTGGCTAGTGTGGCTGTTGGAGGGCTAGATGTTCCTGTCTGAAGGCTAGCCATTGCCCCAGAGAGCATGGCAAGAATGGTTAAAGACACTATTGGGGCCATTGTTTGTGTCTCTTCAGAAGTAATATTCTCGGGGTGAGAAGGGGTATATCATCTTTAAAGTTAATCTATAGATATCATGTCGAGCAGGTCCTCACGGAAAATTGGGAGTCGGGAAATTGTTCCAAGCCAAATAATTTATCAAAAACATGTGTTTAATACAATATAGAATAGTGTCAGTGTCCAAATTAAATGCTCATAGGCGGAAAAACAAAGCTGGGCAGGCGGGGAACTGTATGATTCGGGGTCAAGCTCCATACCAAGAGCGCTAGTGCGAAAGGCTTCATATGGAATCCGGTTTTCCCTCCCGATGCCTCGTAGGCTGGATATTGATGCTTAGTTTCTAGCCTCCAAGTCTTGTGATTTCCGAAGTATAGCCGCGGGGGCCAATGTCTGATCCTGCCTGATCCTGCCTGAATATTGCTTGGAGTTTACAGGAGAAAAGCCGACGGGACCAATCAATGTCACTAAGCTAAGGAGACAGAGAGAGTCATCTAAACCGTGCTGAACCATGTGAAGGGTTCTAGCAATATTCGAGTTGAATGCAATGAATGATACTACCACTACCCTTTTGGAAATCTCTATATCAATGAGTCTATAGACTCCTCTAGGCGTAAGGCCACCTGAGTTTACCGATCATCGTAAAATGCCATGCAATCGGCTCCGAAAAGCAACTGGGATATCTCTTTTCCTCATTGACGATATGGAAATCGCGCCAAATATCCTTGAGTGAATATTCCCCTGATGACATGAACTCGTAGAACCGCCAGAAAACCTGGGTTCCATTGATTCTGAGTCGGCCGTCGTAGCCTTCATCCTCATCAGGGTCCGACGAAGACCAGTCCGGATCAATTGCCCAAAACCAACCAGAAAATCCAGTCTGACCATGGCGAATAAAGGACCGCCGAGATTCAGCGGTCACCAAGAAGAACACGTTCTTGAGAATTCCAAACTTCAGATCACCCCTCTCACGATGACCGAGAAAATCCCTAGTTCTGATATTAATATTCTCCTTTCAAGGTGTGATATTAGATGAGGATACTACTCACTGTCGTAAATAGTCGATATCACTCTCATCCGTATCAAAGGGAGTGAATTGTGCAAGTTTCGAATCATGAATCACTTCAGACCCTGGTTGAAATGTAGGCGTATCGAGCATACCATTGAAGTCCTCCAAGAAATCATCCCACCCCTGACCGGCCATATCTCTATGATGATAGAACACATATCCCCAGGTCTTATCATCTCCCTGGTCAATGACTCTTTGTATCCACTTGAGTGGCGTATCATATGGTTGATCTATATAGCAGTCGAACTTTTTGTTTCGTTCGTCGAGAGCTAGCTTTCGCAACCTATCAGCATTTGCCTCTACATTGCGAATAGCCTGTAGCTCTGTCGGTGTCAAGATCGAATCTCTTGCTTGCTTTTTCTTAGATAGAAGATCGGGCCGTCTCATGATCCAACCCCATCGATCACCCCTATTCAGGAATGCTATCACGCGGAAATTGTCTTGGACAAGACAACATTCCGGGTGTGTCAAAGTAGAGGGAGCTGTGGCAGCTTTTTGAAATAGGTCTTCGACTGAGAGTCCGAGGAGTTTGAGGGATTTGGCCTCCATTTCTGCGCGAGGCGGCCATTCCATCAGTTGATGCTTCTCGTCGGTTGAGACTTCTGCTGGGGTTTGGATCGCTTTGTCCCAGAGGGGCTCTAATTGAGCAAATTCCTCCAGAGTTAAGGGCAGATCTGGATAATGAGATGATGACATTTTGAAGGGTTGATTGAAAGTCTGAGTTGTGTTTTTGAAAAATTGAGGAAAATTGGGAGGGCGCTATAGTCATTGTAGCCTAGTAGCTTAGGCCCCAGCATGAAAGACCGCTCTCTCCAGGGCTCTCAGATTCCGTGTTCGCAAACAATCAAGGCTCTTGCTGAACAGTCGCATTACCCTACAGCGCCCATCTGAGTGTAAGTGTCTTTGTATAAATCACAAGTCTATGCTGAGATCTTACAGCTCTAAGCTACCAATGCACCAACACCAACAGAAAGAAGTATAGGAGAAATGCAAAAGTTGTGAATTTCAGATCCACACGCAGAGACTCTTATTATGTACGCTTGGAAATTCAATCAAACACATTAGTCGTCCTTGGCTCGTTCGCCGTATGCGCCTGAAGAGCCTGAGCCGAAACCAGCTGCACGAGACCTGCTCGCTGCCACCGCTGAAGAACTGTTGTATCGGACGGAAGATGAGGAAGATCCACCTTGCAAATCGGGTCTCTGCGGACTACCCTTGAAAGGGCTCGTAGAATCTCGACCATCTACTCTGCTATCGTCAAGTTCGATCAAGTCATCCATTCGCCATAGATTGCGTCCTCGGCTATTGCCTTGCTGGCTGGGAGGCTGTTGCAGCTCATTGATGCCGGCCTTGGCCCGCGTCGCTACTTTGCGAACCCAGCCCTCGAAAGCACCGCCGATGTTCTCGAGCCCGGTCGATGCGTTGGAAGTCGCAGTTGACGCGGATTCAAATGAAGCGTTGCGTGCATTGTCTGGGGGTGGCCCTGGTGCAAGATTCGGCATGTGTTGTGCGAAGAATCGGGTGAAGCCATCTAAAGCAGGCCCTGGGCCTGTCGAGGTGGAATCGAGGGTTCCCACGCCAGTGCCGGTCAGGTGAAGGCTACTCTGTCGGCGACGATGTCCGGGACGAGAGGGATTTGAGGACTTGGGCTTAGATTGGTCCCCGTTAGATCGAGTTCGTGGGAGTGCACCAAGTGTTGATGGCGGAGGGGGTGATCCAGAGGGAGATGGAGGTGTGACTGTTTCTCGATATGAGGTCGGGGGATCGGCATCTGAGTAGGAAGTTGATTTTCGACGTGTACGCGGGAAAAAGCCTAGTGCACTTCGAGGCACTCGGACAATCTGTATTGGTCCTGGGAAACCATCCATCTGCACCCAAGATTCATGTGTCCAAACCTGGTTGGGATCTTCGAGGGGGGTAGGTTTCTCCTTTCCCTTGGTCTTATTATTGGAAGTGGCCACGGGGGCGATAGAGCTGTCACTGGGGTCTTCGGTATCCGGACTCAATAGATCCACAGGCTCTTTGGGCAGAGGTCGGCCTTTCACCGAGCATGCGTCAACTGGCAGTAAAACAACATTCCTACTTTGAATATTGTCATTGGGCCAGAAACCATTTGATTTCCGGAACACCGCAGCCTGGCATCCATATTTGATCGTCACTCCAGTGATAGTATCTGTCGGCTGCACGCTGTGAATATAAGCCAGCGCATCCTCATCATGCCCTGGGTCAATCGCTTGGTGCGAAGTGTCTCCCGAGTCGCGTCTTTTATGGGGGAAAGCCCGGCTTGCGATTGGGTCACTATCCGCAAGTAGAAGCGCTTCTCTCTTCTTCGCTTGAACCAGAGCTTGTCGTTCCTCCTGGGTCCCAGTGCCAACATCTAAGGAATTCGGCGCCGATGGACCCCACGCCGGTCTCGGACCACTCTTGATATATACATCCGACCGAGAGGGCTTTCTGCGCGGGTTCGTCTTTGTTGTATTAGGGGGAGTGGCTCGTCCTGCGTCACTCCCCAGAACCGAAGATGCAATACTTTGGAGTGACGACCACGAGGAGTCTAGAAAGTCCGCAGCACCTCGCGACGAGGTGAGGGATCCATTCCAAGCAAAAGCAGAGGTCTCACTGCGTGTGTCACGGTTGGCCGATTCGGTCGCTCGGGAGGGGTGCGTCCGCGGAAGTGGTGACGCACCACGAGATGGCCCCCGCGAGCGAGTTGATCCAGTCTCGGATGGTGCAAGAGTGGTGGACAAGGCGGAGGATAACGGCTGGGAGTCGCTCTGGTAAGAATAATTTGAGCTTTCGTCCTCCTCGTCATCCATGAATGAAACTAAGCGTCGAGGTCGCGATCGAACTGTGGAGGTGGAAGTTGTGCTTGCGCTTCCAGCTTTAGGGCCTGGAAAAGCATTGACGAGGCTGCTTTGTGAACTCATTCCTGTGAGTTGTGCTAAATGATGCGAAACAAAAGCCCCCCCTTAATAGTTTGTACCGCCAAGGCACCAGATGCCATCAGTTGATCATCTATAGAAACCCATTCGTGATCTGAAGTCGCACGAATTTCCTTGAAATGTAAGCGAGCGCGAATTCGCCCATGCAGTCAAGAATTAGACAGAGGTGAAGGTGAAGGTGGGCGATAGGGAGATTAGGGTGACGACAGCGGAGGTCTCGCAACGCCAAGTGGAGAACAAAGTACCCAGGCGAAGCAGAACAAACTCCGGAATGAGAAGGGACTCCAGGGGTGAGCTCCAAGGCTTTCAGTGAAAGTACTCCGTAGGTACAAATCAAAGTCAAGGAGAAAAGAGAGGGTTGTAATGATCGGCAGGTGACTTCGCCGCTCGGTAAAGTAGCGGTACATGACGTTGCCCGGAGGAAGCCACCTATTCTCCGTACCTGTACATTCCTAATTTCGGATATAGATTGCAACCTTAAACTGATATATACAAGAGGCTTTAGGGATTGATTAGATCGCAATTATACACAATTCTATGAAGCCAGAGATCCAGGAAATATCGCCCTCGGGTTTAAAGGGCATTTCCAGCACGTAACGCCAAGTCTTTGCGCTTGCAGGAGAAATTAAATAAGATCAGGACTCTCGTGGGCTCCTTACTCGGGGGGTTCGGCCATCACGGAAGGTCGTGGCTCAGTTTCAGAGGTGACCTCAGACTCGGTGCTCCATTCGCCTTCCTCCTTTTCGCTGACCTTCCCTGTGGGAGTAGGCAATGCATCCGGATGAATCACCTTGATCCCTCCGGCGCTCAGGAAGAAATCTTCGGTGCGAAGACCGCGGACTTCTTGGGGGTTCATGGCATTCATGTCCATGCCATTTGCTTTCTGGGTTCGAATGAGCTCACGAACAGGAACCATAGCGGCGTCGCGACATGCTTCCTTGATATCACTACCGGACATCCCCGCCATAGTCTTGACTAGATAGTGTAGGTCAAAGTTCTCTCGGTCAACCTTGGTATCTTTGAGAACAATGCTGAGAATTCGGAGTCGCTGGGCTATCGGGGGAAGAGTCACTGGGAATTTCTTGGGCATTCGTCGGAGAATGGCTTCATCAATGTCATGAATGCGGTTGGTCGCCCCCAGAACAACAATCCGCTGCGGCTCTCCAGTAGAGTTTGTGGAGGTAAGACCATCCCAGTGGGTCATAAATTCAGCCTTTACCATGCCGCTAGCTTCATGCTCACCACTTCTCCGGGTTCCGAGTACCGCATCGATCTCATCAATGAAGACGATAGCCGGTTGCAACTTGCGCGCTAGCGAAAACACCGCATTGACCAACTTATTTGAGTCTCCGTACCATTTCTCTGTCAAAGTGGAGATGTGCAGGTTGATAAAGCATGCACCACTCTCGGACGCGAGAGCTTTCGCGAGCATGGTCTTTCCGCAGCCAGGCGGGCCATATAGGAGCACTCCAGAAGGTGCGCTTAGAAGAGAGGAAGTCGAAGCGTAAAGATGAGGCATAGTCAGTGGATAGATGACCGATTCCTTCAACTCCTCAATGATGTCGTCCAAGCCTCCAATATCCTCAAATGAGACTGAGATATCTTCTGGCGCAACAACGTCCATTGCAATTGCTTGCTCGTATTGGTTCAGAGTGAGCTCTCGCTTTCGCTGGCCTTTCCCGCGCTTCCCATCCTTTGACCGAGAACTATCGGCCTCATCATTTCCACCCTCCAATCGGCGCAAGATGGCCGCCGACTTTTGGCGTTGTTCCTCTTTCTTCTGGCTCTCGGGGTCGAAATCAAGACGTGATATGAGGTAGCGGATAAGGAAGTATGCAGAGGCAGACTGTTAATAGCATTAGCAAGCTTCATAGTATTAGCTCTGGTCAACTTACAGTGCCTGCAACCATGATCATTTCTTGGAAGAACTGCTGCCATCTCCGGCCTCCAGCTGAAGCCATGACGATATTGGAGAGATTAAAGACGGAGGTTTCGAAAAAGATCCAAATAACAAAGAGCGGAAATAGCAGGTTCTGCAAAAGAGAAAATTATAAATTGTTTCAGAGATACGTAGACCACATAGACCGCAAGACGAAAGCCGAGCCGATCAGTGGCGGATCAGTCACATGTCGTAAGGCGGAGAAGGTGTTGTTGTCCGATCTCGCGTTCGCGACTGCTATCTACACTATCATATATTTTGCACAATGGCCAAACGCAAAGCCACTTCTCAACTTTCTGGACTTATAGGATCAGACGATGAGGATCTCATGTTGAACAATGAAGAGGGTCCTGCAGAGCCTCCCGCCAAGAAACGACGAGGTCGACCACGCACTTCTGAGGACGCCGTGCCCGAGCCTAAGCCTACCAAACCGACTACACGAGCGAAAAAGCAGCAGGCAGCTGTAGCTGAAACAGAGGCCACTACTGAGAGGAAATCCACCCGTCGGGGACGACCCAAGGGAAGTGGTCGACCGTCGCAAGACGCGATGGCAGAAGCAGAAAAAGAGGAAACAGGGCCGAACGACGATACACGCGAGCAGGAGAACGAGGATCCCGAGGAACCAAAGCCAACGAAAAAGCCCGCGAGGACTACAAAAGCTAAAGCTGCGCCGGCAGCCAAACGCCCTCGAACAACAGCTCGCGCCGGCGCAGCAAAAAAGCCCCAAGTAGACGATGAATTTGAATATACTCCCAAGACTGCGCGACACGCTAGCCCGGAGAGTGACGAAGAACAACAGCTCGAGCCAAGCTCTGTTCCTCGTGCAGCAGGTCCGGGGAGGCGAGGCACCGAAGTGGAGGAAACACAACAAACTGCAGGCCTCCAAGCTGGATTTGTAGAAGAGTCGGCAATCCCCGCACCTACTCGCCGTTCAATGTCGCCGCAGAAACCCCGTGCCTATCGGCCGTCTTTACACCGCAACCCACAAGACTCTCCCTTTAAACGCAAATCGACCGACTCTGAGCAAGGCGACCCAGAATTGAGGCGTAGGCTGGGTGAGCTCACCAAGAAGAATGATGCATTGGAACTCAAATATCGCAATCTCCGTGAGATCGGGGTTGTCGAGGCTAATACCAATATGGAGAAGCTGCGAAAGCAAAATGAAGCTATAACCACTGGTATGTCTTGCTTTTGCGAATGCATATCAATCAATTCAAGCGACTAATGTCCTATTTTCAGCCTCGAATGAGCTGGTTGCCTCTCTGAGGAACGAGCTGGATGCCCAGCGAAAGCTAGGAACACAAAGCCGCGGACTACAGAAGCAACTGAAAGACCGCGATGCAGAGATAGCCCGGTTGAAATCCGACGCCGATGAGGCACGCGCACAACTTGCCTCTGCCCAATCCGAAGTTAAGGCCCTGCAGACCAAGCTCGCCGCGGCACGCAACACCGCCGCCAGTCTCGAGGGGGCTTCCAAGGTCCCCGGCAGTGCCATCAAGGGTGGCGCCGCCAACCGCGCGAATGCTGCTGCCAGCGCTGAAGCGGCCCAGGCAGCCCAGCTTGCTCAGCTCAAGGAAGACCTATACAGTGACCTGACCGGATTGATCATCCGTGATGTTAAGGACAAGGATTCTGAAAATGTCTATGATTGTATCCAGACTGGAATTAACGGCAGTAAGTCACCTTGTTTCACAACATTCAGTCTTGTTCTAACCTCCTTGCAGCTCTTCATTTCCACTTGGCGGTGCCCAAGGAATCAGCAGACTTCGACAATGCCGAATTCCAATATCTGCCGCTCTTGGATGCCAATCGTGATAGAGACCTGGTCAACCTGCTTCCAGACTTCTTGACCGTGGACATCACATTCAAGCGTGGGCAGGCTGCCAAGTTCTATACGCGCGTCATTGATGCTTTGACCAAGCGGCGGTCTCTTGCAGCGTGAGCATAGTGTTATTGTATCTTTCTGTGGGCGTTACAATTGGAGTTGGTTGGAGTCAATGAATCAATTCTGCTGTGCTCTGTACGGACTATAGTGTAAATAAACTGCCCAAGTACAGTGTACCTCTTCTTCCAGTGTAGTCAATGGAGTAAACACGGGTACATGGTACAATTGACGGCCTGTGATTGGTTCACCGCCAAGGTTCCCCGATAGTTGACGTGTTGTGATTGCCCATGCCTCATTTCTCCTTTTGTTCTTTTGTGTGATCTCTCATCTACGTGTCTTGTGGCAGTGGACCACTTCCGCTCTTTGATCTCCCTCAAGTTCCAACCCCGAGAGGAGAGACATCATGGTGCGTCTCGGCCGCGTCGGGTTTCTGGCCCTCGCGGTGGTCTTCCACTTGATCTATACATATTCAATCTTCGATATCTACTTCGTTAGCCCAATTGTGAGTGGCATGCAATCACATGGGGTCAGGCGACCCTCCGGAACCCCCGCCCCAGCCAACCGTCTCGTCCTATTTGTCGCCGATGGCCTCCGCGCCGACAAGGCCTTCCAAGCTTTCCCTGACCCATCCCCCGGCGCCGATCCCGAAAACGACGAATTGATCCGCTTGTCGCCATTCATTCGATCGAAAGTCCTCTCCCATGGCACATTTGGCGTCTCGCATACCCGAGTGCCTACCGAATCGCGCCCCGGTCATGTTGCGCTTATCGCGGGCCTCTACGAGGATGTCTCCGCCGTTACCACAGGCTGGAAGTTGAACCCCGTGGACTTCGACAGCGTTTTCAACCAGAGCAGACATACATGGAGCTGGGGAAGCCCGGATATTCTTCCCATGTTTAAGGAGGGTGCTGTGCCTGGGAGGGTTGATGCGGACTCTTACAGTGAAGAAGCGGAGGATTTCACCGTGGATGCGACGCATCTGGACACATGGGTCTTTGATAAGGTTCACGGACTATTCGAATCGGCCAAGACGGACCCCGAATTGGATCGTAAGCTGCGCGACGACAAGCTGGTGTTCTTCCTTCATTTGCTTGGATTGGACACAACTGGCCATTCCTTCCGGCCGTACTCCAAAGAATATCTGCACAATATCCAGGTCGTGGATCGCGGAGTCGAAGCCGTCACTAAGTTGGTGGATGGCTTCTATGGCGACGACAAGACGGCTTTCGTTTTCACCGCGGATCATGGCATGAGTGATACCGGCAGCCACGGTGACGGTCATCCGGACAACACGAGGACCCCGCTGGTTGTCTGGGGATCTGGTGTTGCGCACCCACAATACTCGACTAGTGGCATCGCTCCCGGTCATGAAGATGGGTTTTCCGCCGATTGGGGCTTTGACCAGGTTCAACGCCATGATGTCGCACAGGCTGACGTTGCTGCACTCATGGCATACCTGGTTGGCCTGGACTTCCCTGTGAACTCAGTGGGTCAATTACCGCTAGACTTCATCAGTGCGAGCCCTGAGGAGAAGGCCCAGGCTGCTCTTGCCAACACGCGCGGTGTTCTAGAGATGTACCGTGTGAAAGAAGAACAGAAGAGCAATGCTGTGATTCGGTACGTGCCTTATGAGCCGCTGTCTGGCAACCATATGAACTCGATTGAATACCGACTGGAGAACATTGAGGCCTCCATATCCAAGGGCAACTACGACGAGGCTATCTATTTGTCTGCTGAGTCCTTCCGCGCAGCCCTGGAGGGCCTGCGTTACTTGCAAACTTATGACTGGCTGTTCTTGCGCACTATTGTGTCTGTTGGCTATCTTGGTTGGATCGCGTATGCGTTGACCACAGTGATCGATCTACATGTTTTGCATGGCACATCGGATACTCACCGCACGACAGCGAGTGTCTCGTTTTTCTCGTCTATTCTAGTTGCCCTGTTCTCTGTGTTCCTGTACCAGGGATCGTCCTGGCGCTACTACTTCTATGCTTTCTTCCCGGTCTATTTCTGGGAAGAAGTGTTTGCACGCCGCAAGGCCTTGATTGCCGGTCGCGAGATTGTACTGGGCCATGTGCGCTCCTTCACTGGGTACCTTAAATTTGGACTTCAATTTTTGGCATTCCTCGGTGTGATGGAGGCTATGGTACAGTCGTATTTCCACCGGGAGATCTTCACGGTTTGCTTTGCCTTGGGTGCGTTTTGGCCTGCGGTCCATGGCTTCGGGTTCATTCGTAGCCATGCGACTCTCACTGCTACTTGGGCTCTTGGTTGTGGCTTGATGAGTTCATTCACTCTTCTGCCGGTCATCAAGGTTGAAAACATTGATACAATGTAGGCCTCCCACCCTACTTGGTTTCTTATTTCATGACTGACTTTTTAGTACCTATGGCGGGCTGGCCATGTTCCTTACTGGAATTTTATACCTGCTATTTGAGAATGCAATCATTGGATCTGAATCAAAAGCAATTGGTCGTGTCGGCTCCCGAATTATCATGGGAATCCAGCTTGGTCTGGTTCTTCTTGCAGTCATTGTCACTAGATCATCAGTGTTCTCCTTGCAGGCTCGTCAAGGTCTACCATTCGGAAACCTTGTTGTTGGGTGGGTTGTCTTTGGTAAGTGAATGTGGACTTAGGTCCTTGAAGATGTGAAACACAGTAAGGTGCTAATCGCGCTCCAGTGGCTTCTCTGGCTCTGCCATTCTTCCACCGTTTATATCCGAACAGCAATTATCTTCACAGACTCATGATCATCTTCTTGACATTTTCACCGACATTTATCATCCTCACTATTTCATGGGAAGGACTATTTTACTTCGTGTTTTGCATGACCATTGTGACATGGGTTCGTCTCGAACACGCCATCTACGTCCACACAAAGCCCGATGCGGCTAAGCAACAAAATGCTAGCAAGGATCATGCAGCAAAGCCCGAGAACATCGGCTCCACTACTGTCGACGGCGAAATATTTTACTACCGCGCACTTACCCTCTCAGATGTCCGCGTGGCACTCTTCTTCTTTTTCCTCTTGCAATCCGCCTTCTTTAGCACAGGCAATGTTGCGTCAATCTCGACGTTCTCCCTCGACAGTGTTCGCCGATTGGTCCCTGTCTTTGACCCATTCGCGCAAGGCGCTCTATTGATTGTCCAAATCCTGATCCCCTTTGCCATTATCAGTGCCAACCTGGGCATTCTCAATCGCCGCCTGGAAGTAGCCCCCAGTGCTCTTTTCATGGTCGTCATGGCCATCTCCGACATCATGACCCTGAACTTTTTCTACATGGTGCGCGATGAAGGCTCCTGGCTCGACATTGGCATGACCATTAGTCATTTCTGTATTGCCAGTGCCCTGTGCACCTTTGTGGCTGGCCTTGAGTTCCTGAGTGAACTCCTAGTCAGTGGCGTTCATTTCCCCGTGATCACAGCGGTGGGGTCCGCCGTGGTCGAAACCATTGACCAAGCCACCGAATGTGGCCACGAGGACCGCAAGGAGCCAAAGAAGCCCCAGTCCAACGGGGCCAAGCAATCCAAGTCCAAGTCCAAAAGCAAGGGCAAGGGCAAATCCACCAGATAGAACGAAGTAGTGTCACGCTACGGGGACTCGGACTTCCCAAACACACTCCATTCGCATTTAGGACTATGTACTTTATCGTGAGCCCATATAGAACTCGGAGACTCGACTCTGTCCGGCCGAGACCCCGAATTTAATCTTTTCCAAACTCCACCTTGATCCATCTCAGTGGCCACGGACGCAGAGATGCATCCGATTAGACCGATCATCCTGTCAGTAGTAAGGCACACCCGCTTTACTCCGAGTGATCGTGCCTGACCACTCTGGACCAAATGTGATCTGATGGCTGCTAGCGGAAACGTACGCGCACTCTCATTGGTCGAAGCTTGGCATATACCGAGGTATCACAGGTTTCTGGTTCGAAAGGCTGCTCAATATCATCTCAGCTCTCTCTCTCTCTCTATTCACGGGAAGGATCTCGGGGTCTGGGTGTTCCCCGTAGATTCCCCGCAGATTTCATTCTCGTCCAGTTTTCCTCCCCCGCAATCCTGATTCTGACTTTGATAGGTCTGGGGCAATCGGCTATAGTGATCTATCAAGATCTGCCACTCTGTAACTGGGAAGTCTGAAACATGGATCTGCATCCGTGCGTACAGTACTCTACAAGACTCCGTAGAATGTCCAAGTTCCAAGCATGTACGGAGTAACTGAAGACGTGCCGAGTAGGCAACATTTCTGCTTCTGCAGCTGTGATCAGCGGGTGAAAGCACCGGTCACACAACATGACAATGGCCCGTGTCCGATGCAAATCCCCGAGCTTCCGCAATACTCGCGTGGCAGAGAGATCTCAGCCGGCGCAAAAAGGCACGTCACAGTTCGGGGTGATCGTCCCGAGTGGAGGCTGAAGCCTGGGGATACGATATTGCCACGCAGGGTGGAGCATACTCCTAAATAGGCTAAGTCGGTCTGTAGCGTCCCTGGGGTCCCTGGGGTCTGTCAACTTTGGCGGATTAGCAATGGGCGGTTGAGGGTTGGATAGGGGAGACTGGAGATATTCCAATACTTCAATGCTTCAGTAGTACATACTCCGTACTCCAGCCCGCATGGCTCCAGTGCTCTAGTATCCCAGACTCCTGGAAACTCATGTCGATCGTTCCCACCTTTTTGGATTCCTGCACACCGGTTCTGGGTGCAAAATTGGAGCTAGCGGTGGTCTGGCCTTCTCCTATTTGGAGTGGCCTATTCGGAACATGAGAGCCAGCCGGGCATATACGGGATATATGGAGTAGAATCAGTAGTGAAATATGAAAAGTAGAAAAGTAGAAATAGTTCAATGTACTGTGTATGTACAGAGTACAGAGTACAGAGCAGAGGTCAGTAGAAAGTGCAGACGCAAATGGTGACCCAATGACCGGGGCTAATTGCCACAGCCTAACGGTCGCTTTGATATTCTCTCTTCTCTCTCCCCCCTCTACTCACTTGACGACCACCTTGATCCCTTCTCTTCGTTGCTTCTCGTCTCTGCTTCTTCGCCTCCGGTCCTTTTTCTTCTTTTCTTTTTGTTTCTCGGTCGCGGGGCGTCTCCGCGCGAGTACTTAGTCCACTCCGTACCCTATATCCTATACCCCCCAGACCCTATACCCTATACCCTATATCCTTTCGGAAATCGCATCCCCCCTACTCTGCGCCTATCTCGAATCTGGATGGAGTGTGGAAATGAGCACTGAATATCAAGAACATTCTGATGGCCAAGGCAGCCCGGCCCCAAGCAATGCTGGCTCGACGGGTACTTCGGGTATCACGGTGCGCAATGGACCACAAGGTCAACCGCTGAGTTTCAGAAGGTGAGCGCTTCCCTTTGGCGATTTCTACCGGCAGTACGAAGTACGAGGAGCATACGAGGCTATTGGATGCAAGGTTCCGACGCGGGGTCTGTCTTGAGTCGGGACCTGAGACAGGGGCCAGTTTCGGCTTTTTCACTGAGATTTGGGAAAATTAAGCATTGGGAGTGCGCTGGCTGACACTTTATCTAATTCTAGACAACGTGCATCACGCGCGTGCGAGGTACGATAATTATTTTGCTTCGAGGGGAACGCGACTCTGCCGAGGTTCTTTTTAACGCACCTCGGCTCAGTTGCTTATCGCTATGCATACGATCTATCACTTTTGGACCATCGCTAACGCTTTCTTTTTTCTTCACTTTATTTAGACATGCCATGCTCGAAAGGTGAGTTTTTGACTCGGTCGCAGCTCGGTTGGCTCTGGATTGTCTGACAAGGTCATAGGTACGATGTGATGCCGCTAGTCTAGGGGTGCCCTGCACCAATTGTGTCGCTTTCTCGATCGAATGCAAAATTCCCTCCCCGAAACGGAAGAAGAACAATGGGAGCAAAGGCAAAGAAGATACCCAGTATGGTGACAGTCCGCCCCCATCCGCCTCCTCCCTCGTCGACGCTGCGGTCGCGCACTTCCGACCCGACAACGAGGATCCGGGTCCGCGCACCGGTTCGATCTCGGCACCAAAGCAACCCGAACGAGGCCCCGAATCGGAAGACAAGAGCAATGCCTTTGGATACAGGAACAACCGTATGGGTGTTGAGGGGATGCCTACCACGGCCCTCTCCGAGGCCGAGGCCGCTCAACAAGCGTCAGCCAACAACGCATATGCTCAGTTCATGAAGCCCAAGTTTGCTCGTGCCCCCATCAAAGAAGCGGGTCGGGTTGCGTATTTGGGCGAATCCTCCAACCTGTCTCTTTTGGTCCAGGATCGCCATGGAACGACCGATGTCGTGCATTATCCGCTCCCACCAAACGTCAGAGGCTCTCGTGCCCGTTTGACGGATTTGGATAACTTGGAAATTGATATTCTGCACCAGCGAGGTGCATTCTTGCTCCCGCCTAAGCAGCTATGTGATGAGTTGGTCGAGGCCTACTTCAAATGGGTCGCCCCGGTGGTACCCATTATCAACAAGAGTCGGTTCATGCGTCACTACCGGGACCCCAAGAACCCTCCCTCCCTGCTACTTTTGCAGGCGATCCTGCTGGCAGGATCGAGAGTTTGCACCAATCAGCAGCTGATGGATGCAAATGGTTCAACGACACCCGCTGCCATGACTTTCTACAAGCGCGCCAAGGCGCTGTATGATGCTAACTACGAAGATGATCGTGTCACCATTGTCCAAGCACTGGTGCTTCTGGGCTGGTACTGGGAAGGACCTGAAGGTGAGTTTGAATTACCGTATAATTTATTGGGCCCTTTCTGACCAGATCTAGATGTTACCAAGAACGTGTTCTATTGGACGCGGGTTGCAATGGTTGTCGCTCAAGGATCTGGAATGCACCGCAGTGTTGAAATGTCCCAGCTGAATAAACCAGACAAGCGACTTTGGAAGAGAATTTGGTGGACTTTGTTCACTCGTGATCGTTCTGTCGCCGTTGCTTTGGGGCGACCCATCGGAATTAACACAGACGATTCAGACGTCGAGATGGTCACCGAGGATGATTTCATCGAGGATGAGCTCGATACACCTGCCGAGTATCCAGCTGATCCAGTTCACGTCCAATTCTTCTTGCAGTATGTCAAGCTCTGTGAAATCATGGGCTTGGTTTTGTCGCAGCAATACTCCGTGGCTTCCAAATCCCGGCGTATGAACGCAATGGACCTTACCCACTCGGACATGGCATTGGCCGATTGGTTGCAGAACTGCCCTAAAGAAGTATGCTGGCAACGGTCTCGGCATCACTTCTGGGCAGCTCTGTTACACTCAAACTATTACACTACGCTTTGTCTTCTGCACAGAGCTCACATGCCGCCTGCTTCGTCCGCGCCAAATAATTACAGAGTCGAAGAGATGGCCTATCCCTCACGCACAATTGCCTTCCAGGCTGCGGGCATGATCACATCTATTGTTGAGAATCTCCAGGCACATGGTGAGATCCGATACACCCCAGCATTCATTGTTTACAGCTTGTTCTCTGCATTGATCATGCACGTGTATCAAATGCGTTCGTCGGTTCCTTCTATCGTGGCCACATGCCAGGAAAGAATCAACGTGTGCATGCTAGCCCTGAAGGATGTATCAAAGGTCTGGCTGGTTGCCAAAATGGTGAACACTCTCTTTGAGTCAATCCTCGGAAACAAGGTGTTGGAGGAGCGACTCCAGAAGGCTGCTGGCAGAAGACACCAACGCACTTCCCGACCCGGCGAGTCTGCTCCGAAGAAGCCCGATCCCCCGAAGCGCAAGTTCGACGACATGGATCTGGGTATGCCAAACGGTGGTGGCCCCACACCACCAGTATCATACGAGCGCTCCCGACCCCAGACCCCCGCCGTCACACCATCACGGGAGCTGAACCAGCCAGCACCTGGCCCGCAACAATCCCCCAACACACATCGGGGACCCCACGACCCGATGACTGGAACTGGTAACTCGCGCGCCAACACCAGACCCACTACCCCCTTCAACGGCCAGTTCTCTCTCCCCGCCACGCCCCCAGACTTCTTCCTCGTGACTCGCACCTCCCCCAACCTCTCGCCCTCTCTCTGGGAGAACTTCCAACCCGACCAGCTGTTCCCAGATGGCACGGCCTTCTTCCCGGAGCTAACCTCCCCACAACCACCATCGGCATCCGTCGATCCCAACCTGCAAATCCCATCTCAAATGCCGGGCATGCCGCCACGTCCTCCGATGATGAACGCCCAGCCCGTGCATGGCCGCAGCATGTCCGTTTCACAAGGCAGTCCACCCATGATGCCTGGCATCCCTGGGGCCATGGGCATGCAGCCCCACCCACCACAAATGTTCATGGAAGGCCAACAGCAGCCATGGCCACCTATCCAGGGTCTTGACGGGACGATGAGCGGAGCTGCAATGGACGCAGCCAGCCAGGATAATGATAATTGGAGCAGTAGCTCCCGCAGCGGACCTACTGCGCCCACGACGCTCAACGTCGAGGATTGGTTCCAATTCTTTGGTATAAATGGGGGTTTTGGTGACTTGGCTGCTTGATTGTCCAATGTTTCACTTGGCTTTTCCACAAAAATGGATTTGGGGTGGTTCTGGGGCGTTTGTGAGGCAGAATCCTGATATCCCGGAGGACGTAGTCTATGTTTTTTCTTATTATTTTCTCTTTGTTTTTTCTTTCTTTTGATAAGTCCATCTATGTTTCTATATTGGGAAAACCCGGGCATCTCGGGAGTCGGAGTATATACAAATTCCCCATCGTTATGACTTTATATCTTCGTGCTGGGCCTATTGATCAGTTCCGTAGACAAATCCTTAGATACCCCAAACCCCAAGCGGATCCGCCCCTTGATCCCTAGACATCTGCAGCTTCTTCACGCGCTTGACCAGCGTTCCAACCAAAATGGGTCCTATCAATGTACATAGTGAGATGGCCCAGATAACCACCAAATAAATCTCAGACGGACCCTCCGACAATCCATCAGACAAAATCCCCTGACTCTCAGCGATAGAAGCAATCAGATACCCAACCTCACCCCTTGCAACCATCGCCAACCCCAGAATAGAAGACGGATACAAGGACTTGGGCTTAGGCGGCAGTGAGAGCTGAGGCGCAGAGCCATTCGCCGGGGTCTGGTCAGGTTGTGTTGGGCCTTGGGGGTTGGATGGTTTCTTCTTAAGACGTTTGGGAGTCCGTGGCTTGGTGCAGGAGTGGGCGTAGATAAATGGCTTCTTGATGGTAGATATAAGTCCAGACACGGGGTTTGAAGTGAATCGCACGAGCCAGAGTCCGGTGATCATTTTGCCTAGTGCCATTAGGATGGCGTAAATTATGCCACGCCAGATGATTTGTCCGGTGAACATTTTTGTTATGGGGATTGCGAATCCAATGGATGCCTATTGATGTTAGTACTTGTATTTGATTCGTGTGGGATATTTTGCTGGTCTGGGTAACTCACAAAAAACAATGGGAGGAGGATTCGGTTGTTAGGCTCTTTGTAGTATCTTTCGAAGACCATTTCACCAGTCACGTGCTGATGGCTTCCTTGCTGGGACCGCGACTCAGGCTGATCAGGATGACTGGTGATATTATCAGATTTTCTGCGGGCAGAAGTGGTCTCTTGTGCAGTAGAATCTGCCTGAGTAACCGCTGGCACTGAAACGATGGGCTGGATCTTCGACTCAGCAACTAGCCCATCAAACCACGAAACAATAACACCAGCAAGATACGCAGCAAAAAGACTCGAAGTGCCTGCATACGTCGCACCAGCCACAATCCCAACCAGAGCACAAGTCTGCGCCAAAAATGCGAATTGATCCGTGCCCATAATGTCTGGAAGCCGTTCTTTATGCTGAATCAATTTCTTCAGCACAGGCTCCAAGCAAAATGCACATATTAATAGCAGGCCAATCGCGAATCCCAGTGACACGAAAACGGGACGGATGACAGTCACCACATCAAAGGAGTTTCCACCCAGATTGGAGATGATCTGAACCATTACTAGACCGACTACGTCGTCCAGCATTGCGGCACTGGTGGTGACGGTGCCAAGCCGCGTTGTGGTCAATTGCGTGGTAGAGAGAATGGTAAATGTAGTTCCTAGACTTGTTGCGCTCAGTGCTGCCCCGGCTGAGAATGCCTGTAGGGGGGTTGCGGATACAAGTTCCATGAGAATAAAGGATAGACCCATTGGGGCACAAACCCCTGTTAAGGCAACGGCTGTTGACAGGAGAATATTTGCCTTCAAGGCCTTGATCGAGGTCGAAAGACCACCTACTTTCGTCAGTATGATTGTCATGGTTAGATTGGGTGCACTCACCCTCGTAGATGAGAAGTATCAAGCCCAGATAGCCGATTTGCTGGATGACTGTCTCTGTCTCTCGGTCGAGCCATTTCGCACCGGGTGTGCCCCATAAGACACCGATGAACAGCTGGCCAATCAGTCCACAGTAGAGTAGTTTGTCCAGGCAGGTGTTTGCTATGTTCAAGACCAGAAGAAGCCCCGTGTAGTTGAGGACTGTCTTAATGGAGGGCTCATGATAAGCGAATGCTGCCTCGGAGGCCATTTTGCCGGCTATCTAGGTAATATAGATTAGTGTATGTTGGGTGATATGACAGACTCCATAGAGGTGCTAGTAGAATGTTGTGAGATTCGGAGTAGACAGTGTGAAGTTAGTGAAGTTGGTAAAGTTGGAGATATGTGCTCAGTGGACGTTGGACTTGACTGCTTCAGGTCAGTTAGCCAAGGATGACTAAGTATTTAGTTCAACTTTATAAGACAGCATGTGTGAGCTCCAGTTGATTTTGGGTAGTTTTGCCCACTTGCAGTTCATTCTTCCCTAATTGAGGCAATATTTCCCTGTCTCAAAGAGGCTGGCATTCCATTCAAGGTTGTGATGAGATGCGTTGATGATCCCGAATTTAATGTGAAATCGCCCTGCTGTATGTCTATGGGTATATTCAAGATAATGTATACTCCGTGCAACTTTAGAATAAGATCTTTAGTACCTCAACTATAACTATCTGACTCTTAACTATCCTAACTATCTTAACTGTCCTCCTAACTATAAGTTTGTTAAGATAAGTAAAGATGACTCATCCCTCCGCATAGTTGCTAGTCTCCTTTGGGACTAGTAAATGACGAAATCACGAAATCCGCGTCTCAGCCAATCAGAGAACAGCCGAGACGAGTCAGCTATAGACTGGGGGAAAAGAGAGCATACGCCGATTGGCACTTCTTCTTGTTTTTATTCCGATTATCTACAACTTGCACTCACTTGATAATTTTGCATTGCATAGTTGACTCGATCAATTCCTCTATCCTTTGTGATTCCGCCCTTTCTCTCACTTTCACACTCTGCCCCGCCCTGCAGCGATGTCGGCCTCAGGAAATCCTACTGCGTCGGGGTCGACCAGCGGTGAGAAGAAGACTTTGCCCCTGGATCTCTCGGGCAATGACCTTCCACCTTCTCCTGCCCCCTCCAGCCCTCATCCTGGCCGCCGGTATAACATTGCCACTGAGTTGGTCTTCACCGAGAGCAATGACCAATACAATGCCAGCAGTGTCCCTATCTACCAGGTATGGAGTCATCCAATTCCAATCGCAATCAATCGCAGTCAATGGCATCGTACTGACTAGAACCAAAGAGTGCCACCTTCAAGCAATCATCCGGTAGCGGTGGTGGTGAATATGACTACACACGCTCCGGTAACCCCACCCGCACACACCTCGAGCGGCATTTGGCCAAGATCATGTCCGCACAGCGCGCCCTCGTGGTGTCATCCGGCATGGCAGCTATGGACGTAATCACTCGACTGCTTCGTCCCGGTAATGAGGTTGTCGCCGGAGACGATATCTACGGCGGCACCAACCGTCTGCTCAAGTACCTCTCTACCACCCTCGATATCATTGTCCACCACGTCGACACCACAGACCCCAAGAAGGTGCAGGCAGTCCTGAACCCCAAGACCGCCATGGTTCTCCTCGAAACCCCCACAAACCCTTTGATGAAGATCGTCGACATCCCAACTATCGCTGCCGCCGCTCATGAAGCTAACCCTGCCTGCATCGTCTCCGTTGATAACACCATGATGTCCCCTCTCCTCTTGAACCCCCTTGACCTCGGTGCCGACGTGGTCTACGAGAGTGGAACCAAGTACCTGTCCGGTCACCACGATCTGATGGCCGGTGTCATTGCCGTGAACGACCTAACCCTTGGAGACCGACTGTACCAGCCCATCAACACATCAGGATGCGGTCTCTCACCCTTCGACTCGTGGCTTCTATTGCGCGGTGTGAAGACCCTCAAGGTTCGCATGGACCAGCAGCAGAGCAATGCCCAGCGCATTGCCGAGTTCCTCGAGTCGAGTGGCTTCAAGGTGCGCTACCCTGGCCTGCGGTCGCACAAGCAGTACGATCTGCACCATTCCATGGCGCGTGGCTCCGGTGCAGTCCTTTCATTCGAGACTGGCAGCACCGAGTGCAGTGAGCGCATCGTGGAAAGTGCCAAGATCTGGGCTATCAGTGTTAGCTTCGGCTGTGTGAACAGTCTCATTAGTATGCCTTGCCGCATGAGCCATGCCAGTATTGATGCGAAGACCCGTCAAGAGCGCGACATGCCCGAGGATTTGATCCGATTGTGTGTTGGTATTGAGGATGTGGATGATTTGATTGATGATCTGCGCCGTGCTGTATGTGTACCCCCCTTGCTTGTGAAGATTTCTCAACTAACCGGTTTTTAGTTGGTGGAAGCTGGAGCCGTGAATGTGAATATGGATGGCATTGTCGCTCGCGAGAGCAAATGAAGGTCAGGAACCGGGTTAATTGGCGTTTGGGATATTTAAAACATAACGAGCATCTACAGGTAGATGAACATATCGTGTAGAATGAAATCTTGATATATCACTATACAGAGTATACAGAGTATAACATCGAATGGTAGTCCGTATACTAATCGTTTATCCGGCCGGCATCGGACACTCGGCACCGGTTCGCGCCCGGGCCATTATCGTCCGAAGCTTTTGGGATGCGCCTCGCATTTGTAATTCCTCACTCTTCATTTGTCTTTGTTTTTGCAGTTCTGGAGGGATGCTTCAATTCACATCATGGCTACAATAAAAGGCTCACAGCGTCCGACTCCAGTGACGCGCCCATGGAATACAAAAGACCTGGGCAAGCGCTTAGGCGTCGATGCCGCCAGCGCAGCAACAGCTGGCGCGCTGACCTGTCCCTTGATCACAATCATTGATCGGTAAGTAATTCATGTTATATGGGACAGTCAGTAGCTAAGGACACCTCCACAGGGCCATCATGGAAAAAGCTTCCAAGGGCTTCCCGATTCAGCAAACCATAACATCGTGTCTTCGGTCAATGGTCGCCCGGCCGAGTGCTTTCTTCTTCAGCACACCATTCCTCCTAATATATACCCTCTATGGCTCAACTTACCTGACAGCCAATGTCATCGACACCGTCACCGCAACGATGCGCAATCATTCCTACAACACTATCGACACAGGCTTTGCCAAATTCATCGCCACAACAACAGTCAACATGGCCATCTGCGTATACAAAGACGCCCGTTTCGCCAAAATGTTCGGCGCCCAACCTCCTCCATCCTCATCTTCTCAACCCTTGCGCGCCCCGGCTCCGACTCCCCAAATCCCCAAATCATCATACACCCTCTTCTGCCTCCGCGATAGCATCACCATCTTTGCTTCCTTCAATATCCCAGCCAAGATCGCCCCATCCATACCTGACTTCATGGCTTCAACGCCCGGCATGAAAGCATCACTAGCTCAATTCGCTTGTCCGGCTCTCATGCAGTTCGCAAGCACCCCGATGCACCTCCTCGGGTTGGATTTGTATAATAGACAGCCGGAGGGCGGCCTCCGGTGGACAGATCGTGCAAGCAGAATCCGCCGCGACTATGTGGCCAGCTGCTTTGCGCGCATGGGCAAGATTGTCCCGGCCTACGGTATTGGCGGAACAGTCAATGTGCGCATGAGGAGTTATTTGATGAATCTCATTGAGGGTGAGAAGATCACGATATAATGATTGTTTTAGACTTGCATGGACATCTCCACTCAGATTGGGATTATGGGTGTTTTGGATTAGGTGTTTCGGGGGTTTTTTTTTGTTTTTGTTTATATACACCGTGCTACAGTGGCATTTAGATTTGTCTGGCTGTTAATAACTTGGATACAAGATTGTGGATATGGAAAAGAGAATTAGAATTAATATTTACTTTTGGATATAGATATAAAGGTCATATACAACAGATATCAAAGGTAGCAGATATACTCACCACCTATAAAACCAGTTAGCAAAGAGTCCAAGAGAATGATCAAGTTCAGAACTTACACAAAAGCCTCAGAGTGCAGATACAACTCCTCAATCTCACCCCCAAACACTCGAGCCTGTGCCACAGCCGCCGCATTGCGCGTATCGTGCAGCATCGAGGCAGGTCCGCACACCAACACCCCAACCCGCTGCTTCTTACCAACATGCTGTCCCTGCGTATGAGCCATGGCAACCGTTCTAGCCACCAACCCCGGAAGATCAGGTCTCGCATTCCGATGAACATTGAGACTAAAAGTCCCCGTCGTAGTCGTCTCCTGAGGAATCTTCGAACCCTTAACATCATCCTCAGAACCAGACGAGAATCCCGAACTACGTGGATCAGTCACATGGACCGAAACAGCAGTCTCAAAGCCAGACTCAGAGGCCAGCGTCGTTGATTCAGAAAGACGTGTCTCAATCTCATTAATATACCAATCAGCCATGGAATGATCCCGAGTAGAAAAGACAACTTGGAGATTCTGTCGCTCTTTCTTCTCTTCTGGGCCTGTCATGCCAGTGATCCGGAGTGCCTCGTCGACCATCGCGAGCGAGAATCCACCACCTGACCCGCCGGCGATCACTAGGATAGTGTCGAATTGAGCCATGTGGGACTCGCTGACGCCGCCGTATGGCCCTTCCATCAGGATGCGCTTTTTGCATCCGGGGTTTTTGGCTGCCATTGCTCCCAGTCGACCTGTTACGCCGCCCCGTGGCTTAATATAGAAGACCAGGTTGGATGTTTCGTGGCAGGCGGAGGAAATGGTGAATGGGTGGGCGGTTAGAAGGTGGAGATCTGATGTTAGGAATCGGATGAAGACGTGTTGGCCGGGTGTCCATTTCATGTTGGAGGGGACTTCGACACGGACAAGGCCGCAGGAGAGAAGTTCTAGAGAGGCAGTGTGCATGCCATGCTTCCAGTATGTGCGTGCGTGTCCGGCTATCAAGCTGCAGAAGTAGATTGCGCCAGAGGCGATGAAGTAGTCCCTGAGCATGGTCAGTTAGGACTTCCTTATAGTTTGGTGAAGCGTACCAGGATGATAGTCGGAAGTCGCAGTGCAGGAAGAAGAACACGACGAAGACCACTGCGACGAAGATGTGTGTTGCCTTGAAGAATTCGTAGAATCGGTTACTGGAGAAGTTAGAGCTATGTGTATTAGAAAGAGTGTCTTGACTCACCGGATGAAAGGCAACGACATCAGCGTCAGGTATGTCTGTGAGAGGAGAGAAGCAATTCCCGTCCAGTACACAATACTTGTTTTCCACTGGTGCATCATATCCCCTTTCCAGATGTGATAGATAATATAGGGGAATGTGTGAATCAATGCCAGCACGAACATGGCATAGCTGGTCCAGTGGTGAAAGACCTGGAGCTTCTCGTGGGGAATCCCCGTCAACCCGGAGATCATGTTGGCTTTGGTGCTCAGTGCCCTGTTATCGTTAGCCCTCATTCTCCCGAATTATGCCTCTTTGCATACTTACAATACAAAAGGCAAAAGTGCCAGCGCCATCCAGCCCGACCTTGTGGCGATGGGTGGACTACTTCCGTAAGAGGCATCGGTAGGCCAGTAATATGGCTGTGGGCCAAGGACCATTCCTATATCGGCTATGAGTTCTCTGCCCTCATCTGCTGACTTGATATACTCACCAAAGGAGAAGGCAGCGCCCACCACTCCCAAGACCACCACTCCCAGTGCAGGCGACCAGTACCGCAATGAGGGCAATCTATATCCGCGGTATGAGAAGTATCGGGATACCGAGGTGAACATGCGCCATGGTGGGGTCCGCTTCACAGCATCCGGGCTAAATTGAACCAGTAGATTGGCAATGGTGAACACGCCTATGACGGCACATAAGAAATAGACGGTATTGAGAGCATAGACATGATCCGCCTCATACCTGTTATTATTAGCTTCAATTTTGACTCCCCTCAGCGCAACACATACCAGTATCGCCAGGAGTAATTGCGATATCGACACTGGGCCTCGGATAAAGTGCAATTATCCAGTCGAGACGAGTGCAGGGCCACTGGCTGATCTAGCCAGGGTGTGCCTTTCATATCCATGTCCATTTTGGGACTCTCACATCCAACCCCAGGATACTAAAAGAGATTATGGCTGATCATATTGGCCGGACCATTGCTATAAGCAAAAAGAGAATGTCTATTACAATGTTCCTTCTATTTTGACTGAAAACGGGGATGTTCCTTTGCCCCTGGACAATGTGGATCATCTCATACTTCGGGAAGAACATTCTCCGCATCCGATATTTGAGCACATTAGAGGGCCTTTGAGTGTTTAATTTGAAATTGTTTCGAGTAATAGGCAATTTGAGTCAATTTGAGGCATCTAACAGTGTGTAACAGATAGATAATAGGTGATATTACAGAGTATGTAGTGCATAGTAGAAGGTAGTATTTCTCGGGGTATACGACTAAGTGACATTGCGGGGAACTGAAGAACTGACGTAGAACAATAGCAATTCAAATGTCATAGGGTAGTAGTTCCAAACAAACAGACGAGTCAATGATGCAAAGAGAGCCGCAGAACAGAAGAAAAGAAGAAGAAGAAAAGAAGAAAAGAAAAAAAAAAAGAAAAAAGATCATGTCCGCATCGGGACTAGTGGCCTCATAACCCTACATTCCCTACTACTCGTCTTACTCAAGGGGCACTGCCGCAACGGAAACAGTAGCCCCTATCGCCTTAACAGCTGCCTGTTCTCCAAACATCTGCAGTGCGCGGTACCCGCCACGCACACTGTCCGCTTCCAGGCCTCTGGCCCGCAGCACGCTGGTAGCCACGCGGGCCGAGTCTCCATCGTAGCACACTACCAGAACGTGTCCGACGTCATACTCCATCTTCTCCAGCTCCACCCACTGCTTCTCCAGGATCCCAGGGTCGGAGAACGGAGAGGCTGTGTGTGGTCCCAGGCTGGCGAGGGGTTGGTTAGTGGACCCTGGCAAATGCCAGGCCTGGAAGTCCTCGGGCTGTCGCAGATCGAGGACTCGGCTTTGAGGCTTGAGGACGATGTCGTCTAGGGTCCAGCGGCCGGACGGGGAGCCGAAGAACTCCGGAAGGACGTCTAGGGCGTCGCGCTCCCAGCTTTCGTCGTATCGGTGGAGATCGACTTTCGTCAGGCGCTAGGGGGTATTAGTTATTTGATCACTTTGATCATTATCTTTTTTTATTTGACTTACTTCGTTTCGAATAGGGTGGAATTGGCTCTCGCCAAGCTTGGCGAAGTACTCGTCAATGTACTGGTATGGCAGGTCGCAGCAGAGGAAGACGCTGTGGATGATGCCATCAGGGCCGGCGATCTCAGATAACGTGCCGGCAGCCTTGCGCGTGGCAAGCATCTGGAACAACCCTTGGAGATTGAACCCAGAGGAAGGCCCGCATACCAGACCCTCCCGACACAGGTTCAAGGAAAGGGTGTAGGACTCTGCGGAGCCGACTTCTTCAATCGTGTCCACTGCATCCTTCCAGGGGAACTCGACCGGCCGCATGAGGGCATAGGACCGAGGGCCAGGGACTCGGTCGCCAGGGGCAGTGCACACTCCCAGTCGGTAGACAGAGGGCTTTACCCCCTTGAAGTACGTGCCCAGACCGGTCATGGTACCTGAAGTTCCCATGCCAGCGCAGAGGACATTGATCTCGGGCAGTTGCTTGAAGATCTGGGGTCCTGTCCAGCGGATGTGTGATTGCCAGTTGTTATTGTTTTCATATTGATTTGGGTTGACGACCTGGTCGGATTCTAGGGCTTTGCGACGGGCGTTTTGGATTCCGCCTCGCTCGTCGAGGGGCTCGGGTTGCGAAGGCCCGCCAAAGAGGGTGATGTCCAGACCGAAGAATTGCATGAGCTTCAGTTTGGCATCACTGGTCTTATTGCTTAGGAACGCCCGAGTGTCGTTGACCCCGTGCATCACCCGTGCCACCATCGACATGGATATCACCGTGGAGCCGGAGCTATATTCGATGATCCGGTTGGTCTCGCCCGGTACCACACTGGATTCGAGCATATTTAATGCTGGTCATGGTTAGATGGTAATTTTCAGGTTGGAATCAGGGCAGCACATGGCTTACCTGGCATTGCTTTGACGTTGTTCGCCGGATGCATGGTCATCATTTTCGCGTAAATTCGGACGCCATCTTCGTAGTATGGGTTAAGATGCGGTGGTAACTCTACGAGAGGGAGGGGAGGCTGCGAGTCCGGATTGAAGTATTTCTTCAATGAATCCGTGCCGAAGTATACATTGCGTTCGTTGATATTGGCCATTTTCTTGGAGGTAAGAAACTCTTGCTCTGCAGAACTGGCCAGTCCGAGCACAAAGCCCCTCTTATAGATCTATATAGCGTCTCTCTTGGCAGTAGAAGTAGGAAAACTAAAAATTAACGACTCCACTGCAAATCCCCTCAGTCTCCTGCAAGCGCCAGACATTTCGGGACTATATTGGCTCGGACATATAACACGTCCAATGGCAGCATTGCCGTCCCTCGGCCAGAATCCTCCTTATTTTCCCTTTTTTTTTCAGAGACCGAGACGGACAGTCGAAAACGGAATAAATCGCCCTGACCCTGCGTCATTCTGGCATTCGGCCAATGTCTTAGTCGTCAATGTTGGAGGAATCCCATCTGAAGGCGTCTTGGCATTTGAACAAGGTCCCCGAGAGGAAATGCCCGGGTACTCGTCTTTTTAGAAATTGTCGTATTCGACCTCGGGAAGACATTTGATTTGCAAAAACCTGCCCCAATAGATGAAACTGTCGAAACTGACGAAAAGGGGCGGGTACCTTGAGAGAGCGTTTGAGCAGATTTACTGCAGATCGTCGCTCGGACTGCGCCGATCTATATTCACGCCTGTCAGTCTCGATTTTGACATCTGTTCCCTTTCCTTTTCTTTTTTTCTCTTTCATTCTTTTGCTTAGTGGAGGAGTGTGTATATTGGAACATAAACTATACAAAATACAATGGCAGGGGTCCTCCAAAACCAGCCAGAAGGAGGCGACAAGAACGATGCCCAGGTCACTTTCAATGAGCAGACCAACTATGTACCGAAACGCACAATCATCACAGTAAGTTGTTTCAGGCTCAATGCTGTGTGGCTACTAACATGGATAGATCTTTTTAGCATGCTCCAGTGTCGATTTGCTGGCCTTGATGGACCAGACCACCTTAGCCGCCAGTTTGTCCATCATTGGCAATGCCCTCGGGGCTAGTGATCAGACATCATGGATCTCCGGTGGTTATTTTGTGTCAGTAGAGCTCCAACTCGATAGGACCAGGACTTGAGAACTAATTAACATCACAGAACATCCACCTGTTTCCAACTTCTGTATGGAAAACTGTCTGATATCTGGTCCCGCAAGCTGGTACTCTTCGTCGGACTGGCAATCTTCTTCTTCGGATCTCTTGCTGCATCCCTAGCCCAAACAGCCACCCAATTGATTGTCTTCCGTGCTTTCACAGGTGTCGGCGGTGGCGGTCTGATGACAGTCGCCCAGATGATTGTCAGCGATGTGGTCCCTTTACGCGAAAGAGGTAAATACCAAGGAATTCTCGGTGCTGTCGTGGCAATCGCCAATGGAATCGGTCCCGTCATCGGCGGTGCCCTCGCATCCATCTCTGAAGATTCATGGAGATGGATCTTCCGACTGAACCTGCCCTTGACAGCGCTGACTACTCTAGCCGTGCTATTCTTCATGCCACTGCGAAAAGTCACAGGAGATTGGAAAGTGAAGCTGAAAGCAATTGATTTCTTCGGCGCACTTCTAGCCCTCGGAGGCACTTCTGTCTTGCTTTTGGGATTGACTTGGGGTGGTGGTGAGTATGAGTGGAATTCTGCCCATGTTATTGCGACTCTGGTGGTGGGAGTTGCTATGTCGATTGCTTTTGTGGCGTGGCAGTGGAAGGGTACTTCGACACCACTGGTTCCTATGCATATCTTCAAGGGCAGGATTGTCAATGGGGCCTGTCTTACGATGTTCATCAATGGATGGAACTTTTTGGTTCAGGTTTACTATATCCCCACCTTCTATCAGTTGGTTTTTGGATATTCCACTGTGAAGGCCGCTGCGATGTTGCTGCCAATTACCTTGATGCAAAGTATGAAACCTTTTGATCTACTCTGACAATGGAGCTGACTCTCTCTTTAGCTGTGAGCAGTACAGGCTCTGGTCTCATCGTGCACTGGGTTGGTCGCTACCGAGAATGTATCCTATTTGGCTGGATAATCTGGGCCGTTGGACTAGGTCTCTTCTCAACACTGGACAAGCATTCCGGATTGGGAAAGCAGATTGGCTATGGCATTCTGACCGGTGTCGGAGTTGGAAACACCTTGCAGCCGTATGTAGTCGCTCAACTTGGATGGCATTCGCTAACATTTCCGCAGATCGCTTATTGCCGTGCAAGCTGGCGTGGAGAGACGCGATATGGCCGTGGTGACCTCGTTCAGAAAGTAAATACCCATCTAGAATCGATGGAATCAGTTCAGATATTAACATCTTACAGTTTCGTGCGCAATCTGGGCGGTACTTTGGGATTGGCCATTGCCGGGACTGTAATGTGAGGATACCCCCTTTACCCACAGATTCTTCTACTTACACTGTCCAGCAACAATATTGTCTCATCTTCAATCTCAGTTCTCAATCTTGATGAGACTGAGTCTCGCTCCCTTTTGTCGAGCCCACAGAATTATTTATCAAAATTATCTGCTGAAGAAGCAGAGCACGTTCGGGACGTCTTGACACCTGCGTACCAAAGAGGCTTCCGAATTATTTTCATAATAGGTGCCTCGCTCGCGGCGCTTGCTTTCTTCTTGGCTATTTGGCTTATGCCTCAAGTTGCATTGAATCGTGCAGACGACCAGGCTCTGAAGGAGGAGGCAAAGAAGAGAGTAAATGGAGATTTGGAGAAGAGAGAAGAAAAGGCCTGATTCTGGTTAACCACGCAGAGATTGAGATCATATTAGATAGTCTCTTGTACAAAAAGACCATAAAATGGTGATAAAAGTCGGGCTTGTCGATATAGAAATTGAGATGTATATTGACAGAGTTGATCAGGCCAACATCATATTAGTCTGTAATACACAAGGTCGAGATTCCGTTCAAGCACAGACAAAACTACCCGGATCTGAATAAGAAATAGAGGCTCGAAAGAGTTATGATGAATATCAGAAAAGAAAAAATGATGTGACAGGCTCCAGATTACCCAGCTAGTAACCCGGGTCCGAGTTACAGAGATGCTTAGGGCTCTGGAACCCACCCATATTAGCAGCATTGATGAAATCGCTCGTCTTCTGAGAATCACCACTGCAAATGGCACCACACCAAACAGGCCGACTATCATGTCCATAAGGCTGCAGAATATATTCCTTGCCCTGATAATCAGAGTTGACAGCACCGCCAACATCGCAAACCGGGATAGTGAAGATACCCTCCCAAGAAGCACCATGTGCACCGGGGCTTGCCCAGGAATTAGAAATGGCATCTGAAGCACGGCTGGCGGCTGTGTCGGAATCGTAGTTGTAGCCTGCGACGTTGTAAGCGTCGAGAGAGGAGTTGATGATGTCCTAAACATGTTAGTGTGGATTCTCGCAATATGGCCGGTGAAACAAACCTGAACACTGACACCGCCGTAGGCTCCTTGGCCCAGCTGGTCGGCTCCAGGGGGAGAAGCGACCCATCCCCATTGGTGGGAGGTGGTGGAAACCACATCGTTTTCTTGCCAGTAGTAGAGATACCAGGCTTGTCCATCACGGCATACGGTAGCCTCTTGAGGACCAGATCCAATACCCTGGTTATCGTCGCAGGCACCGCCGCCCATGATGAAGATCTTCTGCGTGCGGTACAGCTGGTTGATGGAGGTCCCGACTAGCATGTTGGTCATGGCGTCGGTGACGGAGTTCTTGTCAACACCGGGGTAGGCGAGGAAGGCTCCTCCAGAAAGATAGCTGCGGATGTCTGCGTCGCCGTAGGACTGGCCGCTCATCAGTTGGTTGTTGGCTGTCGTGAAAGACTTCAAGGAGTCTACAACGATACTGCCCAGAATCCCGCCCAGGTCGGCGGATTTCTCAAAGGTATCATCCTGACTGAAACAATGTTAGTACAACTCCTTTGATAAAGAGTCAGAAAAACACTTACTGGCTAGGTAGGGTGTTAACAGCCGCAGCAATACCACCACTAGTAAGCGCATTCCCAGCACCAGCAACAGCACCAGCAACAGCAGGGCCCAAACCAGCAAACGAAGCACCAACACCAACAATAGTCGTAACAAGAGTCAAAACCTCCTTGAGAGCAGTAACACTCTTATCATCCTTATCCTTATAAAAAGTCGTCGCCCAAGAATCCTTCGACAAAGCAGCCCCCAAAGCAGTAGTCACAAAAGCCTCCCCAATACCCGTAAAGTAAGTATGCAGACGATTCACAGACTCGAGAACATAGTACGTGGGACGGATATCGTCACCCCGATCATTGAGAACGCGGTTGTCACACAGTTGCAGATCACAGTCTGAATCTGAGCCATCGTCCCGACAGCTCCAGTCTGGGTTGCCCATTGCCCATTGGCCGAAGGCGCCCGCGAAGCCGGCTGAGCTGTTGGATATCAAGCCGCTGTTGTCGTTCCACCAGTTGTTGATCCAGTCGCCGACATTGTTGTCGTCCCAGTCTGAGGTCTTTTGGTTGTAGTATTTGGAGACTGGGCCGCAGCGACGGTAGATTCCTGCTGGGTGGTGGATGGGTGGTGCTCCCTGCACTGCTGGCAGGAGGGCGAGGGCTGTCAGGGCTAGCGAAGGAAGCATGTCTGATCTGTATAGGATGTAATGCTTGAGGATTGGTACTGGTGTCTTTATAGCAAATGATGGTTTGTGAATATCCCCTCACTTCTTACAGGACACAGGATGATCCTTTGTCTATTCGGGAATATGGTCTTTAGATTTGTGTCAAGTACATTGTTTGGGAATAGACTTGTCCTGTCAGTCCTTGTCAAATCTCTCCTGATTATTCTGTACGGAGTAGTCCAGGGAAAGTCCACAGCGACGGGCCTTGCAACCCCTTCACTAAACACTTCCATATTGATCTGCAGGATATTGCTTTGAGCAAATCACAATAAGCCTTGTGCTGGGATAGGCAATTGGGGTCTGGTAACAACCTGGGATCGTCAGGGACTTGCATCTCAAGAGTCCGACCTCGGGATATTCGTGGGGGCCAAACGTTGTCCAGTGCGAAGAATCCTTCCACTGACACATATTCCACGAAGATCGGAGCTTCAGTTTCTATTCTAGGAAAATGGTTAGATATTAATATTCAAGCAGGATCAGGATCAAGTTTAATTAGATGCGTTCCTTGATGCATCTTGGGCATTTGCGTTTGTCGAAAAGCCATGTCGTGAAGCGTAGGGAGTTCAAGTCATGCATTAAAGATAGTAAAAGCCTCACCTAACGCTTTCAGGTGAAGGCAAGTATCAAGGAGTGTCGTAAATCATCAAGTCATACCCAAAGCAACGCCAAAAACCAGAATGCTGAAAGCAAAAAGACGCCCATATTGCCACTCCCAAAATACAAAAGATCCCATGCAGCTTCGCAGCCTTAAACATCTTCAACGACAACAATCCGTTCCACAATCCAGTCTGCAAGAGCTTGGCCTTCCAGTTTCCACCGACCCTCTAACCATACATCGCCCAGCCAGTAACCCCACGGTCTCCCCGATATGAGCTGCATGTCCCAGTGGAGAACTGGCGGGCGACGAGTTGATTGATCGCCTCCAGCCGAGAGATCCTGGTTGATACTCCGCGATGCAACCGGGATCGGGTTATTGGTGCCAGCATCGCCTTGACGAATACGCCATTCGCGCTCGGCTTTTTCGCCTGCGCGCCGGGCCACGGCTTCTTCATCTTCGGCCTGGTACAGGTTGCATTTGGTGCATTCGGTACAGCGGGAGCCTGGGTTGATGCGGAAATGCTCGCAGAAATGTTTGTAGCCTTCTGTCTCTTCAAACTCATCGTCGGATGCGTTTCCATCTTCCATGGGGTCTTCTGGGTCACCTGCACCGTCTTGGGCTTCGTGTCGGGGACGGGCAAATGCTTGCATGGGTGGGCCGAGGGCTTTGCGGCATAGATAGCACATGGAATAGCCACAGACACAGGTAAGCTTGTTGCAGCCGGAGGATTTGACGAACGAGAGACAGCAGCGTGGACAGGTGCGTTTCACAGCGGCAGTGCGGGCTGCTTCAACGGTGGCGCGAAGGTCTAGCAGTAAAGGTTCATGACAGACATGTGGATCCCGCCAAGGTTTCTGGCAGGTCATGCAGCTAATTCGTAGACAGACGGGATTGGCACATTTAAATCGCTTGGGGCGAATCTTGAGGCAGAGGTTGCGAATTGCATTGCCAAAGACTGCTGTCACAGTGGCTGGTTCCAGAACAAGTAGAATGAGAACAGGGATTACCAGCAACGGGACAAGATCGAGGATAAGCAGAACCATGAGAACTGTAGGAAGAATACCGGCGTCACGGCGGAGGCGCCAGCAAACACCACGGGAGGAGGGGTGATAGACCGGGTCGATCTCAGCGTAGGAACAAAAAGGACACCGAATGAGCTTCAGCTGGGATTTCATGAGCGTCTCGGAAGAGAGTCGATCTTCGAATTTGCGATATGTCTCAAACCCAGCTGTGTCAAGAAGAATTGCCTGCTTCACAATTTGAGGATCAAGAGAGCCTTCGCACGATCCGACTGACAGTGGCGCAAGGCATTTCAAAGAAGACCGCTCCAAGTCCACCGATTTGCCCCAGCCTTGTCCAAATAGCGCCTCGGAGACAGTCCGCTGTATGCAATGGTAGCAAATAATATGAGTGTTGCTCGAACATGTCGCGATCTGCTCGAACGTGACATCTGCAAAGCAGCATTCACATTCATACAGGGCATCAACAGCCTGCGCTTCTTTTTCATTTAGATCAGATGCGAATCGGAAATCCTTCCCTTCTTGCTCTTCCCGCCGCTGTCGCAACAACGGTGCAACCATCGTCTCATGAATCTCAGCATCCAACTCCGAAGAACCTGTCTCTTTCAATCCAGGAACCAGCTCTCCGTTCGGATCCCGATGCCACACCATAAGCGGGTGTGTTTCGCGGTCCTTCTTCCGCCGGAACGGAAGGATGTTATTGAAAGTCGCACGCCAGGTCCGACGCGATAGATCGAGAAGAGTCGGCCGAGCCCGCGCATAGCTAAAGTTCACTTCAGCTAATACAGCTTCAACGGTACTGTTGTTTAGGCCGTTGAACTCTTTGACCAACGCCGTTCGCACAGCGGTCTTGTACTCGCTGGACCGAAATCGTTCATGGGGCGGCACCAGGTCTGAGTCGTGATGTATCGGACCTTCTGGGGTAGTGCCAGCACTATCCTCCTGTTCGCTTTCTTGGATGTTCCATCGTCCCGAAACCCATTTCTTCTTGTGTCTGAGTAGCTCTTCCACGCACACCTGCGTCCTGCTATTTCCATCAAAGCGTACCAACAACTCGCGGAAAACTTCTATCCTCACATCTGGGAATATGTGGACCAAGGTCTCTAGGGCGGTATTCAGTTCATCTTGTTCTTGTTGTTGTTCCGACGTCGGGGTCGAGAGTTGACTGGGTCGGGACCACGTGTTGCCAAAGGGATTATTGCGCAAAGCTTCACCCAGAGTACCCGAGTAGGTTTTTGGAGATGCATTCGGTGGTTTCCAGGTCTGGTTGGAGGCACCGGGGGAGGCGCGGGTTTGCGGCGTGCCGTCAGCGGGGCGGGGAGTCGCGGACGATCTGGAGAAGCCGGGGACTAGCGAGCGCACCATTTTGTGTGTGCAGGCTCAGCTACATCGTTTGGAGAACAGGGAGGGATAGGCGAGTGAGACAGTAGAAGAAAGTGAGAGTTGGAGACTTGGAATGTGTTACATAAGGCTGCCTTAGGTTGCCGCCTAGGCTAACTGATCAAGTGATGATATCGGGTGTTTGTCTTCCACTCGGACTACGAGTACGAAGTACAAGTATTCATCTGCATTTATTTTCGCGATTTGGCTCATTCTTTACAACCTCTTGTACTTAAGGATCATGTATGAAACTGCAGATTTTAACCAACATGGCTTAAGGTACTCGATTTCGACGTTCTCCAGCTACGGTAGATCGAGACAAGATTATCTACGGAGTATTAATCCGTGACATGTTCTAGCCCTTGGCCTTTCGCAACTCCTTGCGTGGGATTCTTCTTTGACCCTTTTATGGTACTATATCCTTGGCTACCATCTGTCTATTTTTAGCGGTTATTTTCAGCCATGGAATGGGTTCTATCTACTCCGTACAGAATAAACAACTCTGGTATGCACCACTTCGGTAGCACAATACGCATTTAATGAGCCTCATTTAGAGCAAAGTGCTTATCAGAGAGACATCACAATGTGATCCATCTAAAGGGCCTAGACCTCAATGGCCGAAGAATTAAAGATTCAACTTTAGAAATGTTCGAATCACGCAGATCCGAATGAATAGTCTAATCTAACCTGAGATCTATGTCTAAGCCTATCTAAACCAAATGTACCAAACCTGGCAACCCCAACCCCCGAACAGGAAAAAAGATAAACAAAAACACTTTTAGAAAAATGAAATTCGCTCGAACGCTTCGCAAGATGGAAACACTAGCGCTAATAAAGGGAAAATCCCACAGTCCAACACAATCGACTAGTCGAGTTTGCCGGCAATAATACTGCTGCAGCGGGAGACGTTGGCACTGGTTGGGGGCGAGGCACCACGACGCATAGTGCAGCCATCCTCATCAAGCCACCACTTAGGATAAGGGCCAGGGATGAAGTTGCCATGGGCATCCCAGCCAGCAACCCAGTGGACACCATCGTCAAGCAGGAAGAAGCGCAGCTTTTCCGGACGCCCGCCTTTGTGCAGGGGAGCGTCAAACCAGCGGCAGCGGTCGTCTAATTCGGTCTCAAACATGTACCTGTGGAGAATGCGACAGTAGACCAGTGCGGCTGGGACTTTTTCTTCCTTTTCTTGTCCGTCGCGGTGGACGAGATGCCAGCCTCGACCGGGGAGGAACTTGTAGGTGCCTGGCACGGGTGATTGCCAGTGTTGCTCCTGGAGGGTGCTGTCGCGATCGCCTTTCTGGAACCAGTAGATTGGGCAGAAGATTGTGCGCGCGCAGAGGAAGAGATTGGGAGCCATGGTGTAAAGCAAAAGGCAAAAAAGTAATGGGTATGTGCGTGGACTCCGGAAAATCGATGGGAAAGTCCCAGTTGATAAAGAAACAGCGCTGAAGTGCAGGAAAGATCAAATGCCCTGGTTATGCCACAGTCATTGTGACAAACGGATTGGGAAAAGAAATGTGAAAATCCAAGTTGAGATGGAAATTTGACGGGTCTTCTGATGTACAGAAGCTCGGTGAAGACCCCCTGGGAGATAATTTCTCGGAAGACAAAGGACGCGATGGCGAGAGCACTTGGCACGGTTGTCGCTGGCGACCAGACTATCTTCAGACTGGCCCAGGTCTATGCGGTGAAGCGTTGACTCGAAAAGGGGTGATAAACTTGCAGGTCGAGTGTAGACACAATCAAGAGCGGCAACACGCAGATACGCACGGCCAGCCGTTGTTAGAGCTCAAAGAGAGCGTGTGCTAGAGAAGAAGCATATGGTTGGAGGAATGTCATGATGTGTGTGTATATAAAGAAAGAGGTGGGAGATATAAGAAAGTAACTGAGTGGGGTCCGGGAGGAAAAAGTCAATCGCACACTGTTTAGGAATAGACTGTTTCGGGATCCATCTTCCACCCTTTTCTTCTCAGGGCTGAGGGTTTTTTTACGAGTTTCTTCTTTGGTTTTTTCCACTTTTTTCCCCTTGTGGACCCTAGCTCTACGCGCCGCACCGTCATGTTGAAATTTTCAATGAAGTATATTTTATATGGTATCCACATACAAAAGGTACATGTCTATAGTCACTTGACTTCAACAGTGGACTCTGCCAAGGTGGGCTGGACACAACTGCCTAAGTTAGTGTGGCCAGTTTGAGAGCTACTCGTAGCTTGAAGCTGGTGATCTCACTTTTTATGTTTTATATGTGGGTTTCCCACGGAGAACTCCTTGTCGGGACGGAGCTGCATACCCGCATTCTGTTACTCATACATTAGGTTTACTTCGAAGGTTAGTATACGTAGAATATCCTTTACGGACCTAGTACTCCGTAGGCTATGGAGATATAGTATGCCCATGTGATTACTCACATCAAAGTGCATGCTATCCTCACTTAAACACGGCGTACGGAGTACTCCGAAGAGCTTTACTCTTTATATAAAAATAAAGAATATACTAAATACGAAGTACCCATAATATGGTCAGTCTATACAAAAAGTACCTGGTGGATCCGCCAAGCACTTGAATCCAGGTGCCTACATTGCGCCTGTTTACCTCCTTTAGGACACTGAAAGACATTCTATTCTAAAATCCTGGCCCTATTGCCACAGTCCCGACTATACCTAGTCTTAGCATATCTCACACCGCCATTGGATGCCTGAAATCACATCATCCTTGTCCTACATTATACTCCTATCTCGCGATCTGGCCTGTACGCATGTAGTTGATCTTACTGCAGGTCGAAGCCGGGCATTAATGCAGGGATCTATTCCCATGCGCCAAGCTGTAGAGCTGATGTATCAGACCTCGGGATTCAATCTCGGGACGTTCACCTGGACACGGGTTCGTTGTGACTCAGATTTTGCCCAACTGGTCCAGAAGCTTATCGCACGAGCCATGTCTGTGCTGCCAGTTTCAGGTTTCTCAGCTCGGAGGTATGTCATGTCGCAGAGATAGCGGGTGTTTGGGCCACATGCAAAGGGGCTTGCGTGGTGGAATGCTGTCTTCGAATGATGTTGAAAGGCTTGTATCAGAGTCGTCAGCCGATGAATTGGCAAGTACGGTGTGAACCTTAGAATGTATGAGTTGTGAGTTCTGATACTGCAGACAAGAAACATCTACAGTGGCTATGGCAAGAACCTTGAGAACTTGGAATGAAAATCCGAAAAAAATGATATTAACCAGAAAAGGGAAGATGGACATGAAGACTAAGAAACAGAGAGAAAGACGAGGTAGTATATACAAAGAGGCAACAATCTGTTCCGAATCCAGCTCGCTTTGCCCATGGGATATCGTTTCGATTACTTTACAGCTTGGCCTTGGCGCCCTCCAAGAGCTCAGCACCAGCACCAGTGATAGCCGGCTTGCCGGTCTCGACAACGGTGGCCTGGAACAGAACCTTGTTGCCCTCCTTCCACATCTCAGTCTTGAGAGTCTGGCCAGGGAGGACCACACCCGCGAAACGGACCTTGAGGTTCTTGTAGGCACCGTACTTGGCGAAGATGTGCTTGGCAGCCACACCGAGGGAGCAGAGACCGTGCAGGATGGGGGTCTTGAAGCCACCAACCTTGCTGAACTCGGGGTCGATGTGGAGAGGGTTGCGGTCGCCGTTCAGACGGTAGAGGGCGGCCTGGTCCTCGGAGGTCTTCTCCTCGGTCACGGCGTCAGGGGCGCGCTGAGGAGCCTTGTTGGCTGCGATAGCGGCCTGGGCACGGGGAGCAGTGGGCTTGGGAGAGCCACCGAAGCCACCGCTGCCGCGGATGAAGACGGTGGACTCGTTGTAGAACAGGTCCTCGCCGGTCTTGGCGTCCTTGGTGGTGTAACCAGCAATGACGATGGCGGCGTTGCCCTTGTCCACAACGTCGATGAGCTTGGGGTAGGTCAGGGTGTTGGCAGTGGTGGGGATGGGGAACTTGCGGACCTCCATGTATTGCTCGCCGTGCAGCAGCATCATGGGGGAGAAGTTCTTCACCAGATCGTCCATGTTCCAGGGGGTAGCGGTGTTGAACCAAGGAACAACACCGTACGAGGGGAGGGCCTGGAAGTGGTCGTTGTTCTCGTAGACCAGGGGCAGGTCAGTGCGCTTGGCACCCAAGCTGAGGTTGTAGAGGATGACATCGCGGTCCTCGTAGTTGAAGGCAGTACCCTCGGTAGACAGGGTCTTGGCGTTCTCGATGTTCTTGAGAGTCTCGTTCTCGCCAGCGGCCTCGCCGTTCGCACGGTTGGACATGTTGGCCATGATCTTCTCAGCACCAGCCTGGCCATCCTCGGGGTGGTCGGCGCGGCCGTCGTCGAAGTTGACGATCTGCTTCCAGTTGCGGACAACCTCCTCGGGGGTCAGCTTGACGTCCACGGGGAAGCCGTGGCCGCCAGTGCGCTGCCAGCGAGTGCGGCCGAACCAGCCGCTACCACACTCGAACAGACCCTTGGTGGAGGGCTCAGGGGCCATGTCAGAGCACAGCAGGACAACCAGAGGAGCAACATAATCAGGCTTGAATGCCTGAACCATCTCCTCGGGCATGATAGTGCGGGTCATGTTGGTACCAGCGTTAGGAGCGATGGTGTTGACCTTGATGTTGTACTTGGCGCCCTCCATGGCGAGAGTGCGGGAGAGACCCAAGATACCAAGCTTGGCGGCAGCGTAGTTGGCCTGGCCGAAGTTACCGTAGATACCACTGGTGGAAGCAGTGTTGACAACACGGCCGTACTTCTGCTTAAGGAAGTAGGGCCAGGCAGCCTTGGTCACCTTGTAGGTACCACGCAGGTGGACATTGACCACTGAGTTCCAGAGGTTGTCATCCATGTTGGTGAAGGCCTTGTCACGGAGGATACCGGCGTTGTTCACCAGGATATCAATACGTCCGAAGGCATCGATGGCACTCTTGACGACGGCATCACCATCCTCGCAGTTGGCCTTGTTGCCAACAGCCTCACCACCAAGCTTCTTGATCTCGTTGACCACGGGCTCGGGATCAACAAGATCGTTCACGACGACCTTGGCTCCGAGCTTAGCAAACTGCAGACAGTAGGCGCGGCCCAGACCGGCACCACCACCAGTGACCAGAGCCACACGGCCCTTGAAGTCAGGCTCCTCTCCTGCGGGGGCGCTGGGCATCTTCAGGCCGTCTTCCAAGTAGGCCATGAAGTCTGCAGGACCCGTGGGGTACTCGGGCTTGGAGAAGTCGTTGACATCGTTCCACTTGCGGGCAATCGCACCAGGGGTGAGCGAGTCGTCGGTCTTCAGAAGACCACCCTTGGCCCGCTCCCAACGAAGCTTGGCAACGTGGCCACCACCGACCTCGTAGATACCACCGGTCTCGGTGGTGTTAGAGGAGTGCACCAGAGCGGCCACGAGAGGAACGACCCAGTCGGGCTTCAGGTTCTCCAAAACATCGGGGGGCATCACAGTTGCGGTCATGCGGCTCGCAGCTACCCATGAAGTCATTAGCTGTGGTCCGTGCTCTGGAATTTTGGGTGCGACTTACCAATAGGGGCAATAACGTTGGCAATAATGTTGTATTTGGCACCCTCCTTAGCCAGGGTCTCGGTGAAACCGACCTGACCAAGCTTGGCAGCAGAGTAGTTCGCTTGTCCGAAGCTACCGAAGAGACCCGCGGCGGAGGCGGTGTTGATCACGCGGCCGAACTTTTGCTTCCGGAAGTGAGGCCAAGCGGCGCGAGCACACTGTCACAAACGATCAGTCTGTCATTCCTCGATTTGTATAGAATCCCACAACTGCTCACCTTGTATGCACCGTAGGTGTGGACTCTGTTGATCAGATCCCAGTCGGAATCCTTCATGTTCTTAAAGCTGATATCCCGCAGGATACCAGCGTTGTTGAGCAGGATATCGATGCGGCCGAAGGCCTTGATGGCGGTCTCGATGATTGCTTCACCGTTCTCGACGCTGTCGTAGTTGGCAACGGCCTTGCCGCCGGCGGCACGGATTTCCTCGACGACATCATCTGCAGCCTGGGACAGAGTCAGCTTCGATCTCTCAGATGGTGTGCAGAACTTACCTTTCCTGACTTTCCTTCACCCTTGTGTGAGCCACCGAGGTCGTTGACGACGACGTTAGCACCCCTTGAGGAGAAGAACAGAGCGTATGCCTTTCCTAAGCCACCACCGGCACCGGTGACGACGACCGTCTGGTTATCAAATCGTAGTTCGGACATTATGTGTATGTGGTTGTCCTTTGAAGAAAGCAAAGCAGAGAGTGGGAGGAGAGCTGAAGAAGGGGAGTTAAAGTAGCTCGGCACGATGGGACCTCGGCACGATCGAGCAAAAAATATGGGGGGACTGTATCGTTACAGCGCCGATTCAGCACTCACATGCCGTGTCTATACGAGCTAAGCTGATCCACCGTACTCCACTAGGCGGAGATGGTTATTTATGTTAGGTCAGCCGCAGTAATCTATGTAATCTCAATACACGACTGTCCAGCTGCTCAGAGTCCGGGGAAAAAGGCGTCGGTGATACTTTCGCGGGTACCGTGACGGGTATAGAGGTACTTTCTCTTTGCCGGTGATCTCCATACATTTGCCAAGTACTCTACTTGCTGACTCAGGCATGTGATTCTCCTGCCCGGAGCTGCGTCATTTCCATGTGCAACTCGGTCTGTTTTTGTCTCTTTCTCCTTATTAGATACTTAGTAGTATACTAAATCATCATGGTGGTGGTTTCAAGACTTCCATTTTACTCTGCGCGGACTACGACTATCCATCGAGCAGATCGGACAATGTAGCGGCTGAACTCTCCCCGCGGGGGTCTCGGCCGAGCTTCCCATAGTCTAATAGACATAAATTCCCTCCGGCACATCCAATCGGTACAGCGTACAAGAACTAGAGTCACCATGCCTGAAATCGTAGACGACAAGTCACAACATTGCATTCCCTTCCTGTTGGAACGCCTACGAATCCATACCGACCGGCACCGCGGCAATACCCCGCCATTCTTCATCGGCCTAAATGGCGTCCAAGGAGCCGGCAAGACAGTACTGGTATGTTTCACAACCTCGGGACAACCTCAGACCACTATTACCACTAACACCACCAGGTCTCCGCACTCAATGACACCCTGCGCTCTCAGCCGTATTCTCTGTCCGTCGTGACGCTGTCCCTTGATGATATCTACCTGACCCACGCCGATCAGGTTGCGTTGGCACAGGCGCACCCGAATAATCCGCTATTGCAGCATCGCGGGCAGCCATCTACCCACGATCTGGTCTTGGGTGAGGAGGTCTTTACCTCGCTGGCGGCTGAGCGGCCAACTGCTATCCCGCAGTATGATAAGTCTGCGTTTGCAGGCCAGGGTGATCGCGTGCCGACCGATCAATGGAAGATCGTCAATGAAGACGAGCCCAAGGTTAAGGTTGTGATCTTTGAGGGGTGGTGTGTTGGGTTCCGGGCCTGGGATGACAACACACTCCGTGCAAAGTGGGAGGCTGCAGTGAAACAGAAGGAATCGGGCGATTATAACGGCAGATTGGGACATGTGCAATTCGAAGATGTGAAAGCCGTCAACGACGCGCTGAGACAATATGATGTTTTGACCAAGTGGGTTCCGACGGTGTTTGAACAAGTACCCGGCTAACAGGATCCCCAGCAAACTGGATGCATTGATTCACATGTAAGGATTTGTTGCTAAGGCATGTTGATCGAGAGACTGACTGGGCATAGTGACGCCGAGAACCCACGATTTGTCTATGAGTGGCGCCAAGAGCAGGAACGCACTCTCCGTGCGGCGAAAGGCGCCGGAATGACCGAAGAACAGGTGAACCACTTTGTGGATGGCTGTATGTATACTGGGGAAGTTTGTCGGGCTATGTTAACGAATCCACAGATTACCCATCCTACGAACTGTTCACTGAAACCCTCCGCGAGGGCGCTTTCAAGCCCAGTTCGCCCTCATCTGATTGGCAAGGCCGACAGCTTCGCCTTGTGGTTGATCGCAACAGGCGAGTTCAAGAAGTCATTAAAATTTGATCAGAGATTGTACTTTTACTACGAGCTCGACGTGATTTGAGTATAGGAAATCGAACTTCGATCCCTGACTTATTTCCAATGTTAAATTTCGCCCGGATTACCGTGCTGGGGGCTATAAATACGCACCCGGGCAAATAGGACTATAAAACTGGGGTGCTTGTGCCCAATAATCGAAGCTAAGCGCCATTCCTGCATACACTGCCCTCTAGAGGCTCTGCCCCGCTTTCTCAGAACATTTGTGTTTCCAGCTTCTCAGCACATTTCTTTTCTCTAAATTCTTCTGGTGAATGGTTAACCATGCCCCGTCGAAAATTGAGAGATTTCTTCCGAAAAAAGCCCTCGGAAGAAGGCCAGGCACAGACAAATTTACCGCTAAGAAATACAAATCAAGTTGTGGATGATTCGACCCAAAATCCATCTGAGCCTGTTCAAAAACAGGATCTGTGGCAACGCGCTTATGATGACCTCGAGCCTAAAGAGAAGGAGCTTCTCCAGCGTATATCGATACCAAAATCTGACGAGTTCCCCGAGCCGATTGACGCGAATGTCGACCCCAGTGTCGTGGACCGCTTGAAGGCATTGAATGGGGTGGTCGAAACAGTGAAGATACAATATGAAATCGACAAAGAGAAATCCAAGATCAAGGAACCGATTCACAAGATTCTTCAGGCCACTCTCAGCTTTCAGGACATTATCAAGGCATTTGCGGCGTTTGATCCGACAGGACATGCACCCAGCGTTTGGGCAGTTGTCTCGTTGGGGCTGACGGTAGGCATTTCTTTTCTCGGTCTGAATCCTTGCCCTTCGAAAGCTTGGTGATTGACATATTCATTCTCAGATGACCCAAAACTATCGCAGTCAAAAAGAGGCTTGGCTAGAGTCCTGTGTATATCTCACAGATATCCTCGCTCGGTATGGCTTTATCGAGGCAGAGTATCACAAGGACCCGAAAACCGATCACCATGTTGAGACAGCTCTTGTACAGGTCTATGTGGCAGTCTTGCGTTTCGCTGCCAAAGTCCAATCCCGTGTTGACGGCAACCGTGTTGTTTTGTTCGGGAAGAGCATTCTTGGAAATGCCCTTGCCGATCTTGAAGAGTGTATTGACAAGGCTGAGTCGCAACTAGGTCAATGGCTTGAGATAGTTGACCGGCAGGAGCAGAGAGGAAGGGGAGAAGATCTGGTGAAAAAGGTGGACACAATACTGAATGAATTCGAGAGGGTCATGGGCTCACTTGATGAGCTGCATGGTAAATTTGACCTTTCGGGGCTCAAAACTGCACAGGAAGCCCGTTACAACGCATATACTGGAGAGGAGTATCAAGAATGCCTACCAGAGACTCGGGTAGAGCTCCTCAAGGAAATCAAGCTCTGGGCTACCGATCCAGATCAGAAGGCTACCTTCTGGCTACAGGGCATGGCTGGAACAGGGAAGTCAACTGTATCACGGACAGTGGCTCGGTGGCTGGATAAAGAGGGGTTGCTAGGTGGCAGTTTCTTTTTCAAGAAGAACGGAACAGACCGGGACAATGCCAAACGACTCTTCACCACCCTCACCAAACAGATGTTGGAAAGGCTCCCTCACCTTCGTGAGCCAGTTCAGAAGGCGATCAAGGAGACTCCCGCTATTGTTGAAGGAATGCGTCTGCAGGAACAGTTCAACGAGCTCCTCTTCAAGCCACTGCAAAGACTCAATCTTGGATTGACATCCCCATTGGTCTTGGTCGTTGTCATCGACGCCTTGGATGAGTGTCAAGTGCCAGAAGATATCAAGGCTTTCCTTTCAACCTTGCCTCAGTTGAATCAGCTGAAGAGGATTCAACTGAGAGTTTTCATCACCAGCAGGCCAGAAATACCGGTCATCAGAGGGCTTCGCTCTGTCAATTATGAAGAGATCATCCTTCATGAAATTGAGGAATCGATTATCAAGCACGACATTGCGGCTTTCTTTCACGAAAAACTGAAGAGTATCAGGGATTCTTACGGACTAGAAAAATTCTGGCCCGGAGAAGAGGCTCTTCTAGCTCTGGTCAACATGGCTACTCCTCTGTTCATTTATGCTGCGACCATATGCCGATTTGTGGATTCTGAATTGCCAAGAAGACGACTCCGTGCAGTGTTGTCCACGCCGTCAAGCGGAGGAGCCAGCGGGATAGATCAGGAATACGCAATGTTAGCTGGCCTTTACTCATCGGTCTTGAAGGACATCGTGTCTGGAAAACAGCCGAAGGAACTGAAAGAGTTTATGGACGATTTTCAGCAAATCGTCGGTGCGATCGTTCTTCTCTTCAGCCCTCTTTCCTCAGCCGCTCTGAGCGAGCTCATCCAGTTGGACAAAGAGACCACACAAGGCAGACTAAGCACCCTTCGCTCAGTGCTATCCGTACCAAGAGATGGAGATGAGACTACCCCGATACAGCTTTTACATCTCTCATTTCGAGAATTCCTGGTTTCCCAACCAGCGTCCGCTGACTTTTGGATTGACGAAAAGACAATTCATACAAAGCTTACCGTGGATTGCCTTGGGTGTATGAATCGAGGATTGAAGCGAGACATCTGTCTTCTCCTGGCCCCGGGTGCGAGGAATCACGAGGTTGAAAAAACCACCATTGACAAGAACGTTTCACTAGGCCTTCAATATGCATGTCGATACTGGATACGTCATCTAAGTAACAGTGATGAGTCGGCAATAGACTGGGCAGTGGTAGAGGATTTCTTCAAACTGCATCTTCTGCACTGGTTAGAAGTGCTGAGTCTTCTTGGATGGATGTCTGAAGCGATTGAAAATATTTACACTCTACAGTCCCTAGTGAAGGTTGGTGATATCAAGCTTGAACCAAAAGGGGGGAAACGAAACAGAAAGGGCTAGTTGCTAACTGTGAAACAGGAAAAATCATCGCCGCTAGCCGCCTTCCTTGAGGATGCACGGCGATTTGTCCTCAAAAATCAACAACTAGCCGACGAGGTACCTCTTCAGATCTATTATAGTGGTCTTGTGTTTGCACCACAAAGATCGATGATTCGGAAAACATTCGATGCAGAGTTCCCGACTTGGTTTTCACAGTCACCAAGGGTCGAGGAAGACTGGAGTGCAGAATTACAAGTTCTCGAGGGTCATTCAAGCGGGGTTACCTCAGTCGCCATCTCGTCCGATAATCGGATCCTGGCGTCTGGTTCTACGGATCAAACTGTGCGGCTCTGGGACACGATAACTGGTGATCTGAAACAAATCTTGGAAGGCCATTCACACGGGGTCAACTTAGTCGCCTTCTCCCCCAACGGCCAACTGCTGGCATCCGCCTCTAACGATGGCACAGTGCGCCTCTGGGAGCCTGAAATGGGTGCCGCACGGTTGATTCTTCAGTGCCATGCCAATACCATGTCAGTGGCCTTCTCGCCTGATGGCCAGTTACTGGCGTCTGGCTCTGATGATGGGACTGTGCGGCTATGGGATCCAGTGGCAGGTAGCCTGCAGCATACTTTTCATGGCTCTTCATTCCAGAAAGTGTACTCAATCGCCTTCTCATCGGATGGAAAACTGCTAGCGTCTGCGTCTCTCAGCGATGATTTGGATGCCTCAGAGAACCAAAACCTGAAAATATGGGAGTTACGGACAGGTAACTTAAGACACGCTTTTGGGGGCAATGAAGAAATGTTTGTTTCGGTTGCTTTCTCGCCTGACAACCGAATCTTAGCTGCAAGTAGGTTAGACGGTGTCTTACAGATTATCGATCTAGAGACAGGCAACCTACTGCATACACTAGAAGGAAATCTGGATGGATCACTTGCCTTCTCACCTGATGGCCGGCTTCTCGCTTGCGCTGGCTTGGTCACAAATCTCTGGCATCTAGAGACAGGTAAGCTACAGCGGACAATAAAAGGCAATCGTGAATGCATTGCTTTTTCGCCCAACAGCCGGCTCTTGGCCTCTGGATCCTCCGTCGGAAAAGTGCGGCTCTGGGACCCGTGGATGGGTGACATGCAGCAGACTTCTGATGAAATTCTGGGCCAGGAGGTGCAATCATTCACTGCAACCTCATATCGGAATCTGCAGGCATCTGAATGCGACCAGAAACTCATGGAGACTTTCATAGGCCATTCAAAGGAGATTTGCTCAATCGCCTTCTCTCCCGACGGTCTAATCTTGGCATCTGGCTCTTCTGATTGTACTGTTTGCCTCTGGGACCCAGTGACGAGCGACCTAAAACATATTCTCAAAGGCCATTCAGAGCCTGTGGACTCAGTCGTCTTTGCGCCGGATGGCCAACTACTGGCATCTACCTCTCGTGATCGTACCGTGCGGCTCTGGGACCCAACGACAGGCAGTCTCCAGCATATTTTCGACGGTCATCGCCAATGGGTTAATCCAGCTGCTTTCTCGCCTAACAGTCAGCTATTAGCATCATGCTTTGACAATAACATGATTCGGCTCTGGGACCTGAAAACAGGAAGTCATCAAATGACTCTTGAAGGTCATTCGGGGGGCGTTAAATCAGTCGCTTTCTCCCCCAACGGTCGGGTTCTGGCGTCTGGCTCAGACGATCAGACTGTAAAGCTCTGGGACCCAGTGACGGGCGATCTACAGAACACCCTTACAGGCCATTCAGGTATAGTCGTATCGGTTGTGTTCTCGCCCAATGGCCAGCGACTAGCGTCTGGCTCTATCGACAAGACTGTACGCCTCTGGAATCCAGTCACAGGCCACCAGTTGCAGGTTTTCAGAAATTATGAAGGGCTGAGCATGTATCGGGCGGTGCAGTGGGTGAAATTTTCTCAATATGGCTCTTACCTGATCACCGACTTGGGTTTCCTTGACATTCAGCCCTGGGACGAAAATGATGCTCATTCTTCAAACGCCACCTCTCGAGAAGCTTTTGCTCGTGAAGAATGGATCAATCTGGATCGCGAAGATGTGCTGTGGCTTCCGCCTGACTTTCGGCCAAGACGGCCAAAATGTCAGGCAACGCATGATAATCTTCTTGTTTTAGGCCATTGGTCAGGTCAGATCTCTTTCTTCCGATTTCGTCCATAGTGCCTACTTTTGAAAGACATGGCTCGTCCCAACCCCAAATTATATAGTTTGATCCACCGATCCCTGTTCTCTCTTTACTGCTTCTCTCCCTAAATTGCACGCGACATCGTAGAACATGCTAGCAAATTTGACCGATGGCATAGTCTTCACGGTCAAGATAAATTACTTGCTAACATCAATGAGTGGCTCTAACCCTAAATGCATTTGAGTGCTTTGCTGCGTTAGATTGCTCCAGCCCTGGAGGGCTGTTGTATTCAAATCCTATCCAAAGCCCTCTACCATGAATTAGACTGATTGCACTCTTTACATGCTCTTTACATGCTCTTTATATGGGTTCAGCCTGGTCTGACTCACCTTGTCTCGATATCAAATAACACGGAAGGAGCCTCCCACTTACCTTCATATCTTCCAATATTATTTGAAAGATTTTACTCTTTTGAATGCTTCCAATCCCCTGTCCTACCAAGCCAAACGATCAAGAATTGACGAGTCCTGGATTGAACAAGGCTCATACCAGCAGCTATCTACAACAGCAACCAACACACCTCAAGATTTCCAATTTCCAGACGCATGCCCAACTCCAACCCTGGAAGGCCACCTTCCAACATCATCGACAATCACATTTCTCTACATGCAAAGGGAAGATCAATTGCCTCTGGGACTCAGTGACAAGCGACCTAAAACATATTCTCAAAGGCCATTTAAACCCGGTGACCTCAGTGGTCTTTGCGCCCGATGGCCAACTACTGGCATCTACCTCTCGTGAACGTACCGTCCGGCTCTGGGACCCAACGATAGGCAGTCTCCAGCATATTCTCAATGGTCATTTCAACTGGGTTCAGGTTGTCTACAGGTGTCACGGGGGAAAGCTATTGCTGGAAGAAAACTCACAGAAAGCGATCCATTCAAACGAGAAAAGAGCAGAAGCAGAGGTTGGAGGGCCAACCTGCGACCGCCTCCTGGGTCTCTGTGTCATGGTGACCCGGGCGGTTCGGCTGCCAAAGTTCAATGGCCAGGCTGTGAGATCACACTCCTTCCATGGGAGAAGAACTATGCTGGTTCCAGATTAGCAGAAGCCATATAGGAGACATAGCGTGGAGGACTACCGCGCTATCGCTGCGGCTGCTGGCCCCGCGGTTCCAGTCCATGAGGCCGATTCCCGATTTGTTGCCCTGGAAGAGAGTGATTCGGAAAACGATCGGGCCTAGGAGAAGTCTCCTTCCTGGGCGGTTAACTGTCTACTATCGCGAACAATGCACATGCATTTGTGACAATCCAGTGACCGCAGTATTCGCCAACCTAGGGGTTCGCGGCCAAAAAACGCCGAAGAGTCGATAAATAGACTTGAGTTGGCCACAGGCATCTCGTCCGCTACCAACTTTGCTCTTTTCTGGGGAAGAAATCTGTGGTATTCGGTAGATTGGAAGGAGTACGTCTGGAATCCAGAAAACAACGAGATACTGATTCAACATTCAACCGTCTGTTGAAACCAGGCGACCCGGTATTGTTCGCAGCCCTGCCTGTTCTGAAACCAGCACGAAGATAGTTTGCATCCGCAGAGAAACGGTGCAAAGCGCTCTAATGAGAGCGATGCACGCGGTTGGCTTGAAACGAGGGACAGGAGGAGAAGTAAACGTGAACGATCGATTCTCTGGGCTCTTGGAGGTCTTCAGGAAGAGACTGACATCTACCTCTCCTGATCGTACTGTGCAGCTCTGGGACACAACGACAGGCAGTCTCCAGCATATCCTCAAGGGTCATGCAAAATGGGTTGAATCAGCTGCCTTCTCGCCCAACAAGCTACTGTCAGGTCAGCATCATGCTCTGACGATAGCACGATACTGCTCTGGAACCTGGGTCGAATTACCCCCACAACAGGTTGATGTCTGGCCAAAAAGCATCTCAGTGGGTTTTCGTCCAACGATGACGAGAATTTCGTGTGGGAGGCGAATATCAAAGCGGGTTACATTGAGCATACTAAACGGTTAGCAGAACACATTCGAGGGAAGATACCCCTGGGTCCTCCAACACCAGCCTTTGCAATTTGAGTACCCGCATGCACTGCGACAAATCTTTGCACAGCCCATACAGTACATGCAGGATTTAAACTGCACCTATGGGTTCTACACGACTTATGACGAGACTGTCTTCTTGCGCCAAATTCCTGTGGGATTTAGCAAATACAATACTCTCCGGTTATCTGGGCCGAATCCTGTTACCGGAAGACATCTCTGTTGTCCACTTTGAGTGTGTCTGTGAAACAGTGCTTTCTTTACGTTGCCTCTACACATTCATATTCGAAGCTGAACCGCATGTCTTCGAGCAGTGCTTGGCTCCTGTTTTCCGGACTATTCTCAGGTGCTCGGAGTTTTCAATCATATATTATCCTTTCTCAGGTTCTCGTTGCTGTTTTACCATTACGCCGTAGTCATCTATCTACTTTTCCCGATATAGTTTCAATGATCCCTCTAAACTCCCTTGCTAATCAGTTCGGAATTTCGCCCTATGATCAGTAATATTCTATTTCTATCCTTATCTATCGGTTATTCATCGGTAAAGAATAAATTCAGAAATTCCTGTTCTTCAAGTGAAGTGACAGGTCACTTCACTCGCCATAGACATCACAATTATTAGCACCCGGGCAGACGCAAGGTACCACTCCAGACTAACGATTAGCTCGGGATTCGGCATGCAATGGATCCGTACAGCCCCAAGGTACGAAGTATGGAGTATACTTAGAAAGAATAGTGGTATATTCTCGGGGTTTAGCTTCGCTTACCCCGTATCATTGAATCATTCCATAGTCGCAAACTGACCAGTTATTACCAGCCTAAAAGCTACATTAAATCAGAACTAAAGCTCTATTTAGCCGGAAGCCTAATCTCGATTCATCTGACACATACTAAGAACAGCTCTGGGGCAAAAGACACCAGGCATCAGCTGGCCGAACGCATGATCAATCGCGAATACGACACCCAAGAATTTAAGAACCTTGGAAAGATCGCGTGAATTCCTTCATCATCTCTCGCTAAGTTGCCCAGATAGGCTGCAGCCCAGCCTTGGTTTAACGCTTTATGATACGACGGATCTAGAACGCTGAAGCCTATTATTTTGTGAGACTGCTGGTACTCTGTACTTACTGATGGTATCTTTGTCATGGCTTAGCAATACACGTCATTAGAACTTTGTGGCGAAATATCGACTGCGCATTGTGCTTGAGTAGATGCTGTCATATAGCATGCCAAGTGCCAGGCGTCAAAGTTTGGAGTCAAATTTGGCATTACCATCACTTTGGAGTCCTTTGAAAATAAGCAGCGAAATGACATGTACTTAGTAGAATAAAGGTTCCGATCTAGATCCGTAGAAGCAACAGGCGTGGCAGTCTAGATCTCTAATATCAGGGCTCTATTTACCTAAACTAGGATTATCCCATTCACGAATATCACATGGTCGAATGCCCAGACAAGAAATAAGCGGATAGAATCTTGGAAATCGATGATTCGTTAGTTTTCGAAGAATAATCTCGAGCCGGAGACTCCAGCTTGGGCCCTTGACCGATCTTGGCTATGCTTGGGAGCCGCACTGGTACGGGGTATGAAATGCTCCGTGTTCATTCAGTTCTGTTCACGGTGTTTTCAAAGCAGTGTTTTGTCTCAACCTTGTAACTTGTAAGGGACTGAATTCTTAGAAATCCTGGTTGGTGGCTGTGATGGTCCATGCAGATCCATGAATGCATTCAAGGATATCTCGATTATCCAAACTCCCCGGGGCTTGGGACATTGCCTGTGAATCGCCAAGCCATGGCTTTGGCTATGCCCAACGTGGTAGTAGTCTTTTGAACTTTAGAGGTTCTGACAGGGATACCTGTAGACCTGGAGACAGGGCTAGCCACTTGCAAGGGTTCAAGGGTCTACTTTGTGCTCCTGAAGTCCTACATATCTCGCGTTTAAGGACAATACAAGGGTATTCATATTTGTAGCTTGAATTTCACGAAGCTTTCCCGAAAAAGCTGTATATGTACAGTTGCAAATATCATGGAAGCAAGTCGCAGACAGAACCCCGTTTAGAAAACCCATACTCCGACCATGTAAAACCGAACCCAATGCAGAATGTATGAACAAGGCCCAAAGAACTCGCTCATAATTCAACCGACCCATGCAATGCTAATAATAAAAAAAAAACGACCAGTTTCAAAAAAAGGGATATCACTGGAATAGTGGGTAAAGATAGACATCCCTGACAGATGCCGAAAATGAACCGTGAAACATAGACATAGAAGATAAAGACGTGAAACTGAACTGGGTCTAAGATTTGGTTCTTTTGTGGCTCTTGCTGGGACACTCATGCGATGAATGCGCGGTCCAGCTGTCGTAGAGCTCGGACGTCTTCGCCTCCGAATCCGATCTTCTCGTTGGGAATGTCCCGGGGACCCTCTGCGGAAGGAGTTTGAGCCGGGGCTCCAGGACTTGAGACTGGGCCGCCGGGAGGGGTTGAAGAAAGGGGAGCAAGAGCAGCGCCGTTCACTAATGAGGTGATGCCAGGTACTGCGTGGGCTGCACTGGCTGAATCTGTGGGTTTCGGAGACGAGTTGATTGGGTTGAGGGCGTGTAGGGCGGGGTGTTCTTGTTTGACGAGGCGGGGGCTGTGAGTCTGGCCGTTTGGCGCCAAAGGCTGGACCGAGACCCGTGGTGAAGCCATTCGGGGGTCGACCAGGGCATGTCCGTAAACGGGCGGGCTTCGTTGCTCCAGTGATCGGGGTGAGCGGCTCATGTAGGAAGGTTGTTGTGGAGGACCAGCAGGAGGGAGTCCTGATTCCAGGTGGTGTCGCTCATACGGGTGCGGGGGAGGTGGAAGTCCAGCTGGGTGCTGGTGTTGATGTGAGGGGTGGCCGTAGGGAGGAGGACCATTTGCTGCTACTTGAGGAAGATAGCCAGATGCAGGACCATGGCCGTACTGCACTGGGATAGTTGGCGGCGTAGCTAGAGGAGTAGGCGGCCATGCATACGCAGGGGGATACGGTTGCGCATGTGTCCCGCGTGGGTATCCGCCGATGGGGTGTGGAGTGATAGGGTAAGCAGCGCCTGCCATAGGCCCCCGAGTAACGACCGGGAGGTTTTGTTGGTCATTCACTGTTGACTCTGGGTACAGTCCTTTCTGTGGGTGAACGTGGCGCAGCGCAGGGTCCGAGGTGGGTTGTTGTAAGTTGGCGGCAGAGGGATGAGATCGGGAGTAGTAGCTGATCAAGTGCAGGTGCTGACCGTTGGAAGTAGTGATACTGAATGACTGCTTCATCAGGCCATCTGGCTTATAACGGTATCCATCTGGCCCCTCGTCTGTCCCATCACCCCGGTCATCATCACTACCGCGGCTCTCCGGGGTCTTTCCCCCACGCGCAGAGGAGCCCTGGGAAACGCTGCCGCCTCCCCGCTTGCCCTCCATTTCACGGTAGGTCAGAAAGCTCCCTGACACTCGGCTCGCACTCCATGATTTCCCATCGGTCCATCGGCGCATGCCCGCTTCCCGTTCATCCCAGACGAAGACGGAGCCGGATCTGATCGATTGTCGTTCTTTCTCTGAAAGTCGCCGTTGCACACGAGGTAATAACCCGATCCGACAAGCTTCGAATAGGATGATGGCGTCCGCGGGAGTGCGGACGTGTCCGTAGTATGTCTCCATGGAAGCTGTATAAGTCCGGATCGAAGTACTGGGGACCGTTAGATGAAGCAAAAGCAAAAGTAGAAGTGGAGAGAGACAAATAGGGTTCAGGTCCAGAATATAAGAAGAAACAAGTTATGGGGTAAAGGTAAGTAAAGGTAAGTAAAGGTAAAAGGTCGTTTAAGGCCGAGCTTTTACGTCACCTAACACGGTTAGACCGGCTGAAAGGGCGTCTTTTTCCTTTTTTTCTCTTCTTTTTTTCTGTTTTGGGTTATTGCGTTTTTTTCTTTTTTCTTTTCTTTTCTTTTTTTTTTTTTTAATTTGGGTAATCAAAGATGGAGTAAAGCCACTGAAGAGATTTGTTGTGGGGGCCAAGTGGGCTTGGAGGGCGTAAGAATGCCGATAGGACAAGGGAGAGCCAAGGCTGAATGCCAAAAGAGAAGGAGTTGACCTACTGTATTCTGTATGCACTCTGTACTGAAGTCAGTCTCGATGAAAGGGAGTGTAGGATATTTAGGATATCCTAGATATCCAGTCCAAAATGTCCCGGAAGTTAAGGATCAAAAAGAAGGTTAAATAAAGGAAGCGGAGAGACAAGAGCGGGCCAAGCGATCCAAGCAAAAGGATCGGAATTTGCTAAACGCCGAGATTCTAAGAATGAGAGAATTAAACATTTAAATTTTATTTTTTATTCTTTCTCGGTAATACGGGGAATATCAATTCTGGCCAACTCTATCAATTTTCTATTTTGGACAAGGGATACTTTATTAAAAGTCATATCTCACACAATATCTCACACCTTTCGATCGCACTAGGGATCTCTCAGAACCTCCAGGTAGACAGCCTCATCCTTACATGACCCTTCACACCCTTTACACCTTTACCCTTTACACTTTACACTCACCAAGACAGTTGACCTGGGTAAAAGCCATAAAGCCTTGGCGGGTTTACGGGCAAAACCTTGGAAATGGATATTAACGTTTATAAAATACGATGATTACCCCGATCTAGTAATACGTAGAATCAATAATCCACTTGAAATGTGACTGGACTCCTGTTTTGTGATTAACTGCTGTGTCAGAAATGTGGCGCCCTGATCGCAAAAAAAGGTTAGTGCGGAACTCTTAAGCTTAATCCAACACGAGGAGGCCGGCGCTGAACTTTATGCTCGCTTACAGAGGCCGTGGGTACTCTTGGCAGTCTCGCATTCGTATCGTTAAATTAATTTATTCTACGGAGTTCGGAGTACGGAAGACGGAAGACGGAGCACGGAGAATAGGGTAATGAATAATAATAATGTTGGAGCTCAGGTTCACACTATGATATTCGTGGTAGGGAAAGGTGTCCCCAGTTTATAAAGTACGAGTGTTTCTGTAACCTTGGAAACTTAGCGTATCGGGATTTAACACTAAATTAGGAAGGCCCCACTGATTAATAATAGAGGGTTTGAGCGCAGCCTTAAGGGCCTTGGGTATAGTTCCATGGAATGTCCTCCCTTGAGCCACACCTGAACAAGGTTATTCTTAGCGAATGTGGAACGTTGTTTAAATTGACATCCATATATCAGAGGAAAATAAAATAAAATAATACTTAAGCAGAAGCGAAAAGCCACTGTCAGATGCTCATGACTCGTACTCGTATCCGGTCTAGTGACGCGTTCTGATCTTAACTGCGGAGTACGAAAGACTCTGTAAAGCTTGAGATACTGGTCTGAGTCCAATAATGTAGGATTGCGGAGTACTCCGTGTGTTTCTGAGGTGCAGGTTTAAAAATAATCAAATAAAATGCAAGAGAGCCAGTGGAAGCAGTGTATTATACTGAGCGGCTAAAGAATCACTCGATCGGTAGTAGACCCATGTCCAATGCACATTAATGCTTGCGCGCGTAAAAAGATACATGTTGAGTAAGAACTAATCAGAGAGCCACGTAATAGGATCACCATGAAAGGCTTACAACGTGGTTCTATATATACTTAAGTACTGGTTTCGCAAGGGTAAGCACATTCTGAATAATTGGCTAGCTCGTGTACGAAGAATGCTAACTGATTTGACTCGGCGATAAGGTTCGTTGGTCCGAGTAGCGCTCCGTGCCGTTCATATTTACCGTGCAGCTATGTAAGTACAAGTGTACGAGTAGACCTTGTATCAAACTACAAGTACGAGTAGCCTTGCAGGTGGGTAAGGTCTCTCCTTTTTGTACCAATTTAGATCCCTGTACTCCGCACTCGACTCACTTTTCAGAGACACTGAAAAACAGTCAATGAATTGCAGGATTTAACATATTTATTTCGCGATCAGTATTACTCTGTATTCCGCTGTAACGAACTATGTCTGAAGGTCTTGAATTACTCTGGCAGGCTGCAAGTCAATAGAAGCGTATCGCCAAAGCTCGTACAAGGATCACTGGAATAGGGTTCGGAGGGGCTGGTCACTCTTGGCAGCTGATTTCCTCCTTGGCGGTACGCCCAGTTTGGTATCAGTGGTGTTTGAAAGCCTAGCTTCATGTGCTTGATTCCAAAGGGACATGGCGCGATCGTCATGTCAGCGTAGACTCAGTCCACAGGTATTGCCTTGTCTCACATGATTTAGGTCTCGCCATAATGCCTTGGGTTTTCCATCTACCAGGTCTATGGAGCTTGCAAGGTTGCACTGCTTCCCTCTACCTAGGTTGGGAACAGAAACAAGGCTTGAGTAACCAGGGACTTTGCTGAGATGTTGCTCAAAATGCATGTCATAAAGGACTCATTCGAGGCAGAGCACTTGTGTTGCCACAAAGTATCTAACGGATAATTAATTACCTAGCTAAGTATAAGCACTGAGGATCGAGACTGAAGTCCCAGTTTCAATCCGACTGGCGCAGCTGAGAAAGAAAAGAAAGCTGGAACTTTAGAATGCATGACATCTTGGTGAATACTTTGTACGACGGAGTTCAAATACAGAGTTGACACGATAAATAAGCATAATACTGAAGTAGCCACGAATCACCACATTGCTTTAAAGTGTATGTGTCTGAACTTCCCCAAGTAGAAGAAGCTCAGGCCTCGACCAAGTTTATTATTTCTGAAGATCGCCTGAATCCACCTTTCAACAGCCGTGATCCCGCAAGTCTTACTACTTTAGGTAAAGGCTGGTGCTCGTTTGCCCCTAAGCTTATCACCCACGCAACTTTAGAATAAACAGGGCTAGTCCCTGACATTTGTCTCAAACAAGGCTATACAGTCACACACTGTTCAAAGAGAATTATACCTAGTATTCCGTACTCGTAACTAATGCCGTGTCTATCCGTTTACTCTCATCCGATCATCCGAGGACTCCTTTTATTGAGTGGGTCTCGCTCCACATCTCGCCAACTATATCGCTGAGAGTCAGGCCCTTGCGGGCTAAGCCGACGGTTTTGCCGACCGTGGTTCGTGCTTCTGCAACTGTGTCAAGCCTTAGTGTATTACTAGTTGCCATTCTAATCTGCGTATTCTAACTGTTACACTTTATTCAGATGGTTACAGAGTATACTCGTAGAGGTACTCCATACCTACTTTACTCTATAACTACATATAAGAGTAACTATACTTACTCATTAACTACTTAAGTACTGTGTACGGAGTAAATAAAATACGACCATTCCCTGGAATTAAAGATGGCCAAGAGTTGGTTTTGTGAAACGTCACACGAGCTTATCTCCACTAGCATAATTAAGGTCTCCATTGTCAGGGCTAGGGAATGTGCTGTGTTTTGATTTAATCTAATTTCTTCGTTTTCGTTTGGTCACAGGGTTTCATTTGATATTTTCTATTTTCCATTTTATATTTTTTACTCTACATCATAGTCATAAAACGCTGGTGCCTACCAAGATGACAACTAAATCGGTCCTAATTCTTGGGGCCAAGACGGCCTTTGCGCCAAGAGTGCCAACTTTGGGCTCTCCATTTTCTCCCATGGAAATGTTCGGTGGCGGTTTATGGTTAACGTTGGTCTTTATTTTACTTTGGAACTTTAGAACAAGGGTTATTATTTAACGTTACTCTTATTCATAACCCATGTGGCGGAATGCATTATTTCGGGGACTTTCTGAATACGAGAATTTGATCTGCCTCATTAATGAGCGTGTATATTTTTGTCGATGATCTTTGGATCATTTCATTTACTCGTATCTTAGTACGAGTAGATCACAATGTGATATATGTCAAGCAGGGATGCCTTACGACATGACTCGTACCAGGCGGACAATGCCCGAACTTCTTTTTTGCTTATGCTTAAACCCTGGTAAGGTTGGGGCCCCTTGGCTTGCTGATCCTGGTCTCCTCATTGGTGAGGACTTGGTGTCCGCTTTGCCAAAGGCTATTAGATTAATTCAGGGCTGTGCGCTTCCTCTTGGTGAGGCTGTGATGATCTACATTCTCCAACGTTATACTTACTCGTATGCAGTTGCCTTGTCTTATTCGTGATATCTCTCCTTACAATAGCGAAATACTCGTAACAACTGTAGAACCTACCATTTAACTCTAAGTGAAACCGGGATTCTCGGCATAAATAAGCGAGATCCGAAATAGAGTCAAAATGCCCCTAAAGTCCAAGCCCACGTTGCTGCGGAGTACGCCGACAATCCAGTTATTCATAATTCTTCATAATTCGGCCCTATTGGGTCTTATCTGGCCTTTTCGGTCTCGGCTTTCCCGCCTTGATCATCTGCTTATCCCCGGTTTTTTTTTTTTTTGGACGCCTCCTTCCCAGACTACAGTGCTTGGCTTTGCTTGGGCCGGAGCTCCGGCGCATACATGTTTTAGGTAATTCTGTTTAGCTTCTAAACTTTACAGAACCTTGACATAGTTAAACACTATGCCCACTACATTATTTAACTCTCTGTACTTGTATTTAGGTGTCCATGTAAGACAATTGCTCGTTCTCGCAATTCCATGGAATCAGGACCTTCCACTGCCCATGCAACTCCCTTCTGCCAAGCCGTTAAACACGAGCATCCCACCTATTCTGTTGTCCGTGCGGCGCAGTGCGCCTTATGCACCTACTTACTCGCTTGATCCATGGATTGAGGCTTTATTGCCCCCTCCTATGGAGTACTGGGATGCAATATACACCTGCCTATTTCCCTCACTCCGGATGTCTATTTACTGCCTAAGAACTTGGAACTACTCGTAGATCCGTGCAGAACTCTAGAACCACTGCTTACTTCTCAAAATTCAGATCTGGAGCAATTGAGATCACGATCTGAGACAAACAAATTCGGAAAATTAACATTACGCTTTCTTAGCTTCGGCCCCCGGATGTTTAGGATGATCAGGCTGCCCAGACTCGTATATTACAAGTTATACCCCGGGGCCGGGGGCCGGGCTCAATAAGCATAACAATAATCGGTACCGAGTTCCCTGAACTGGAATTACGCCGATCTCCGTGTATACATATTACTCGTACATATTACATACAAAGTACTCCGTAGTTAGATCTAGACAAGCTTCAAATCTTGGCTACTTTCATTTAGAATGAGCCGAGGTTGTAGCACGCCTTCAGATTAGACCAATCCCCAATTGCTAATATAACAAGAAATAATCTAAAATGGGGGCAATGGAACTCATGCAAGCTCTATTTTAGCTTTGGGTATGAGACTTGTATTTGTTGCTAGTCGAAATTGGGCATATCGCGCGACAGAGGCTCCGCTATGCGGATGTCAGCGGATCGGTTCCCCTGTCCAGGCTCTTGGCCTGCTGACGCCGTAGCGAGGGATAGTGAGGTTAGACGCCTCAATATGGTACCTGCTTTAGTGTAGTGACAATCTAAAAGCTATCTTTGCATTTCGGACGGAGGTCGAGTTCAGATCTATGTAATCGCTTTTGATGCGCACTATAGTACAGATTCATTATACACTAGCCAGGGCTTTGGCTAACAATCAGCCCGGCCAAAGTACCTGGGGAAAGAGACGATGTCTCGCACACTGGATACACCGCTCAAATATCCCAGGAACCGATCAAAGCCGAGCCCAAATCCTCCGTGAGGAGCGGAGCCCCAGCGTCGAAGATCAGCGTACCATTGAAGGTGGCTGAGATCCTCGTCTGGAGAAAGATGGGGATACAAAGGTTCTTCGGGGGCAGGTGTGCCATCAGATAGCTGGCGGGACTTGATCAGGCCGTGCTCGCGCATGTTCTGAATCAGATCTGGCAGACGATGCTCGCGTAGAGATCCTCCAGCCACTTCGCTGACCTCAGGAAGCAGCAGATCAAAGCATGCCACGGTCTCCCGTGGCGCGTCGCTGGAATCAGTCTGGGAAGGCGACATGTAGAATGGCTTCACTGATTTCGGGTAGTCTGTCACAAAGACAGGTCGGCCCTGGTATAGTACCTCGACAATGTACTTTTCATGCTCAAGTTGTAGGCCTCCCTCCCAGGTTGGGGAGTGCTCGAATGATACACCTCCATCAACGGCTCGCTGTAGCTGCTCCACTGCTTGGGTGTATGTAATGCGGTGCCATTCTGGGCCATCCATTAGATCTGTCCATCTCTCTCGCAGGGATCCCGCCTCGGCGCTAGCTTCCTGGCCTGGCTCTCCGGACCTTTTCGCGGACAGGATCTCTTGTCCAACAGTGGTGTTATATAGACGTCGCGTCAAGTCGCGAAGTGTATGTTCAACCAAACCAGTCAGCGACTCAAGGTCGGACATGAAATTGACCTCGGCCTCAAGCATGTAAAACTCGCTCAGGTGACGTGGTGTATCGCTCTTTTCTGCTCGGAATACAGGTGTCAGTGTCCAAACGTTGCCTAGCTCCGCGGCATAAGCTTCGAGGTGCAATTGCGATGACACAGTGAGGTATTTGGGTGCGCGGAAGAAATGCTCGTTCTCGTTGCTAGGTGTAGCAGCACCGCGTGGTGCCAGCGTGAAGGTCTCCCCCGCCCCTTCGCAATCAGAAGACGTTATGAGTGGAGGCTGGACTTGCGTGAAAGCTCCGTTTTGGTGAGAGTGGAAGACATTGCCTAGCTGGAACATGCACTCGGAGCGGAAACGTGAGAGGAGAGAGTTGAAGGGGGTTCGGATGCGAAGGTGGGGGATTTGGCGCAAGAATTCAGGGCTGTGGTATTTCTTTTGGATCGGAAATGTCTATCTCAGATGTCAGTATTGCTGGTACTCTTGTCATGGCTTCGGGTGCATGTCGCAAGCTTGCCTCTGGGTCTGACGCGCCAACAACCGTCACGTCTGTTGTTTGGAGCTCATGCGTTTGCTCTTTGCCCGGTGGACAAGCTTTCCATAACCCAGAAATTTCGACCGCGGTTCCAGTAGACAGACTAGCGAAGAACGCGCTCGGGTCAGTTTTTGTCTGACAAGCAGATTGCTCGTGGCTGCACACGTCGGGGTGAACTCACTCCGCTGCTTGTGCAGGTTTCAGAATTGCCTGCAATGGCTCCACGGTTGAGCCATCAGAGATCTCTGCGAACGCAAAACGCTTCTGTTTTCGTACAGACCGAACGAAGCCGTTGATTTTGACCTCTTGGTCCTCGAATTGACAAGGACCAGTCTTGCTAGCTTGGAGGATTTGCGCACATCGCGAAATTGAGGGCTTGGAGCTGATTGATCTTTGACCAAGTCTGCTTACAGACGTGGCCAGACTTCGCCGCCAGATCTGCATTGCTGGTGATGTGAAAGGGAGTTCGGAGATTGCGGGAAACTTATCGCTATCGGTCCGATCCTCGTGGCCAACGGGCATTAGTGCCCAGATGGAAATATACAAAAGCTATGTTTTAACTATTGTTAAATTGTAAGTAGTACTTAAGTAAGGTTGTCTAGATGTTAAAACATTCTATACTATGATTCAGTATTCATCCACGGGTGTCAATGAGTTCTTAACTTTAGAAGTCGCTTATATATTTGTTTAGACACTGACCTGGAAAATAGTATCCCACCTGCTCAAGTGCGCAAGTATTTAAGTATGCAGTAACAACTTCCAAAGTTCTAAAGTTTAGAATGTTGAACCCCTGGAGGTACTTAAGTAAACATCAGAACTACTCAAGTAGAAAATCACCAAATCAATATCATTACTTAAGTAATAGCTGCTAAATACATCCAAGGTCACCCGTAATTTCGAACCTTGGACCGTCGCTCAAGGGTTTAGCAAAAGCAAGCAGAAATGGATAGACCGCAAGTACATCAAAAGCCATGGAGATACCTAATGAGTGACATATTACCGAGAAGCACGACCCTCGTAGGCCCTTCTCTCTTCCTCGATCATATCAATAGCATCCAAGAGACTACCGTCAGCCGCCGAGGCAAAAACCATCATCCTGGTCGGTCCGCCTTCTTCCTCACGTCCGTAGCCCATGTCCATGAGAGCGGACATGCAATGGTCGATATCCGCATTGCCTCTCTCAGAGCGACTTGGCTCGCATTCGGTTGAAGAAATACTGACGGGTGATTCCCGTCCTGGTGCGTTGTCAGGGAGCTGTAGATAGGGAGAAGATCCAGTTTGTTCTTCTTTTTGCAGCTGTGTCATGGTATCTTTTGTCACTGCGTCGTGTTCTTCATCGCTGGGAATACGCATGGTCGCCGAATTGTTGGCAAGAAGCTGGGCGTCTGACTGTGAAACGGGCGGGAATCTGGACATCTCTGCCCCAGGACGCGAGTCTGGGGAAACACCGTGAATAGCAAACGGTTCATTTTGTTCGCCACTTGTCCCCGGAAGGAGGGAAGGGAAACGTGCGCTGAATGCTGGGTCGTCGTTTGGTGAATCAAGCAATGCAGATGACTCTGGTTCAGTCTTGCTAGAGCCATTGTTACGATCAGCCGTGTTGAGATGAGATGGCTGCGCAGCAGCAGCAGGAGCAGAAGACTGGATCTTCGGCTCGAAAGTAGAGTGATTCACACCACTGAGCTCAGCCCGTGGGAACCGAGTAACATGAGTTTCTTTGTTGAATCCTGGAGTAGCCTGCACTTCCTCAATTGGAGGATGATCCATATGCTCAAGATTAATTGAATGACCATCAATGATGGCGCCTTGCAAAGCTCCTATTGCAGCGGAAGCAGGGTGCTCCGAGGGGAAATGAACGTAGCCAAAGCCTGCGTGACCATTTGAGGTTGCATCTGTGGGAAGATCGACGTCGACAAGGAAGCCCTTTGAAACAAACACATCCTGAATCATCTTCTCGGTGACCTTGAAGCCGACATTTCCGATGAAGAGAGACTTTGTGGTTGGGCCAACGACTTTCGGCTTTCCAGACTTAGCTACCGGTGCTTGCTTAGATTTGGGTGTGCCACTGTACGTCGAAGACGGTGGCGCAGGTCGCCAGTGTGGCCAGGGGGTGGCTCGTGGCTGTGGCCAAGCTAGTGGTTGTTGCATGGGAGGGTGTGAGGGGTAAGGAGGAGGGGGTGGATTAAAGGTTTGGAATGGATGCCAGGCCGGGGCAGGGAATGGGGTTGGTGCCAAGTTATTTGTGTGAGGAAGTGGGTGGTGAGGTAGGGGTGGTGGGAAGTGAGAAGGTACCCCCTCTGGTGCGTACAGATAATTAGGGCATGGTGCAGCGCTCTCAGACTTTGATTCGCCTGAGTCTGGCATCGACTTCTCGTTTGATGGATAAGTCGGAGCTTGAGGAGTCGGGGCTTGAGGGTATGCAGGTCCTGCCGCAGTTGGTTCGGTGTTTGAGGGAGAGGAAGAAGCAGGACCAGGTCGCCCAAATTCACTTTCGAAAGCAGAAAACAGAGTTCTTCCGACCTCGTTGAATTCAGATGCCATCATACGCAAACCGTCGGCAGCGTTCTCTGCAACAGGCCTTCCTGCCTGGAATGCATCTTCTGCCATCTGTCTCCCGCCATCTGGAATATTATTGAAAGCGGTCTTCATGTGAGCCTCGAGGGTGGCAAGCAATGCACGCAATGAAGTTTCCACGTTTCGTGGCAGAGATCTGTGTGCATCTTCAAGTTGCCGTTGGGCATTCTGCAGCTGTCTCTGTAACTCTGGGAGTCTTGACCTCCATTCATTTTGGACCATGTTGGCTCCGTTGGTAAGTTGGTGCATGACCTGTGCTGCTATTATTTCAACGGGGTGGGGTGTACGTCCTGAGGTAGAGTTGGAGAATGGCTCGGCGATCGGTGGTGAATCAGACCGGGGGGCCTTCTTTTCGGAGGATTCAGCAGCACCAAGCATCTCTGCTAGCTCGGCTTCAAATGCCTCCATCAGAGGCCGGGGTGCGTCCGAGGCCGGTGACCGGCTTGAATCCCTTGACGCTGGGACATCACGTTGGCCGTGTTGAGCACCGGGCTCTGTAACAGCAGGCTCATCACGAGTATGGTCACCAGCATCATCATTATCATTATGGTTATCTTCAAATCGCTTCCATAATTCGGTCACGGAATTTGTTCGACGGACGTCAAACATGTGTCTCGGAGTGACATCACTTTGGAGCTGGACTGATTCAACCCGTGAACTCAGATCCAAGGGCTCCTCGAGGCGTTGGGAAAGCTCGAGAGCAGATCCAACCTAGGGAACCAGTGAGAACGTGACTCTGCCACCGGAAATGCGATACGCTTACTGTGATTGTTTCATCGCCATCGTCATCCTCATCGACATAAGTCAGCCGTGCGCGAGGATGATTTGACGCTATGTCATCGTAATCTGTGGTAGAGATCCGAATGAGGGCAGGATTAGAGGGAGAGGCAGGCTCAGGGTGAGACCGGAGGTCTCTGATATGAAAAGGTTTCAACATCGTTGAGAGGCCGTGGGCCGGTTACAAAATTTCAAGAGTAGACAGATAGCTAGTGGCAGAAAGAGATCAAGATCATTTGAATTTGGGGATATGTAGTGGCAAAGTCGAAGTTCGATACAAGGCAACAGGATAAGGATAAGGGCCTCCCCGCTCCATTACACTATGTCTCATACTTCAGTACTTATGTGGTGTATTTCTATGTACTCCTTGTACTCTGTATATTGCTTCCTGTTTGCTACTTGCCTATGATAGCCCCTATTTGCTGTCTCACCTACTCAGTTCTATACGTGAGTGTCATCAGGGGATCATCATCCCCTAATGCTCTTGGACCACCAAGGCGGACATTTTAGGCGGTAGTCTCGATTCTGCCGGAAGAAAAGGAAGAAGGGCTTCGGAGACGACAATGACCATATGCACTTTTAAGAGTAGAGCATGAGATTCATCTAACGGATGTCTGCTTGACTGTGTCGCTTTACTCACACGACCTGATCGGTCAACGTCAATCGTTTCCACAACGCCAATGGCCGGGCCATTGGATACGGCACCCTGCATGAAACCCCTCGGAAACTAGCCTCGATATCTCCGGTGTTCAGCTCCAATCTCTACTGCCATCCATGGCCACCTCCAGGTCTGCACGACTGCAGTCTCCAGTCGGCAGAAATCTTCAAAACGTTGTGTTGGGCAATCTCTTGTTCCAGCCATGGAACCAATCCATCTACCCCGAGGACCTCGTCGCCAAAGACGCCGACCGGCTTTACGTTTGCCGTTGGTGCTTTCGATATTCATGTGATGGCGACGTGTCTGATAAACACAAACGAGCTTGCGAGCATCGCACAACGCCCCCGGGAACCAAAGTCTATGACCATGGCGGGTATGCGGTTTGGGAAGTCGATGGGCAAGACTACAAACTATTTGGACAGAATTTGTCCCTATTCGCCAAACTTTTCCTAGATCACAAGACTGTTTTCTTTGATGTCGCAACTTTTCTTTACTACATCCTCACTTTCACCGATCCTGATGATGGCTACTACGTGCTTGGATTCTTCTCCAAAGAGAAGCTTTCGTGGGACGCGAATAACCTTGCCTGTATCTTGATCTTCCCACCTTACCAGCACAAGCAGCTCGGAAAGTTATTGATGGGGGTCAGCTACAAGTTGAGTGGTTGGGATTCCAACGGTGGACCCATAGGCGGACCAGAGAAGCCGTTGAGTGAACTGGGCCACAAGAGCTACGTCCGGTTTTGGGCTGAGCGAATTGCTCGGTACTTGCTATGCGGCAAACCCGGTAGCAGTGTCCAGGATCCCGATCAACAGAAGCCCAACTCGACTCCCAAGGGTTCGCGCAAGAGACCCCCACGTGAAACAATCACTGTCGAGGAGCTCGGCCTGGGGACGGGCATGCTCACTGAAGATGTGATCACTGCTCTCAAAAGCATGGGGCTTTTCGATCCCCAGGCGACTCCTAAAAAGCGTAAATCAAACCGCACGGGGGTAGTGGACGACACACCACCGGGGCAGATTGTCACTATTCACAAATCTGATGTTTGGGATTGGGCCCAAGCCCATCATCTGCTATTAGAAGACCCGGTTTGTGACTCTGGGTTTGAGGGACTTTGGCCCCCGGTCCTCTCATCCGAAGGGGATAGCCAGAGTCTTACTTCGGAGGATAGTTGACTGTGGACTTAATACTTTGTACGATAGCATTGATTATTGATTACTATTTAACGAAGATCATGAGAAGCAACACTTGGTTTGTGCATTTTTTGGAATTAATTGGCTCTTCTTCCCAATCTTTATGAGGGAATCAAGTTTTCAATCCTTTTAATCTTTACATGAACCGCCTAAATTCGTAAATGAGAAAGTGCATTACTCTTCCTGACCACCGGGACCGCCCGCCTTGCTCATCTGCCGAGCCTTGAGGAGCTCGTCGCAAAGGAGAAGGTTAGACGCGATACCTGTGCTGGAAGCGATGCAGTTGCGTAGAACACGGAAAGAGTCAAAGACACCTCCTTGAATGGGGTCCATGGGCTCACCAGTGGCCAGATCCAAACCGACAGTGTTACCATCGGTCACCTCATCATGGAGAGCGGCCAGGGAGTCCTGGATATCATGGCCTGAGTTGGCAGCAAGAGTCTTAGGAATGATCAGGAGAGCATCAGCGAAGGCGTTGACACCCCACTTGGCCTTACCCTTCACAGTCTTGCTGAAAGCCTGGGACTGAAGGTGAGCGGCGCATGCAACTTGGAATGCTCCAGCTCCGGGGATAACACAGCCATCGACAATTGTGTTGTAGACGGAGCGCAGACCATCACGGACAGCATCCTTGACCTGGGTGATGGTGTGACCGTTGGGACCCTTGATGAGAATGGTGACAGACTTGGGGTCCTTGACCTCCTCAACGAAAGTGAACTTCTCCTCACCAAGCTGGTGCTCGTAGACCAGACCGGCCCAGCCGAGAGACTCAGGGGAAAGATCCTCAACACTGTTTTGGGCGGTACCACCGCAGACAAGCTGCAGACGCTCCATGTTTCGGCGCTTGGCTCTGCGCAGAGCGAAGATGCCGTTCTTGACAAGAACGTCCAAGCTGAGGGGATCGATACCCTTTTGGTTGATAACAACGAAGCCCTTGTTGGGGTCGTTTCCGCAAACTTCCTTCTTCAGGTCCACAATCTTCTGGAGCTTCGCGTCGACGAACTTGCGCTCACTCTCGACGAGCTTGTCCCGCTGCTCGGCGTTGGAGTAGTAGAATCCGGAGTTGATCTCCGACTTCTCATACTCGAGACTGACGTTGAGTGTCAGGATAAAGGCGTTCTCAACCCGCTTGGGCATATCAGGGTGTCGGGCACCGTGGTCCAATGCCAGACCGCGGATGAGCTGGGTATCGGAGGAGGAACGATGTTGCATTGTCATGATCTCAACCATGTGCAGATCGGGCTTCTCAGGGGCTCTGTGAATAGCGAGGACGGCGTCGACGATATCGGGGGTAAGCTTCTCAGCCAGAGCGCTGTTAAGCTTTGTGGAGAGGGAAGTACGAGCCACGGAAAGCAGGAGCTCTCGGTCAACGGTACGCTCAAGCTTGAAGTTGTCGAGGAACTATATGCCATGTGTTAGATCCGCAACGCCCGATGATTGATAGGATAATGCATACCTTCAATGCCTCAGTCTTGGCAATCTCGTAGCCATCGGTGATGACACGGGGGTGCAGACCCTCGGAAATGTGACGCTCCGCCTGCTTCAACAGCTCTCCCACCAACAACACAACAGATGTGGTACCATCACCAGTAATGTCGTCCTGTGCCGTCGCAGCACGGGCAATCATAACCTTTCCAATATATCAGCAACACGTAGGTAGGTTTTCGAAGGCAATTTCGGCTTACAGCTGTGGGGTTTTGGATTTGCTGTGAAATGTTAGCTCATGAGCTCTAAACATTGAGGGGATCTCAGGGCCAAACGAACCATCTCGCGCAACAAAACGTTTCCATCCTTGGTCAATTTGATCTGTCTTTTATCAGAAAAAGCTGTTTCTCGTCGTCCGAAAGGTTAAGGGGGGAATGCGTACTGCGCCTGCACCGTCGACCAGCCTAAGTTTGTCAGCTCCATTGTCATGTCCCCTGGGGTGCATTTGCGAAGAACTCACATCTTAAGGGTTCCAGAGGGACCCAGGTTAGACTTGAGGACATCTTGGAGACCTTCACCGGCACCGATGTTGACCTTCAAGGCTTCTCCTCTCCGCTAGATGAAATGTTAGTGTGCGGGCACATCAATGAGGGGCCATCAAGGAATATTTTTTCCATACCCTCGACTCCGCCTTGGGGTTGAGTAGTTGAGTAGCAGACATATCCCTGAAAATGAACGATTAGGGTATCACGTCCAGAAATCTCAAAAAATATTCACGTCGATGATAAAGCACTTGGGATACTGAGGGTGCCCACCTTTTGGGCGAGGCGGTGATTTCTGGCAAAAAGATCACGGATTCGCACTAGCGCCTCCAGCTTTTTTTTTCTCATTTTGAGCCCGTTAACCAACACCCGCACCAGCAACCTATCGAATTACACTACCGAGTGTTTTCTGGTGTCGCAAGTTCCAATCGATTTCTTGTGATTTCCTCGGTATTGGACTTAAACACGATGGCCGACTTCCTACTTTTCGAGGGCCCTATCGGTTACTCGCTTTTCAAGGTCACCCACCAGGGCGACGTTGTCGGCAATGGACTTAAGGAAGTCCAGGCGGGTATCAATGACCTTGCCAAGTTCGGAAAGATGGTTGATCTTGCCAGCTTCCTTCCCTTCGAGTACGCTTTTTATGCCCGAGTGGAAGATTTTTTCATGGTCCACTAACTTTATGTAGGAACAACAAGCAGGCTCTTGGTGAGATCAACGACATCTCCGAGGGTGTCGCATCCGAGCTCTTGATTTCCTTCCTTGAATTGAACCTCCCCAAGCCCAACAAGAAGAAGAAGGTGGTCCTCGGTGTGGCCGACAAGGCTCTGGCCGGAAGCATCAAGTCCGCTTTCTCTTTCGTGGACTGTGAGACCGGTGATACCAGCGAGGTCGTTCAGGACCTGCTCCGTGGTATCCGTCTCCACTCCGGCAAGCTCCTCAAGCAGCTGCGCGAGGGTGATATGGACACTGCCCAGCTCGGTCTTGGTCACGCCTACTCCCGTGCTAAGGTAAAGTTCTCCGTCCAGCGTGACGACAACCACATCATCCAGGCCATTGCCATTCTCGACCAGCTCGACAAGGCCATCAACACCTTCTCCATGCGTGTCCGCGAATGGTACTCCTGGCACTTCCCCGAGCTCGTCAAGATTGTCTCCGACAACCAGCGTTACGCCGAGCTCGCCCTGTTCATCAAGGACAAGAAGAGCCTTTCCGATGAAAGCCTCCACGATATTGCCGCTCTCGTTGAGGACGATGAGGGTGTTGCGCAGAACATCATTGATGCCGCTAAGGTCAGCATGGGTCAGGAGATCTCTGATGCTGATATGGAGAACGTCATCTCCTTCGCCGAGCGTGTTGTCAAGCTCGCCAAGTACCGCAAGTCCCTCTACTCTTACCTTGTCGCCAAGATGAGCGTTGTGGCGCCTAACCTTGCTGCCCTCATCGGTGAGGTCGTTGGAGCCCGTCTTATCTCCCACGCCGGTAGCTTGACCAACCTGTCCAAGTACCCCGCCTCCACCGTCCAGATTCTCGGTGCTGAGAAGGCTCTTTTCCGTGCCCTGAAGACCAAGGGTAACACCCCCAAGTACGGTCTGCTCTACCACTCTTCCTTCATTGGCCGTGCCGGCCCCAAGAACAAGGGCAGAATCTCCCGTTTCCTCGCCAACAAGTGTTCCATCGCTTCCCGTATCGATAACTTCTCCGAGGCTCCCTCCACCAAGTTCGGTGAGGCCCTGAAGAGCCAAGTTGAGGAGCGTCTCGAGTTCTACACTTCCGGCGCTGCCCCCACCAAGAACGAAGTTGCCATGGTATGTTCCCCAACCAGCCCTCTCATATACCATAATTATGATCAATTGCTAACGAATTCCAGCGCTCCGCCATGGACGCCGTCCTGGCCGACCTTGATGTCGATGCTGACCAGAGCGACGCCGAGATGGAGGATGCCGATGCCGCCGAGGCCAAGAAGGAGAAGAAAGAAAAGAAGGAGAAGAAGGAGAAGAAGGACAAGAGCGAGAAGGCCGACAAGAAGAAGAAGAGAAAGTCCGATGTTGGTGAGGGCGAGTCCGAGAAGAAGAAGAAGCGCAAGCACGACGCGGACGCCGAGCCCACCAAGAAGAAGCAAAAGGCCTAGATGCGCAGTTCTTTCGGAATTGGGAGTCTTCGTCATGGCGTTAGGTTTGGCTTTTGTCTTCATGACTCGATGGATACGGCTTGCAGGTATTTGTAAATTATTACCAGGCCCTTTGCCTCAGCAGCTCTGACTGTCGCTGCTCTGATATTTTCTTATTAAGTATTCAAGTTTGTTTATCACTCTACTTCCAAGGCCAACCGTAGATTGGATAGCTGTCCATAGTCTGGGCTGCTCTTCAGTAGTGTACATCAACTACGTGCTATATTAGGCATGAAACCACTAATCTGCAAGGCTGCGGGGGCTACTCTGTGGACAATCCTCATGCATAGAACAGTAGCCTGGACAACGCACGTCTAAGAACATCAGACCACCAAGAGCCCTGGAGAAACCTGCAGATGTACTATCAAGTACTAAGTACTAGATCCTTGTAGGTTCTGGACTCCCAGTACATAGGGCGATCTCTCTACCCCACAGTCCAATGCAATGAATGTCCAATGAACCCCTCTCTTGATTTCTTGATTTCTGCCTTTGGGCTTTGAATCCCTTTGTTTATATTGCAAATTGCCGAAGAACTGGAGAAGAACTGGTGGATATATACGCCGTACTAACCTGGAGAATCGTTGACGTCCCCACTACGTCTGTTTTCATCATGTTCCCGACAGCTTCACCTTTACCCTTCTCGCCCAAGCGCAAACGAGAACCCTCGGAATCCGATTTCTATAGCCCTTCGGCATCACCTACCTCAACTCTCTCTATAGCCAGCTATCAAGACCCACGGGAGGACGAACTTGGGAGTGACAGTCCTCGCGCAGCCGTCGCAGGGAGGTTCGGTGAATTAGCCATTCGTGGCGACCTTTCAGACCATAGTTCCCTACCAACCAATTCACGGCGGAGCTCACTGGCTCCACTAGCCCCAGAGACATGCGAATCGGACCTGTACAATCCTACGACCATGCCTGAAGCTCTCCCGGGTACTAGCAGCAAGCCAGCCGACCGCCAAGCCCTGGTGTTTGATCCGCCCCAAGACGAATCGTCTTCGACTTTGTCGCCTTCTAGAAAGAAGTCTGCAGCTTCTTCTCGCACGCACCTGAACCCTTCCTCGCCATCTAAACGCAAACAACGACGCTCCCCACCTCCGACAGAGAAACCATCCGAAGAAGACTCGCTTGTATGGCGTGATTCGGAAATAACAGGCCATAACCCATCTGATCCAACTGATGATGGCTATGGTATAAATGGCATAGGGTTTAAGCCCACTGCATCGATCGCTTGGGAAAGATCCCAAAGGCGGCAAAAGCAGGTCACAGAATGGAAAAGCCGCGAGGCCCGGGAAGCCCGCGAGAGAAGACGAGAAAGGCGAAGAGATGGCCTCGAGCTCGACAAATTACATGGGATCCATGAAGGCGCAGTCCAGAAGCGTGTCAAGTTCAATGTGTAGCATGTGAAGCACAGTCTTCGAACTGCAGCCATACTTGCTTTGATTTGATTCCATTTGGATGAACATATTCACAAGGCGTTGGTTCTTTTGGAATGCGAGCATACGGGTGTTTTGCTTTTTCTTCTCTTCCTTTTTAATCTGGAAATCCGAGTCCCAGTCATCGTTGGGTGGAGGATAATATGAACTTTGCAGACAGAACTATGATACACAGTGATGACTTTATGATATGATGCCAACCGTCGCTTGATCCAGTGATTGCAATATACAGTGGTGGATCTTTTATGAGAACTCCCCAACTCCTCGTGAACTAGCACCCCTACCAGAATTTGTAGTTCGTAGGGTTCGACCAGCTCTTCTTCTTCCTTTCCTCCTCAGCCAGTTTCGCCGCCTCTTCCGCTGCGGTATCCTTCTCGCGTTGCTTCTTAGCCTTTAATTGGTTCATGAGGTCGAGCGCTTCCGCCATGCCACTCAATTCCTTGTTGCGGAGGTAGCGACAGTATTCATATGCTCCCAGTGAGGTGATCGCAAACATGCCCACAGCCCAGTTTCCTGCGGACCATAGCCCGTACCGTCCTGCAACATGTCAGTTCCATAGCTCAACAATCCACAGTTCAGAAATGACTTCGTACCTTTCAAGACACCCCTCAGACCACCAACTCCAAATCCAACACCGATACCAGTCATTAGAGATTCTCGAGCGCATGGTCTTTTGTGAATGTTGGACATCTCAGCCAGTGAGACTGATCCGATGACCTCTGAATATGACACATCCTTAGGGTTCTTTCCAGGTGGCTTGTAGGTGGCTTTGGCGAGCGCGTTCGCGGGCTCTTCGGGGTTTCCGAAGGCATCCCATAGCTTTCCAGTTTGTGATCGAGAGGGTTCGTGCTTGGGTTTCGTAGAGTCGGGCGAAGCGTTGAAGGAGTGCGCAGTGTTTGCGCTCTCCTGGAAGGCACTCTGGTCTCGTGAGTCGTCGGCCATGATTGTAGAGTCAATTGCTATGGAACAACTGCTTTCTACGAGTACTCGTACGAGGATCGTCAATATGTGGATAATCCGAATGATGCCCAAAGTAGATAGTTATTCCGGATGACTGACTAAGCCTAATTTAACGCGTCGCCTTACGCGAGCGCGTCAGGAGCCATAGAAATCGATTTGATTAGAGCGGATCGCAGGCCATTGCTCCTAGAGGCACAATTGGTCCCATCTCTTCCCAACTCACCTGCTTCGGCCTCGCCTGTTATCGCCTGTTATCACGAACTACACAATTCATGTTCTAAACCAGATTCGCCCTTTCAAACAGAGGTAGCCTTGCAAAGCCCGGCCGGGCGACAACGTCGCAATGCCTTCACGCAAGCCCAGCAAGTATGGAAACAAGTTCCGTTCAAGTGCTGCGTCCTCCAAACCCCGTCGCGCGAAAACCGTCGAATTCAACTCATTACGCTCGACCGAAGCCACATCCCAAGATGAGAAATTCGAGGCCATTAGGTTGGCTAACAGCATCGACGAAACGCTCGGTTTTCCCCGATTCGAGTCTGGCGAGGCAAGGGCCGGATGGTTGGTCAATATGCACAGCACGACGATACAGGACGCAAATGTGCCTGGCGGCCGTGCTGGTGTCGATTATTACTTCCTGCAGGACGACGGTACGAGTTTCAAAGCGACTGTGGAACACGATCCATATTTCTTGATTGCGGTCAAGAAAGGCTATGAGACAGAGGTTGAGGAATGGTGTCGACGGGCTTTTGAAGATATGATCAAGAAGTTTGCGCGACTCGAGAAGGAGGATCTCAACCTACCCAACCATCTGCTTGGCTACCGCAAGACATACATCAAACTCAGTTTCGCCAATGTGAGCAATTTATTAGAGGTTAGGCGGACCATCCTACCTTTGGCGGAAAAGAATAAGAAGAACGAGAGTGCGATGGATGCCTATGTTGAGATGACCAGGTTTGTTACACTTCCTACAGTTGCGCTTGGATAAGACGCTGATTGATGCTTTTTATAGTGCGACTGCTGGTATCGATCTTTTTGACGATGAGATTATTAATGAGCAACGACCTAATGGCAACATACAAGCGAGTGATTTTATTGTGGATATTCGAGAATACGACGTGCCGTACCATGTCCGAGTATGCATTGACAAAGGTTTGCATCCCTGCTACACGCCGATGAAGCTCTAACTAATATTCCAAAGATATCCGAATCGGAAAATGGTACAGCGTGAAGGCAGATCATGGTGTGGTATCCCTGACCTGCTTAGAGGACAGGCTTCAGCGTGCCGATCCCGTCGTTCTCGCCTTTGATATCGAGACCACGAAGCTACCTTTGAAGTTCCCAGATGCTGCATTTGATCAAGTTATGATGATTTCATATATGATTGACGGGCAGGGTTTCCTGATCACCAACAGAGAGATCGTTTCGGAGGACATCAACGACTTTGAATATACCCCCAAACCTGAGTACAACGGTCCCTTCATCATTTTCAACGAAGCCAACGAACGAGCTGTTCTTGAACGGTTCTTTGAGCATGTGAAGATCGCCAAGCCGACTGTCATTGCAACATACAACGGTGACTTCTTCGATTGGCCTTTCGTGGAGACAAGAGCCAGCGTCAACGGCCTTGATATGTACATGGAAATTGGCTTCCGCAAAAACAGCGAAGACATTTACATAGCCGACAACTGTGTGCACATGGATTGTTTCGCCTGGGTCAATCGTGATAGTTACCTTCCCCAAGGAAGTCGTGGTTTGAAGGCTGTGACTGTCGCAAAGCTGGGTTATGACCCTGACGAACTTGACCCCGAGCTTATGACGCCGTATGCCAGTGAGCGGCCGCAGACTTTGGCCGAATACTCAGTTTCCGATGCTGTCGCCACCTATTATCTGTACATGAAATATGTCCACCCTTTCATTTTCTCGCTATGCACGATTATTCCCCTCAACGCAGACGAAACCTTGCGCAAGGGAACCGGAACACTGTGCGAGATGCTTCTCATGGTTCAAGCTTACCAACACGAGATCGTGTTGCCCAACAAGCACAAGGACCCCGCTGAGGCTTTCTACGAAGGTCACCTTCTCGAGTCGGAAACATACGTTGGTGGTCACGTCGAGAGTATCGAAGCTGGTGTTTTCCGCAGTGATATTCCCACGCACTTTTCCGTTGACCCCACCGCAATTGATGAGCTTCTCCACGACCTTGATCATGCTCTCAAGTTCAGCATCGAGGTCGAGGAGAAGAAATCAATGGATGACATCGCGAACTACGACGAAGTCCGAGCCCAGATCGCGGAGCGTCTACTTGATCTCAAGAACAACCCAAAACGACACGAAGTCCCCTTCATTTACCATTTGGATGTTGCCTCCATGTATCCCAATATCATGATCACGAACCGATTGCAACCAGATTCATTGATCGACGAGTCTAATTGTGCCGCATGCGATTTCAATCGGCCTGGAAAGACTTGTGATAGGCGTATGCCATGGGCATGGCGAGGCGAATTCCTTCCTGCCAAGCGTGATGAGTATAACATGATTCGACGTGCCACTGCGAACGAAAAATTCCCAGGACGCTACAACAATTCTCCAATGAGGTCATTTGGTGAATTGAGCATCGAAGAGCAAGCCGGCGTGGTCAAGAAACGACTGCAAGACTACAGCAAAAAGATTTACCACAAGATCCATGACAGCAAGACGATGGAACGCGAGGCTATCATTTGCCAGAGAGAGAACCCATTCTACGTCGATACTGTCCGAGACTTCCGTGATCGTCGCTACGACTTTAAGGGAAAGCAGAAAGTCTGGAAGAACAAGACTGATAGCTTGCAGTCGGCCGGTGCTTCTGCGGCCGAAATCGAGGAAGCGAAGAAGATGATTGTACTGTACGATTCTCTGCAACTCGCTCACAAGGTCATTCTCAACAGTTTCTACGGATATGTGATGCGAAAGGGCTCTCGTTGGTACTCCATGGAAATGGCCGGTGTAACGTGTCTTACAGGTGCCCACATTATTCAGATGGCGAGAGAGCTGGTGGAACGCATAGGCCGTCCATTGGAGTTGGATACGGACGGTATCTGGTGTATGCTTCCCGGAGGCTTCCCTGATGAATTCAAGTTTACTCTGAAGAACGGGAAGAAATTGGGCATCTCGTACCCTTGTGTTATGCTTAACCACCTGGTTCATGCCAGGTATACCAACCACCAGTACCAGGCACTGGTGGATCCAAAGACCTTCAAGTACGAAACCCACAGCGAAAACTCGATCTTCTTCGAGGTGGATGGACCCTACCGGGCAATGATCTTGCCAACTTCAAAGGAGGAAGACAAGAACTTGAAAAAGCGTTATGCAGTCTTCAATCACGATGGTTCACTGGCTGAACTCAAGGGATTCGAAGTCAAGCGAAGAGGAGAGCTGAAGTTGATCAAAATCTTCCAGACGCAAATCTTCAAGTTCTTCCTGGAAGGTTCCAATCTCGCGGAGACTTATGCTGCTGTAGCTCGAGTCGCAGACAGATGGTTGGATGTTTTGTATGAGAAAGGTTCTACGTTGGCCGACGAAGAGCTTATTGATCTCATTTCGGAAAACCGAAGCATGTCCAAGACTCTGGAAGAGTACGGCAAACAAAAATCCACCTCTATCACAACCGCCCGACGTCTTGCAGAATTCTTGGGCGAGCAGATGGTCAAGGACAAAGGTCTCAACTGCAAGTACATTATCTCATCGCGACCTCGCAACACCCCTGTCACCGAGCGAGCCGTTCCTGTGGCCATTTTCTCTGCTGAGCCGACGATCAAACGCTACTTCTTGCGCAAATGGCTGAAGGAAGATCCCGGCGATATGGATCCTCGAACTGTCATCGATTGGGACTACTACCTGGAGCGTTTGGGCTCTGTCATCCAGAAACTGATCACTATTCCGGCTGCGCTCCAAAAGCTCCGAAATCCAGTGCCCCGTGTTGCTCACCCTGACTGGTTGCAGCGTCGAATCAATGCCAAGGATGACAAGTTCAAGCAAAAGAAGATGACTGATCTTTTCACGAAGTCCGAAAAGACGCCGCTTTCCTCCGTCAATGCCAACATCCTGGATCACCGTGTTCAGCATCCTGGTGACATGGATGAAGCTATTGCAGGCTCGACTCAATTGGTCAAATCCCCAGAAAACAAGATTTCTCAAAAGAGAAAGCATCCAGAGAATGTCTCAAAGACGGCTCTCGACCCCTTCGCTAGCTTGCCAGCAGTTATGCCATCCATGTCAGAGAACTACGAAGGATTCCTCAAGTACCAGAAGCAAAAGTGGAAGATTCAGAAGCAGGCGCGTATTCGCCGCCGCCAGTTGTTTGGCCAGCGAACGAATGTGGCCTCGGACTCTTTGAGTAACTTCTTCCGCAATCAAGCCCAAATGCTATATATCAGCACATGGCAGGTCCTGCAGCTCTGCGAGACAGGCATACCGGGTGTCGTGCGAGCTTTCGTGCTGATTGACCAGAAGATCCATGCTCTTAGCGTCAGGGTGCCGCGGCAATTCTTCCTGAATTTGAAGCGGGACTCTCTTCCTGACGTTGACGTGCCGGACTGTGATGTTGAAAAGGTCAACCATACCCTTCCCAACGGACATCCTTCTGTTCACTTGTTTAAGCTTTCCTTGCCAGAGGAGAAATATCTGGAGGAAGCTGACAAGATGGACATCCTTTTCCAACACCCCAGTATTGAGGGTGTTTATGAAGGGAACATCCCCCTCAGCACACGAGCTGTGCTCAAGCTAGGAAGTCACTGCACTTTCGATGAGACCCAGCGTGGTGTTCTTGGTGACGGGTTGGACAAAGGATTTGACCTTTCGACCCTGCTCCACACTACTGCTGACCAGCCCTACCTGATGGACTCTTCATTGGTCTTCCACTACTTGTACCACATCGTTTCGGGCGATAGACAGGTGTTTGCGCTATTCTCGACATCCAAGAGCGAGGCGCATGTCATTACTCTCAATCGCACCAGGGATGTGCAGGGTCTGCCAAATGTGGACAAAATCTACACTGAATTGCTCACCCGAAAGCTGCAATCCTCATCAGGAGATGAGTCTTTGAATGCATTTGAGTACCAAGACAAGATTCATTTCAAGACCACACAAGTCATGACACGGAGGAAAGCCCATCTGGAGGTGGGTGATATGATCAGGAAGCTTCGAAGTGACGAAAGTCGCCCTGCTGTTCTTGTCATCCAATCTCAACAAAAAGATCGCCTGTGCCATGACATTCCAATCCTGAAGGAATACCCAATCCTATCAGTGAAGCCTGAAGCGTCAGATATGGAGCTTCCGCCTCTGGGCTGGCAGGGCTTTGTCGCTAGACGTTTGGTCACGCGCTATCTGTACTTGTCTTCCTGGATTCAGCACTTGACCTTGCTCGCTCGCTATGGTGATGTCCCACTTTGCAACCTCGAAAGCGAAGATCCTCGATACCTGATTGATATCTCGTATGCCAGACGACTTCAGTCAAACAATGTTGTGCTCTGGTGGTCGCCAGGCCCTCGTCCTGACCATGCTGGCTACGAGCGGGATGATATTCTGGGCACATTGGACAAGGTCAACATGCCATCAGTCAACGTGCCTGGTGCTTACTCCACGGTTTGCATTGAGCTAGAAGTTCGCAACCTGTCAATCAACACAATTCTGACATCTTCTATCATCAACGAGATGGATGGCAGTGACACGTTACTGGCACCTTCCGGAGATGGAGAAGACACCGGTGTGTTCTACTCAGAGAAGGCGTTTGCCTCTGCTGGTGTCGTGGTACTCCGAGAGATGGTCAAGCACTGGTGGACAGAAGCCTGCGCAGGTAACAACATGGCAGATATCATGGTTCAACATTTGATCCGATGGGTAGAAAGCCCCGTATCATGTCTTTACGATCGGTCCCTGCACAACTACGTGCGCCTTCTTTCCCGGAAATCATTCCAGAGACTCATGGCAGAGTTCAGACGCGTTGGGTCGCATGTAATTTTTGCCAGCCCGACGCGCTTGCTCCTTCAAACGACCAAGACCGAGGTTGGCAATGCATACGCCTACAGTCAGTACGTCCTCAAGTCAATCCGCGCTAATCCTTCTTTCCACTTCATCGACCTGGAGATCAAGGAGTACTGGGATTACCTTGTCTGGTACGATGAATACAACTACGGAGGCAAGGGCTGTCAAGAAGTCACCGAAGCCGATGAGCAAAATCTCGAAACAGCGATGCACTGGCAACTCAGTCGCTTCCTCCCTACGCCCATGCAGACAATCTTCCACGACTGGACAGTCGAGTACATTGAACTCATGCACGGACTGAAGCGACCCGAACTCCAAGATGGTGAGATATCCTCAACGCCGCGCCCGACCCAAATCCCCATCGGGCGGACCAACGACGGAGACGACGAGGAAGTCACAGCCGTGCTCGCGGATCGATTCTCGAAACCGCTGAAGAAGCAAATCTCAGCATTAATCCGAAGACAACGCGATGAAATGCTTCACCCTGAACTTGCATCGGATTACGCATTCCCCGTCTTGCCGGGAGTCTTGGTCAATCCTCATGAAAAGCGCAATCCTTCGCTGGAACTGACGAAACTCCTTATGCAAGTTCTGAGTCTGTCCAAGACCACAACCTTGGAAACCCGGTTACTGCGACGTGAGCTCCTCGCTCTATTTGAAGTGCGCGAATTCAGCAAAGAGGGTCGCTTCGATAACCCCACTGCTAGCTTGAAACTCCCCGAAATGTCCTGTAACTCCTGCTGTCTCATTCGCGACCTTGATCTTTGTCGCGACGAGGACGTACTGCCCGATGGCACCGAAGCCACTACTTCTGTTCAGCCGTGGCGATGCCCCTTCTGTCAAGCGGAGTACGACCGATTGGCAACTGAGGAATTCCTCATTGGTCAGGTCCATGGGTTTGTGGTCGAGTGGCAGACTCAGGATTTGAAATGTGCCAAGTGTGGTGGTCTTCAGATGAGTGAGTTCCTTGAACATTGTTCTTGCAGTGGCACCTGGGCTCCTACTGTTGATCGCAAAGAGATTGAGAAGAAACTCCAAGTTCTGGATAGTGTGGCCAAGTTCCACCAGCTGCAGTTGCTGGAGAACATTGTGGGAGGAGTGCTCGAGCGATTCTGATTTTCTGGAGTATAGGGCATTGGGGCGTTGAGATACTTAAGTAACTGTACATAATGACAATAATTCATCCCTTGTGGACCTGAGAGCACTGAATATATTTATCGAATAAAGATTCATCGATTTATGTAGATTTATACTTAAGTATGGATTCATGTAAATTATATTGGGGCAACAGTCTAGAACTCCCGTCTCAGCCCTGTCCCCCCACCAAACGCGGAACCTCGACCTTCAAACCCCCCGTATCGCTTTTGTAAGGACTTTTGCCATGGTCGCAAGACTTTGCTGACTTTGCTGACTCGCTTCGCAGGTACATAGCTTCCTACATATCCAGAACACCTCTCCCGCACGACACTCCCTGCTCCCCGCTCCTTTTCCTTCGCCCCGTCGCTAGTTCGCAATAACACTCCCCGCCATGGCAGCACAACCCCCAGCCCCGAAGCCCAAGGTGCAGCCATGTCGATACAAAACCGGAAAGACACTGGGCGCTGGCTCGTACTCTGTCGTCAAGGAATGTGTGCACATCGACACCGGTCGCTATTATGCGGCCAAGGTGATCAACAAGCGTCTGATGGCCGGACGAGAGCATATGGTAGGCTGAGATCCTCCCGCAGAGCCTGAGCCTAGGGGATGTTGACTGAAATGCTCTCTCAAAGGTTCGGAATGAGATCGCCATATTGAAGAGGGTGTCGATGGGCCACCAGAATATCCTCACTCTGGTCGACTATTTTGAGACTATGAACAACTGTGCGCTTCCTGCTTCACACATGAGAAAAGCCAGCGACTGACCCGTCCAGTGTATTTGGTTACTGACCTTGCGCTTGGAGGAGAGCTTTTCGATCGCATCTGTCGCAAAGGCAGCTACTATGAGTCTGACGCTGCAGATCTCATCCGCGCAGTCCTCTCGGCTGTGGCCTACCTACACGACCACGGGATCGTGCATCGAGACCTAAAGCCTGAGAACTTACTTTTCCGCACCCCGGAAGATAATGCGGATCTTTTGATTGCTGATTTCGGATTGTCAAGGATCATGGACGAAGAACAATTTCATGTCTTGACAACAACTTGTGGAACGCCTGGATATATGGCGCCTGAGATCTTCAAGAAGAGCGGCCATGGCAAGCCTGTGTAAGTCAGACGCAAGCTACTCCCTTCCTTGCTGACAGTCTCAGCGATATATGGGCCATCGGCGTAATTACCTACTTCCTGCTATGTGGATACACACCTTTCGACCGCGACTCCAACCTTGAGGAAATGCAAGCAATCCTCGCAGCAGACTACTCCTTCACTCCACTGGAATACTGGCGAGGCGTCTCACAAGAAGCCCGCAACTTCATCAATCGCTGTCTAACAATCAACCCTGAGTCACGTATGACAGCCCACGAAGCCCTACAGCACCCATGGATCAACCCGCCCTACGAAAATGCCAAGGTTGGTTCTGGCGAAGACTTGCTACCAACAGTTAAGAAGAACTTCAATGCCCGACGAACCCTGCACCGAGCCATCGACACCGTTCGCGCGATCAACAAGCTTCGCGAAGGCGGTGGCTTCATGATGGATGGTGTGATGAGTGTTGATCCTAAGCCTGAGCGTGTCAATGGTGATGAGATTGTCGAAGAGCAGAGCCATGCTCCTGCTAGGGATCCAGCACCGATCGATAGTCGGGGAAATGCTCGTGGGCAGACGGAGGAGCAGATCCGCGCCCAGGAGCGTAAGGTTAAGGAGATGGTTGCTGGCTTGTGGAGTCGCACTCCCCGCTAGATCACTCTATTAATCTTATGCCCTTGTTGGTTGTGTTGTCCCATTTCTCTGTGCTGAGAGAACACTGGCTGCTTCTCTCTGGCTTGGATTTCTTTGTTTGAGTCATTCTCAATATGTGCATATCTTATGAAATACATAGCATGGCAGTAAATAATAAGCTGTATCATGAAGTTCATTATCATAAAGCCCACATGTAAGTGGACCAGTAATCTAGAAAGAAGCCCTAACTTCACCCCAATATCTCCTCCCCATCATCTAAAGAGAGAACCCAGTCCCGCCATTCCTGCCACTCAGCATAACTAGCACTCGCCTTCAGACCCTGATACCTCACAGTTCTGAAATCCCCCACCTGATCCCACGGAGCCGCGCCATTGCCCGCACGAAGCAATCTCCGCGCTGCGCTACCACCATCCCAGCCAGCCTTGCGCATCAAGCTCTCAACAGTCTCTTCCTTGCTCCAGCCTTGTTCTACAGCAACATCAGGCAGGTAGGTAGCGCCATAGCGACGACCACGGTGGACGAATGAAATGCGTATACCGTGTGTACCTAGAGCCCAGTCCAGGGCGTTTGTACATGGCTCAAAGGAACTCAGGAGGGTCAGAGAACATGATAGTGAAGGGAGGAGGGATTTGGGGATTGGAGAGAAGCGGGTATCATCAAAGGCCCTGGGAATGTTAGTTTGGAAATTACTGTCTGGCATTTGGATTTTGCAGAAAGAAAGGCACGTACGAGGTCAAAGCGTAGGACTTCAACCCCGCTGCAAGTTCCTGTCCTTCGAATGTACCTATGCAGCCACGTAGAGACTTGTGTCCACTGCGTGACAGGGTGTTCCACGTCACGAAAAGGGGGTATTTCTGATCTGCCAGACCAGAGCTGGTTCCAGAAGCTGAAGCCGGGGTGGTGATATTTGTTGAGCTTGATTGAAGGGAATTGGCAGATGTATTCGATGCAGACGATGGTGTTGTGGCTGTGCTGGAAGCGGACGATTCACCTTGGAGACGACTGACGCGGGGGATTTGCAGTCTCTGTGGACTACTCATTGAAGCATCTTCGCTGTCATTTATGGAGTCTTGCTCTGTGTCTTCTGCTTGGTCTTCCAGGTCTGATAGTTTTTTGGTTTGCTCGTGCTGTTCCCACAAGGCTTCTATTGCTGCTAGAGTGGCAGGCTCGCGATCTTCAAATGAAGCAAAGAGCGTCTCGAAACAGTAATAGCACTGGGCAGGAGTGGCCATGTCGAACGAATGTGTTCTGTCCCTGCGGGTCAGACCGTGACGTAGCCCGCGATTGTCCGATAAGATACTGGCTTATCGAGGGGGATCCCACTTTTGGAGTGAGACTGGGATGCTGTCTGTGACTCCAAAAGAGAGAAAGAAGGAAAAAAAAAAGCAAGGCAGAGAACTATGCAGGAAGTCAAGGTGAAGATACAAACTCCGAAAGAACCCAGAAGAAAAAGAGGAACCGTGGGAAAGAGGGGGACTACACGTGACATTAGATAATAGAAGAGAAAAACAGTCCTTTGGGATTCTACAGATCCTTGTGTTGAGAACAGATTTGTAGAATATACAGAGAACTTGCTCAAATGAGCTTTTCCTCATAAAAAAAAAGAATCATGGAGCACCTCGACGTTAAGTGCGAGGGCTCAACCGCCAAAAAAAATAACCAGTGCTCGTTTCACATGCAAAAAACATTTCCCATATATCCCAATGACCTCTGGTTGAAAAAACAGTCCGATATTTAAAACCCCTAAGAACGCACTCGTGAAATTAATTTTTGGTTGTACGGAATGATGTTGAACTCGTGGGATGTGGGATCCCTCTTTGTTGTTCCGTACTCATACTCGGCCGGGTTTGATTTAAACGGGCAGAGGGAAGGCGCTGGCCCACTGGGCAACCTCCTTGCGGAGAGCCAGGATCTCGGGGACGCTGTCATCAGAGACCTTGGCCTTGAAGTCCTTGAGCTTGTTGGCCTCCTTGGGCAGCTCACCCTGGATCTTCTTGCAGAGGGTGATGGTCTGGTCGATGTAGCGGGCAATGCGCTTGAAGTCCTCCTCACCCATACCACGGGAAGACATGGCGGGGGCACCAATACGGATACCGCAAGGAGTGAGGGCAGACTTGTCACCGGGGATGGAGTTCTTGTTGCAGGCAATGTTGATCTGCTCGAGAACGGCCTCGACACGAGCACCGTCGAGGGCCTTGGCGCGGAGGTCAACGAGGACCATGTGGCTGTCAGTGCCGTCAGAGACGAGCTTGTGGCCGAGGGTCTTGAACTCGTTCTCGAGGGCCTTGGCGTTCTTGATGACCTGCTCCTGGTACTGCTTGAACTCAGGGGTGTCGACCTGCTTGAGGGCAACAGCCAGGGCGGTGATGGTGTGGTTGTGGGGACCACCCTGGTGACCGGGGAAGACGGAGAAGTTGATGGGGTTCTCAAGGTCGTAGAGGATATCCTTGCCGGCCTTGTCTTGGCCGCGGACACCCTTGCGGAAGAAGATCATGGCACCACGAGGACCACGGAGGGACTTGTGGGTGGTGGTGGTGACGACATCGGCGTACTCGAAGGGAGAGGGGATGACACCGGCGGCAATCAGACCGGAAATGTGGGCCATGTCGACAATGAGGTAGGCACCGACCTTGTCGGCGATCTCGCGCATGCGCTTGTAGTCAATCAGACGGCAGTAGGCGGAGGTACCGGCAACCAGGCACTTGGGGCGGTACATCTCGGCGTTACGCTCAAGGGTGTCGTAGTCGATGATACCGGTCTCGAGGTCAACACGGTAGGGGAAGGTCTCGAAGTAGGTGGAGACAGCAGAGATCTTCTTGGCGGGGGTCTGGTAACCGTGGGACAAGTGACCACCGTGGGGGAGGTCAAGACCCATCAGGCGGTCGTGGGGACGCATGAGAGCCTGGTAGACCTGAAGGTTGGCAGGGCTGCCAGAAAGGCACTGGACGTTGACACCCCACTTGGAGTTGTCCAAGTTGAAGGCCTTGAGAGCACGCTGCTGGCAGGTGATCTCAATGGCATCGATGTGCTGGTTGCCACCGTAGTAACGAGCACCGGGGTAACCCTCGGAGTACTTGTTACACATGGGGGAACCAAGAGCGTCGAAGACAGCACGAGAAGTGAAGTTCTCGGAGGCAATCAGGACGACTGACTCACGCTGGCGCTGGATTTCCTTCTCCTATACAACGACGAATATTAGCCAAAGCTAGGTTGAAGATGGGGGACATTCAATTGCAAGCTCAATTGAGCTTGCAATCGATGGTAAATCGACGTACCATGATGGCAGCAACCTCGGGGTCGCTAGCCACGAGGGAGTTGTGCATTTGCTATAAGACGGTGAGTCAATGGTTGGCAGACAGATGGGTAGAGATACTCACGTCCCGGTGGGCATCGGAGAGAGCGTAAGAAGACATGATGAATTGTATGAATCTGTTTTCCTGATAAAACAGAGAAGATGAAATTGAGTCAGAGGAAGAGGGAGAAAAGAAAAAGATGGTGGGGGAGGGGATCTGCAGATGCCTCAGGCAAACAACGATATCGGACCGTGACCGGATTAACTTTTAGGTGATCAAATTTGTAAGTCTCGTAAGCTTTTTTATACTCGTATACCTTGGAGGCAAAAAGCTGAAAGTTGATAGTATATACGAGTAGATCGGTTGAGGAAACGGGAGAAATTTGAATTGTTCGCTAGAAACTCCGGGGTATTTCCTGTTGATAAACGCCAAAATAATAAAACAAAACTTGTCGGGAAGTCTTATACAGCGGGCTTGGGTTTCCCATTATGGCCTTATTTTCCTGCCAGTATGCAAAAAGGGAGCTTAAGCCTCCACGGCCCTCTGTTTGTCCTCTTGTGGCATTCCTGCTCGGGTCCCAAAGTCGGAGATGACGGAGCGTAACCTGCGCATATGCTTCTCCAATTCTCCAATTTCCTGTTGCTGGTCTTCGATGGTCCGATGTACATCTGGAAGTCCTTGGACGACCGTTCGAGCTTTTTGGATTCGAATTCTCACGGCGCTGGTTTCCGTGGGCAGGTGTTTCACGTCAAGTGGTGGGTGTGCAGTCGGATCGAGGAGTGGGACCTCTGCCCCTGCCTGTGAAGCTGTGGGATGGCCATTGTTCACGCCATCCGGTTGTTGATTCTGGGCTTGGCCAGGCTCAGTTGCGGCGCCTGTTGCATTTCCGGGTGCGCCCGATGCACCGGTGGAGGAATCTTTGGGAGAGAGCAAGCGCAGGAGAATCCCATGCAATGGTGGGATGATCTCAAAGGTCTGTGGTGGAGGAAATGACACTGTTTGGGGTGCAACCGGCGCGTCTTTCGAGGGTGATTCAGGCGCAACCGAGGATTTCACCAGCGGAGTGCCCACTGTCGGGGATCGAGCAGCCATTCTAAGGATTCTTGACTAACAGTATCCCGAGGGAAGAGTGAAGAATAGATCCCGGGTTAGGGTAATGGTTTAGGGAGAAGTCGGGCGTTTTGCTTCCCGAGAGACCGCCTTTCTCCGCCTTTCAACCCGAGTTACTATGGAGCAGTTGACTGGAAGGAGTATTTGACTGTAATTTGATTGACTATAGAAGGGATATTTGAGGAATGCATGAGCTACAGTCATCGAATTATGGCATACTAAATGTGTCCGAATACTCTATACTAAAAACCAAGTTGATATAGTATAATAAGTGCAATTCAGACATCAGACAACACAGTGAGATTTGATTGCCTGTCTCAATGCCCTAAATGTCCCTACTTAAGTAAATCGGAAGACTCGTATTGCCAATGAACTGGTGTACGGCCCGCTCTAAAGTTGACAGTCCGACGTCACCGACCACCCGAATCTGTAACCCCTCCTTCACCGGCGGGCCTTTTTCTGTTGCTCCTTTTTTTCTGTTCAACTATCTAAAGGTAAGAAATCGATTCCTTTGGGGTTGTTTTTTCCTATTTCCAGCAATTGACCCTGTTCGTAATATAGTCCATTACCCCACTATGGCTACTGTCGACCAGAAAGTCGCTTTGAGTATGATCGACTACCACCCAGGTCCCCAAATCCTAAGGCTAATACGAACCGTGCAGTTGTCATCGATGGCTGGGGTGTTGCAGGCCCCAACTCCCCACCCCAGGGAGATGCCATCGCCGCCGCCGAAACCCCGCACATGTCCGGCTTCGCCGAGGCCAACTCCAAGACTGCCCAGGGTTACTCGGAGCTCGATGCCTCTTCCCTCGCTGTCGGTCTGCCCGAGGGTCTGATGGGCAACAGTGAAGTCGGTCACCTGAACATTGGTGCCGGTCGTGTTGTCTGGCAGGACAGCGTCCGCATTGACCAGACCCTCAAGAAGGGTGAGATGGGCAAGGTTCCCAGCGTGGTCAAGGCCTTCAACCGTGCTAAGGAGGGCAATGGACGTCTGCACCTGCTGGGTCTGGTCTCAGATGGCGGTGTTCACTCCAACATCACCCACCTGTTTGCCCTGCTCGATGTCGCCAAGGAGATGCAGATCCCCGAGGTCTACATCCACTTCTTCGCTGATGGACGTGACACCGACCCCAAGAGCGCTGATGGCTTCATGCAGCAGCTGGTCGAGAAGACCCAGCAGATTGGCCTCGGTGCCGTTGCCACCGTTGTTGGTCGCTACTACATCATGGACCGTGACAAGCGCTGGGAGCGTGTCGAGGTCGGCCTTAAGGGCTTGGTCACTGGCGAGGGCGAGGACAGCTCGGACCCTCTCAAGACCATCAAGGAGCGCTACGAGAAGAAGGAGAACGATGAGTTCTTGAAGCCTATCATCGTTGGTGGCAAGGAGCGCCGTATCCAGGGTAAGTCTAGTCTTGTGTATCCCTCCCAATGTGTCAGAAACTGACAGTCGATTGTAGATGACGATACCCTCTTCTTCTTCAACTACCGCTCTGATCGTGTCCGCGAGATTACCCAGTTGCTCGGAGATTATGACCGCTCCCCCCGCCCTGACTTCCCTTACCCCAAGAACATCTCCCTCACCACCATGACTCAGTACAAGACCGATTACACCTTCGATGTTGCCTTCCCCCCGCAGCACATGGGTAACGTTCTCGCTGAGTGGCTCGGCAAGAAGAACCTCAAGCAGTGCCACATTGCTGAGACTGAGAAGTATGCTCACGTCACTTTCTTCTTCAACGGTGGTATCGAGAAGGACTTCCCTGGCGAGACTCGTGACATGATCCCCTCACCCCGGGTTGCTACCTACGATCTTGACCCCAAGATGAGCGCCGCCGCTGTCGGCACCAAGATGGCTGAGCGTCTTGGCGAGAACAACTTCGATTTCGTCATGAACAACTTCGCTCCTCCAGACATGGTTGGCCACACTGGCGTGTACGAGGCTGCTATCCAGGGTGTTGCTGCCACTGATAAGGCCATTGGTGAGATCTACGAGGCCTGCAAGAAGAACAACTACGTTCTCTTCATCACCGCAGACCACGGGTAAGTGATATAATGAAACATAAAACTTGAGATAACAGAGAACCCCTCGCTGACTCTACTTTCAGCAACGCCGAGGAGATGATCAACGAGAAGGGTACCCCCAAGACCTCCCACACCCTCAACAAGGTTCCCTTCGTCATGGCCAACGCCCCTGAGAGCTGGAGCCTCAAGAAGGGTGGTGTCCTTGGTGACGTTGCCCCTACTGTTCTGGCTGCTATGGGCATCGAGCAGCCCGAGGAGATGACCGGTGAGAACCTGCTGGTCAAGGCTTAGATGAAGTCGCACATGCACGTTTAGATATGAGTCGATGAATAGAATTTTGTGAATATGCCAGTGTTTGTGATGTAATATCTTACATACTTTGAAATCGAGTATATAGGTTCTTTTAAACAGTACATAACAATGTGCCTGGCAGGTATTTGATCATTTCAAATGATTTTGCATTGTAAATTTGAGGGTATACGTTTTTGGAGCCCGATGCATGCACCATTCAAGAATCTCCCAACTGCTGGGAGCAACTCGGTGCGCAAGGTTTCTCGGCCACTAGATTTCCGCTATTCACAAAGCCGAAGCTGTTTGCTCTGGGCACTGTGGTTCAGTGGGCCGACTGGGGGTTGGTTGGTGGCATGTCCTTGGTGAATCATGGTATTTCGGGCTTATGCGGAGGCCGACGCGGCAGCAGCTTGTTGCTGAGCCTGACTCTGCAACTGGATAATCTACAAGGAGGTATGTTAGTCATGCAGAACGAGCGGACAGATGGGCAATTTGGAGCAAGTGTATGGTGGGGCAGTTGATAGTTACCTCTGTGCGCTTGTTCTCGCTCTTCGTCTGTGTCGCATCGATCTCGCCTTCAATTCGCTTGCTGTAGACCTGTTAGTCCATGTCTCATCGAAGTAATGCGAACAGGGCCGTAAGCACTGACATCTCCTTCTCAATGAACTCAAGTCGACCATTGACGGCCAAAGTGGCCTCGCTCTTCTCTTGCTTCAGCAGCACAGGGCCAACAAGCTTATAGATGTTGGATTCATCATCCAGACCAGCAAACTCGGTTTGCACTCCTTGGTTCTCTTGCTGCTGGGATTCGAGCTTCTGGCGGGCGTCTACCAGACCTTCGAGCTCTGCGCAGGAAAAAGTCAGTCACTAATGCGATTGTATTAAGAGATATACACATACCAGTCTGGAGTCCTTGGAACTCATCCGAAAGTGCCTGGAGCTGTTTTTGGGGGTCCATGATGGTTGTGGTGAAGTTGAGAGAAGGGAAAATCGAACTGCCCGCCCGTAAACAACTTCCACTCTCCAATTCCCCTCTCCAATCCCATCAACCCTTGATTTTAGGGCTGTCGTGCTCTCGATCCTCATTTTCATTCCAGCAGTTACTATTTTGTTCTTTCGCCTATCCCTCCGACCTTGGCTTATAACCCTTGTTTCCCCTCCCCCGCTTTACACATCTGCCTCCGCGGTCGACTTGCCACACCCTCGGAGCTCAGCACACGGACACTACTGCCATTATGAGTAATACGGACTTCCTAGGTCGTGCGATCGACACGGTCAAGAAGGCTATTGAGGATGACAACAACGGCGAGTACGAAAAGGCTTATCAGACATACTACTCCGCACTGGAGTTGTTCATGTTGGCCTTGAAATGGGAAAAGAACCCCAAGTCGAAGGAAATGATCCGTTCCAAGGCTGGCGAGTATATGGATCGCGCAGAGAAGCTCAAGAACCACTTGGCCGAGGATCGCAAAAAGCCCAGTGCAGTCGGCGCAAATGGCAAGGTGGCGCAGGGTAACGGGAAGGGAGGGTATGTGTTTGCGATTCCGAACCTTGACCACTCTAGCTATGAGTTTCCAATTCCTGATATTGAGAACGAATAGCTGGTCAGCTCATAATCTATGTTCATTCGCGCTAATGGTACTTGATCACCCAGGAAGGAAGATGACGACAACGGCGAGGATGCGGATGCCAAAAAGCTTCGGAACGCGCTTCAGGGAGCTATCTTGTCGGATAAACCGAATGTGAAATGGGAAGACGTTGCCGGATTGGAAAACGCAAAGGAAGCCCTGAAGGAGGCTGTCATTCTTCCTATCAAGTTCCCGCACTTGTTTACTGGCAAGCGCCAACCATGGAAGGGTATTCTGCTTTATGGCCCTCCGGGTACAGGAAAGTCCTACCTTGCCAAAGCCGTTGCAACGGAGGCAAACAGCACTTTCTTCAGTGTCAGCAGTAGTGACCTGGTCTCGAAGTGGATGGGCGAGAGTGAAAGGTATGGCCGCACTATTTCCCGCAACGCATGCATTCAAACTAACCGCCTTTAGACTTGTCAAGCAACTGTTTACTATGGCCCGTGAGAACAAGCCGGCAATTATCTTTATTGACGAAGTTGATGCCCTGTGCGGTCCCCGTGGCGAAGGAGAGTCCGAGGCTTCACGGCGTATCAAGACCGAATTGCTTGTACAAATGGATGGTGTCGGCAATGACTCCAGGGGCGTTCTCATCCTAGGCGCTACCAACATCCCCTGGCAGCTCGATGCTGCCATTCGTCGACGATTCCAGCGAAGAGTACACATCAGTTTGCCCGATGTCAACGCCCGCGCAAAGATGTTCATGCTCGCCGTTGGCTCGACACCTTGCCAAATGACCCAGTCCGACTATCGTCAATTGGCGGATCTGAGCGAGGGCTACTCCGGTAGTGACATTAGTATTGCCGTGCAGGATGCCTTGATGCAGCCAATTCGCAAGATCCAAGGAGCAACACATTATAAGAAGGTTCGCAAATCCAACCCACGTCACCTGTGTTAACATTGACTAACCCTCTCTACTAAAGGTCCTCGTCGAAGGCGCAGAGAAGCTCACCCCCTGCTCACCAGGAGATGCGGGGGCATTTGAGATGAGCTGGCTCAACATAGAAGGAGAGCAACTTCTGGAACCACCTCTGGTTCTTAAAGATTTCATCAAAGCGGTTAAGAACTCTCGCCCAACTGTCAGCGGCGAAGATCTTACAAGAAACTCAGAATGGACTCAAGAATTCGGCAGTGAGGGAGCCTGATCTATTCCGCATAGCAGAGATTGTCTTCCGAAGCATTCGGTGGTCTGACCTCAATGCTGGTTGGGCCAATTCATCCACAGCTAAAATATCGCTTTTTTTGCCTGTCTAGCATGGACAGCCCAATTTCCTATGCCCATGCCCATTGTCTGCATTTTTTTCTCATGTTTGTTTCACTTTGCCCATGTTCATGTCTTCATCTCGCTTCGTGGTTTTTGGTCGGTGTCCTCGAAGAGTTTGGTGTTTAGAAGCGTCTATCAATTACTGGCCGGTTGGGCGTTTACTGTGCAATTATCCTAGTGCGTCATTTTGCGCGACTGATCATATTAAATAGCGTGAATGCTGCATATATCAGATAATGCCTGGCACTGGAGACCTTTTCTATTTTAGTGCTCACCTCTTACCATTTTTTGCTCTCGGGGTAAAATTGAGCACTCAGCTGATCCGCTCACTGAGTATTACATGTCTGACAGCATATCTAGGAGAGTCATGTGAATAATTCCTGGATTCCAAACTCATGTAGAAAGACTTCATCTCGTAAGGCCTTGATAACCATTTCAACAAAATTATCCGTGTCTCGCTCAAAATTTCGAAGGGACGCCTCAGAATAAATCGGCCTGTTCTGGATATTCGTAACGACATAGTCTATTTGGGTATCCCAGACTTGCTCCTGGAGCTGAGGGAAATCAAGCCAAGGAGCTATGCGCTTGGAGTAAAGTCTGTTCACCGGGTCGCATCGCCCCGAGTTGTGAGGCATCCGTCTCGACTCCGATCGCTTGAGACAGAAAGTTGTGGCAGCGAGAAGGGTAAAAAGTGTGTTGGGCTGCAGAAGTCGTTCCGCCTCTTCTCGCGCCTCTCTTTCTCAAGCTGATGTCTTAGCTTGGCGATTGTTTCCTCCATCCCTTGTCGAAACCAGATTTCAGTAAATAATCAAATGGTGCAAGTCAAAGTCAACAAAGTAGGAGTTTCGCTGTCTGACGCAGGGGGCCTGTTGGGGCGAAATGCGTCCAGATCAGATGTTTACCAGCTTCCTTGGAGTCAATGCCTCAAGCATCAAAGGCATGTCAAAGGCCAAAACTCCATCGCACTTGCAATTTCTGCATTTGCATTGATTATTCAGCATGTAATTGCCGAGTATAAATCGCCGGAAGTAATAAAAGACCATATTTACACATATCCTGTCTCCAGGCTAACGGATCTTGCGAGTATCTGGGACAATTTATAGCAGTTTATCAAATCATCCAATCCATTACCAGGATCACTATGTATAGATAATCGAACAGATAAGTACAGCAATCCTCGAACGCCATAGTGATGAACAAAAGCGAGACAAGAAAACAACTCGGCGATGACAAAAGCCATTATACTTGCAAGACATGGGGGAATCTTTCATGACAGGAGGACGCTGGAAAAACAAGAGACAAAAACACAAATCTCCACTACTGGCCAAGCAAGCTTCTGTTCGAGCTATCGCGACGCTTAATCATCTCGGTCTTAGCTCGCTTCAAGCCCTCACCCAATTTCTTCGTTCGCTTCCAATCGCTGCTCATCTTCTTCATCCGAACTGCAGCCCGTACAAGGGAAATGGCTGATTTCAATTTGTGCCGGGGAGTACGGACAGGAGCGCGGTCACGGGCCTGCACTCCCATCTCGGAGATCATGCGGAGATCAGCGTCGTTGCTGGTGAAAGGTTAGCTGGATTGCACATAATGGGGGAATAGGAGGGTCACGAACCATGCTACGCGAACGCGTTCACCGAGCTCCATCAGGCCCTTACTCCAGGCAAGATCACGTCGGAACTTCTCCTCTCTCTGTAGACGGGCACGAAGCCAGACAATCTCCTTGCCGAGACCTCGCATTTCTTTCTCGTGCTTGGTCTTACTGCTCGTTTTGGTGAGGGAGTTCTTTTCCAGGGCCTCTTCGTGGCGTCGTTGTAGCAAATCAATGTTCTTAGTTGCTGCTTCGGCTTCGCGCTTGTGGGCATCTCGTTCTTCGCGAATGCGGCGTACATGCGTCTTCAATTCAGTGAGACGTCCGTCACGCTCTGAGAGCTTGAGGGCGAGTGATTCGGCCTCGAGGGTGGATGATCTGAGGAGCTCGTGGAAGTCCTTCTGGTCTTCTTCTTTCATGGCAGCACGTTCAAGCTCACGATTCTTCTTGTTCACTGTTTGCAGGGAACGGTGTGCTTCAGCCACTTGCTTCCGCAAGGTCCGTAGCTCTTCGTTTAACTTGGCAGAGGGAGAGTTCTGCGGAGATTGGGAGTCGAACTTTCTCATCACTGTATCGTGGAGGTCCTTCTCCAACTCATCAACACGTGTCTTGTAGGTTTGCGCCGATGACTTGTGCTTGGATTCACGGTGAACAAGAATCTTTTCGCGTTTGCGAGCCTCCTCCAGACTTTGACGAAGTAAAGAGAGATCACTGTGTGCGCCAGATTGCTCATTTTCCACGACAGGCTGCTGCTCGAGCAAGGACTCGAGAGTTTGCACGCGGCGCTCCAGGCGCTGTACTTTGGTCTTGGCTGAGGTGAGTTCACGATCCCTGTTGCCCGAGCTTGCAAGCAACTTGTCCTGGAGACGATCGATTTCTGCGGAAAGACGACCCTCTTCTGCTACAAAATGCTCAGTCTCTGAAACAAGTTGGTTTTCAAGAGACAACTTGGCTTCACGCAGTGCTTTGAGATCATTCTCGAGCTTGGTTACCGTTCTGCGTAGTTCGAACTTGTCGCGGTCGATCCGAGAGTTGTCATCTGTATTCGGAGCCTTGTCCAGCTGGCCATTGAGCTCGTCACGTTCGGCTTCGAGTTCCTGCACCGAGTTTCGCAATTCGTAGAGTTCGACATGAGCGTTGGCAAGTTGATCACGAAGCTTCTGACGTTCCGTAATGGATTGTTCCAATTTTCTTTCCATGTCGGGATTCGCGTTTTGTCGACCTTTGGCAATTTCTTGCTCATCTGCCAAAGTGGATTGAAGGACAATAACCTCATCCTCCAAAGCTTGCACTTTCTCTCCCAGTGCAGCTTGGTCGCGTCGAGATAAACGAACATCCTCCTTGGCTGAGAACAGCTCTTCCCGTTTTTCATCGAGATCACGTCTTGTTTTCTCGAGGTCGTCCTTGAGATCTTGGATTTGGCGATTCAACATGGTCTTCTCTTGGGTAGACCGTTTTTTCTCGCTCTCAACAGCACCCTGCAGCCGAGACTCCTTGGTGGTGTAAGTATTACCAGCCTCTTGGAGTGTATCAATCGTGCGCTGCAGTTCCGCAACTTGGCCTTCTGCCCATGTTTTCTCAGACTGTAGGGCACGTTTGCTGCTCTCCCATCGGCTTTGATCGACCGCAAACCGTCCCTCCTTCTCCTCGATCTCATGCTGAAGGTTCTCAATCTCCTCTTGTAGTCTATCAACCTGTAACTTGTGTTGCCAGTGGAGTTTGTGACCTTCGTCTTGAGCGTGCGTTGTGGCCTCGTTGACGGCTTTTTGCAATTCACGAATTCGGGATTGGGCCCGGTCGAGCTCGGTTTGCAGGCCCCCTGATTCGTCAGTCAGAGCATGGTGGCGAGTTTGGAGGAGTTGCTTTTCTTCTGTTTCGCGCTGTAGTTCATTCGAAAGCTCCTGCAGTTGAGCGGAGGCCCTGTTCAAGTCTTGTTGGGTTTGATCACGTTCATGCTTGGCCAGATCAAGGTCTCTCAGCAGATGGGCGTTGTCTTCCATACCATGCTGAAGGGTTTGCTGGCGCTCTTCTAGTCGAGTCACATGGCTTGTCTTGCTCTCGAGGTCCGTTCGCAGAACATGGTTTTCTTGTTGAAGGTCTTGTACCTCTTGTTCAAGTTTCTCTGTTCTTTCCTCCATTTGCCGGCTTAATCCTTTCGTGGTGAAGGATTTGTTCGACATCTCATCTTGCAGTTCTCTCAGATCCTCCTCGACACGGTCCTTGTCTTCCAGGGCTTGTCGAGTAGCCATCTCTGACTCTCTGCTCTCAGACTGAGCCTGGTCGAGACTATCCTGGAGCTCTTGGATCTGCTCCTGGGCACGATCAAGTTCTTGCTGGAGTTCAGAAGCCGTGCCATTTTCCTCGCTGTTGCGTCTCAGCTCTTCTAGCTCTTCTTCGCGTTCCTCGATGATCCGATCCTTCTCTCTTGAGCTAGCCTCTAAATCCTCAATGTCGTCTCGAAGCTTTTCGGTCACTTCTGATTGGGATTCTTTAGCGTATCTCAATTCTTCGCGCACTTCTCGAAGTTCGTTGTCACGCGACTCGAGCTCCTCCCGCATCAAATCCATTTCTCGCTGTACTGTCTGATCGGCTTGCTCGTGCCATCTCATTCCCTGTAGTTCCACCAGCTGAAGCTGATATTCATCGGCTTCCTTCTTTGCCAGTCCGAGGTTCTTCTTGTACCGGAGAATGTCGCGTTGCATCGTCGTTTTGATGACTTTGAGCTCCGCGTTTTCTTTAAGTGCTTCCTTGTTCGTTTCTGGGCCGAGTTTTTGCAGTTGATCCTCCATAAAATGAATCCTCAGTTTCAAGTTGAAGTTGTCTTTACTGAGCTTGTCCAGGGCCTATGAGAATCGGTGTTAGAAAACGGGTGATCTCTTCACAACATCACTCAGACATCGAAAGGCCAGGAATCTTACTATGGCTTGTTCCTTCAATGATAGGTTGTTGTGACCTTCACCCAGCACTCCTCCATCTCGCCCGGGCAGTGGTGTACTCTGCGCACTGCTGCTTGCGGCGTGGGGCATTGGAGTCGCCTCTTCCTGGATCCGGTCTTCTTCGTATATGTCGGACATGTCCATTGCAGGTAATCGAGGCGTCTGGGCGTTGCTCCGATATGTGTCTCGCTGATATCCGGGTGTTTTGGGACCATCTGCCCCTCTTGTCGTTGACATGCTCCTTAAGTAGTTGTTTTTCGTGGCGCTCTTCATCAACGGTGTGAATTCCCCCTTCTCCGGGCCTGCAGCTGGAAGGTGTCGCAACGCGGTTCTTGCCGGTTTGGAAGCAGCTCCACGAGGGGTGGCGCGTTTGTCGAATCCTTTAATCACATCATTGTCTTTTGAGGGTGTTTGGAAGGAATTTTCAAGTGAATCGAGTGCAGACAAGTGATGTCGCCCCGCGCTGCGGAATCCATTCGTCAGATAAGTCGCGTTTCCGTCGATTTCCGTTCGTGGAGTGTCAATGTAGGGGAAGGCCATGTTGTCGTATTAACAGAGTATAGGCCAAGACCATTCAGCGCGCGACCATCACTCTTTTCGGGGGCAGCAGCGAAGATGGAATGAATCCACGTTCGACGTGTTTTGGCGATCATCAGTCTGTTGATTTCTAACTTCATTGGGACTAGTGCGTGGATTCCCCTCAGCCAATCACAGAGCATAGAATTCAAGGCGGTGATCGCGACTGTAAATTCCTCAGCCACTCTGGGGAACTCGACTACTTTTTTTCGTTCTTTTTTTCGGCCTTTTGCTTTGAATTCTGGACCTTGATGAGGTCATTCTGGATTTTTGATCATGACTTCTGAAGAGGACATTGCCTGGTTTCAATCTACCTTCCGGCCTATTCCTAAGCCAGAGCTCCCCGATGATGCGGTCGAATACTCTATCTACCATATTCCGCCTTCCCCCGCCCCCGCCGTTATCGATGAAGCTGCTGAGACTAGGGCGCGCTTGCTCGAGGTCCAACGCACTGCGGCGGAGTTAACCAAGGATCTGCTCAAAGATTACATCTGGCAGCGCGAAGCCTTCAAATTGGAAATTACCAAGGAAGATGGTGGGTCACAGCTTGACAGACGATTGCAATGATGAAAGCTCATGGTCTATCTAGGGATCACTTCGTTGCAAGGTCGCACCAATTATGGTGACTCCATTGAAGACGAATGGGTCATTGTGTATTTCCTGCGCGAATTGACCAAGCGTCATAAAGATATCTGGGTGAAAGTCATGGACAGTGATGGCGAGTTCCTCCTCATCGAAGCGGCCGGAACACTTCCTGCCTGGATAGAGCCAGATGTTGCAGACAACCGGGTAGGTGTCTCTCTTTTCCTCGATGCCTGATCTTGTGGAATTTATGCTCATACACCGTTTCAATCTTTCAGGTCTGGATCCACCAGGGAGACCTCCGAATTATCAAGCCGAAGCAAGAGACAAAAAGACAATCCACTGAGAAGCTGTCCCTTCCAGAGGCTCGCAAAATTCTCCGTGATGACCCTAGTCGCCTACTGAAATCAACAATCATTCAAGAAGAAGCTTTCTTCCGTCTACGCAAATACCCCCAGCAGATTAACGACAACCTTCACTCCGCAGTCATCACAATTCCCCGCAAGGCTGCATTCCTCTTACATCAAAAGCCAGGTTACATCTCGCCTGCCGTGGAAGCGTTCTATGTCCGCGACCCAATTGCGCTGCGACCACTTAAAGCCAAGGATTCATCTGGTCTTACCTTCAAGCCTGATGACCTAGTCACGGTTAGCGTCCGCTTTACACGAGTAGGATATGCCCAACTCAAAAGCCAGGAGTTCCCTGTCCCAAGCACATGGACAGGCAAGATGCCATCGACCGAGGATCAATCGTATGGCCGCGCAGAGGCAGGAATGAAACTTGCTTGTGGAATGGAGATGCTGCTGGCTGATCCTCAGAACCAAGATAAACCCGTGGTCCGGGAAATGAAGCTTCTCCTCGAAGATGTGGAGACGGGAGATGAACCCCTTCCCACCGATAAGGAGATCCAGGAAACATGGGACAAGCGTGAAGATGATGAGAAGTGGCTGGATATTAGCTTTGAGGACTTGGAAACTGAGCTGAAAGGCAGAGCTCAAGGTAAACAAGCGGAGGCTGGCGACTTCGGTGACTCTGGAGCGCAGGAAAACCTCCAACGCATTGTGGCCCGCTTCGAGGAGTTTTTGAATGACAACTCAGCGGGCTTCGATGGTGCTGATTTCATTGATGACTTTGAATCAGACTCTGATGTTGATGAGGATGAGGAAGACGGGGAAGAAGTTGACAGTGATGGAGAGGACAAAGATGCCTCGTTCAACGAGGAAGAATTCGCCAGAATGATGAAAGAAATGATGGGCATGCCATCTTCATCAGACTCTATCCGCAAACGAGTCCAAGAGCTAGACTCGGATGGGGAAGATGACACGGAGGAAATCAAGGAGCTTACGCGGCGCATGGAGGCCGAATTGCAAGGAACAGGCATCCTTGATCTCAAGCAACGTCAGCAAAACCTGTCCTCTGACGAAGCAAGTGCATCCAAGGGCAAAGCTGCCAGTACTTCGAAGCCAGACAACTTGGATGATGAGGATGACAACATCAACATAAATCTTGCCAAGAACTTATTGGAGAGTCTTCAAAGCCAAGGTGGTGTCTCTGGTCCCGCGGGGAATATGTTGTCGATGATGAACATGCGCATGCCCAAGGATGACCGCCCTTGAGGTGCTTCACTGTAAGATGGAATGTTTGGGCATTGGATCCCGTGACTATTTGGCTTGTCTATCAATAGGCAGACACACAAGGCTGCCCAGGTGCAGAGCACTACCCATTTAGGGAATTCTCGAAGCCATTGTGGCCCAAGAATCGCCAACGAATCATTTCTTGGGCTGCACTGCCAGCACTGCCACTCACCACTTACTCGGGTGAATGATCACGACCTGTGGTATAGAATCACAAGGTTGCACATGTGACGAATGACGAACACGTTCATGTCACTATTTTACACGACGTAGTCATGGGATATAACAGAAAGAATCCCAGACTTGCCACGGAACTCTGTGGATTCGTTTTGTATCTCTCATTTTTTTGTTGAGCTGCGACAGACTAGGGTTTCGGGCACGACGGAGCTGGTTTTGATATATCTCCCGGCTTCTATCAACCACCTGGGCACTTGAGCAGCTCTGCGGCTTTGTCGTGAACCTGGTACAGGTCCTAGGTTGATGCCAGCTTGGGCTCTAGTATCACACCCAAGTGAAATTTAGAACATAATCTCCCGGATCGACATGATCTGATGCATATGCATGATTTCCCCAAACTTATGTAGATACTCGTACACCGTCCATCACGTTTCAACCCACGAAGCTTCTCGAAAATGAGGCTACAACTTTAGAAACCGTTTCACAAAAGTACGATCGCCACCGATCAGCAATCTGGTACCTGATGTTGCAGGAGATTTCCACGTGGTTCCTGTTTCAGTTCGGCTCTCGGCGATACTTAGGAGAAACGTCTACTTAACGTCTACTTTGGCAGTACGCTAAGGACTTTAGGGAACTTCCCTTCTGGGGTAGTAGAGCACGGAGAAAACTACTCGTACTCCGCGGGATTTACTGACATGCCAAAAACAGCGGAAATACCAAAAGCCCAAGAACCACTTTAGAGAATTCTGTCACGGTCCACAGGTGGATTCAGGAACGTGAGTGGATACACTGAGATCCAATTTATAGACCTTCAAGTGGGACGCTAGAGAACTCGGCAGTCGAACAGAAGCCCAGAGGAACCCGGTCGTGTGCCTGTGGCGCGGGTAATTGTATTTGGAGTTACGGTGACTGGATTTGCCGCTTCTGAGCCGATAATATATTATTTATTATTTATTACTTATTATTTACTATTTACTATTTAACATTTACTATTAATCCTTTTGGTAAATCCCTCATCTGAAACGGATTGCAAATCCCCGAACACGGCTAACTGAGACCGGAACAGCGTTGCCCTAGAACACCCTTGGAACGGTGGGGTTTTCGAATAGATTCCAGTCTCCGTATAGAGTAGTTATTCTAACTACGAGTATTATTCTAACTAAATAACTAAATAACTGACACAACTACATACTTAAGTAACTATGTAATTATTCCACGGGGCAATTGCTTCAATTGGGTGTTTCATGCTGGAACCTGTCAGTATCCCGGTCCCGGACACCAGGAAAGTATAGTCTCCGAGATGAAAACGGTCTTACTCCCCGTTGAAGAGTAACGGTACTTACTTAGGAAACTCAGTACAAGTAGTGATCTGCCGAGTTATCGAGTACAGGTACAATCGTGAAATAATGAGTCGATGACTCCACGACTCCAGCCATCGGGAGAGAGTTTAGGGCGATCCTTTAAGGCGCTAATCTCCCCGATGTCCGGAGCCCTGCAGTACAGTACGGAGTATGGAGTACAGAGTATAGAGGACAGTGGTCTTTTCTCAAATCGGAGGACTAGGATACATCTGACACATGCCGAAAAAGCAAAGTGAAGAGTGTAGTAACCAAGTAGTAACAATTTCGGATAGATCATAAGCCAGCAAGGTCCAGAACTGAAATTAATTTGCGGCCCGACATTTTTCGTTTCTTTTTCTTTTTCTTTTCTTTTTCTATTTTTCTATTTTTCTATTTTTCTTTTTCTTCTTGTTCTGTTCTGTGTTCTTTTCTTTCTCTGTTCTGTGGTTTCTTTCGTTTTCATAGGAGTACTCGTAGTGAAGAATCAAATAAGTATTATACAGAAGCATGAAATATGCGAGACAGAATGTATGTAAAAGTACTCGCATGTGGAGTGAGTGGAGAAGTGAGAAGTTCGATGGAAGAAAAAGAACGGTCGTCGCCCGAGACTTAGTGGCGAGCCCCTTCGATGCTTTTTCCTATTTATCACATTGCTCCCCTTCCTCTCTCTCTTTTTCCCTTGTGTGGACCCGCATACCAACATGCATTGTCATGATTGAAAGATGGATTTTATTGTCCGTATACTCTACTCTACTCTGCCCGGCCTCACTAACCCTCATAGCTCTCGTTGACGCACTTCTGCGAAGTGCATGGGCCGACCTCCATCATCTGCTCCCAGGTTCTGCCTTTCTCATGTCCGCAATGCCATGATCATGATGACTCTCCTCAAGGGACTCCCGTCTCACAGGAGTCCCGCTTCGACGACTCCCGCTCGCCAAAATCCGGCTCCAAATCCCCTCGGATCGAGGATTCACCCTACTTCTTACCACACCCGGTCTCCCCCGAGGACAAATCCAACCGCAGTGGCGTAAATGGTGACACCTGTGCCAGTTGCAGTCTATCCCTGCCGGAGGATGTAAGCCGACAAATTCCTCCCGGGGCACCAGGCAGTCGCGACGCCAAGGGAAACAGCACCAGCCCGGTTCTGCGCTCGCGTGAGGTCGTCTACTCCTGCGGCACCAACCACTCCGACATGGATGACGAAACAGATTCACACGCTCACGCCTCTCCACCGGAATCCTTGCACTCTGCCTCCGTCGCCTCCGATGCTTCATGTCACACTCATATCCACACTTACCTCTCGCAGCGGGGCCCACCGAATCCGGCTGATTACGCTGTTCTCCGCCGATCCTCCATCCGCACCCTCAGCTGTGAATTGCTCCCCCGCGGTCTCTCCTCGGGTCCAATCTGTTTCGGTGACTCGATCGCCGGCTACACCATCGCATACATTTTCCGACTTCCGGACCCCATGGCCCGCGGCAAGCGTCGCAGTTACGCATTGGTGGCACTGGCCGGCCGCGATGCCGGAAGAGCATTCCGCGCCTGCCCCATCATCTGGCGTGCCTTTGGTCGTATCGCTGCGAGTATCGTGAATGCCGCCGAGCGCTTCCAAGAAGACGAGAAGACCCGTGATGAACAAAATAATCCGGGCCGACAGCCCGGCCGCCAATACCCGCCCGTGTCATCCTTCCTCACTGGCCGCGGCATGGACCCGGCTGGCCGGCGCGCAGCGGGCCAGATCCGTGCGCGCAACTTAGCCGAAATCGTCGGCAATGAATACATCTTCACCGAGCTGCATGCGCATTTCGTGGCCTTGCTCCAGCAACTGGGCTCGATGTTTGGAGGTATCCCTCTAAACGAGGAACGCTTTGTCTGCAGCACGGTTGGTGATGAAGAAAACACTACCGCTCAGCCGGTCTTGGTCTCCAAGACTCGGCCTCCAAAGGACGACCAGAAATTTGACGCTGACGACATTGACATGTCCAACCTCGAAATTTCCACTGCACCAAAGGCGATCCCCATTGCACCTCGTCGGCCTGTCATGGCATGAATAACTTTCTTCTCATTTGCATCACACTCTTATCGAGATACCCGCCTGCTTGCTTTTTTGATTCCAGGCATTTCGCTTCTACCTTGTTCTTTTTCGCCTTTCATTTTTCTTTTTTTTTTTTTTTTTCACTTTTCGAGTTGGTGCTTGTACACGATTTGGCAAGATGAGACGGCAAAGCTTTTCTTTTAGCGTCATCCTGCACCCTGACTCGAAAGAGGGGGTTTTCATCTTTTTCATTCCGTCTTTTCGCGATATTGGTATGGGCATAGACATGGCGTCTTACAGACACGGACCGGAGTTCTTTTTCTATCTCGCAGATTTGGTTTTCTTTTCGGTGATGTGCCTTTCTTTCTCTTGGAATTCTCGTTCTCCCTCAAGTTCAATGAATCTCACTTTTGGGACTGGCTTATGGCTAGGATGTTATGAACGCAGAACAATCAAGAGACATGTATTTTATGTATTATTTGAACACGGATCTATCACAGCCATCGGGCTATTTGTTTAATTCCTTGGTCTAGTAATCTGGTAACATGTGAATGTGGTATCCTCGTACTCTAATAGCCACTATGGTGAAAAATCCCATGAGTCGGTCCGACTGAATCAATGTCTTTCTCAGACCCGATCTACTCTTTAGGATCCAGACAATTCTGCCATCAACCTCACCTTGACACCCTGTAGAAATCCAAGTCCCGGTTCAGTGCCTATAGTCCGGAGTAACCTTGTCCCGAGTTAATCCGAGGCGGGCACAGTGCCACAATCCAAAAAATCAAAAAGAGAAGATACAAAGCCAATACAAAGCAAGACATCGCCTCCCATCTCCCTCCAGCAACATCAAAATGGTCGCCTTCGACAAGTGTGAGACCCGGCCTGCCCATATTGAGACCATTCTCAATGGCCTCGACCGATACAACCCCGAGACCACCACCACCTTCCAGGACTATGTCGCCCAGCAGTGCGAGGACCGGTCATTCGACTGCTACGCCAACCTGGCCCTCCTGAAGCTGTAAGTTGGAGCCATTTTTCCCCCTTCGAAGTACTGCGCGACAACTTTCTTGGTTTGGATCTACACAATGATTCGTTCGATCTTCAATATCTTGAGAAATGTCAAGAACATCTGTGAAAGATACCAAACCAGAAGCAATGCCATTGCAAGAGAACCTCACGATATAAAAGATCTTCATTCGGAGATATCTATTATATCAAGTACCACGAATACCTGAACCACCCAGCTAACCCGCTCAATCTCCAGCTTCCAGTTCAACCCCCACCTCCTCCAAGCCGACACCGTCACCAACATCCTCGCCAAGGCTCTGACCGTGTTCCCCTCCCCCGCCTTCTCGCTCTGCCTCGCCCTGCTCCCCCCAAGCACCCAGCCCTTCCCCAACACCGACGCAGCACAAGCCGCCTCCCAGCAATCCGACTTCGTCGAGTCCGTGCAGAAGCTCACCCGCCTCTCCACCCTCCTCGAATCCGCCCAGTACGCCCAGTTCTGGTCCACCCTTAACTCGGACGACCTGTACGCCGACCTGACCGCCGACGTCGCGGGCTTCGAGGAACTCGTCCGCATCCGCATCGCCGTCGAAGTCGGCAAGACTTTCCGCTCCATCACTGCCGAGAACCTCGAGTCTTGGCTCGATGTTCGCAGCCGCGATGCCCTGGACAAGTTCGTCGTTGACGTCTGTGGCTGGAAGGTCGATGGTGCTGTCATTCGCGTCCCTACCAACAAGGAGAACGAGGCCCGTTCTGAAGTCAAGAGCGAGCACGTTGGTATCGAGCAGTTTGGCCGTGTTATTCGTCGTGGTTTCGAGCTCCCCGCATAAATTTTTAAAAAAGGACCCTTTTACGAATGTTCTTTCATGTCTATTTCACAAAATTGTGAAGATTCGATTTCCGTTCATGACATGAGTCCATGATTCCATCCTTGAGTCACCAGCTGAGTCTTGGATGATAGATTTCGCATGAAGGAGGGGCTCGCTGATGAGTCGGGACCTGGCGCATGGAGTTCTGCTTTTTTTTTTCCTTCTCTTGTCTGTATTGGATTCCATTTTTATCCTTCCGTGCTTGCTGTATGGATGGCGGGAGACAGAGAGATGTGATGTTTATACCTTAAACACTTGGCTGGGCCTCTATGTAGGTCTGGGTTTGCTGCCAATATCAAAAAATCATACAGAGCTATTTTCAGATGTAATCAGGTTCATACTGGTCCCATAATTAAAAGACAGAGACCAAACTAGTCAAGGGGTTTCCTGTGGTCTAAGGGTTCGACCCCAGGGTTTCTTTCCATTTTGCTTTTTCTTTTTTTCTTTCTCTATACTCCATGGTGCCTCGAACCCTAAGGTTTCCAGTTGTTGATGTTGAGATGTTTACGGAGTACATCTTTCAAGTACCCGGTGTTATATCAAGGAATATAGTACTCCGTATGATCATCTAATTTTATATGCCGTTCGAAGCCTTCACAACTCCATCCTATGTACGTGTGCAATCATTTAATGCAGAACTGCGCACCTATTTCATCTCCTCCCACTGCACGCCAGCCCACTCCTCACGCCAGCCAGTAACACCCAGCTCCTGAGGCGCACAATCCTTAGAGCAGACGCCCATAATGATAGTGCCCCACTCCATACCAGCATCATCCTTCCCAAGCCCAACACCAGCACGGCCCTCTTCAAGCATGCTAATAGCATGCGGCACAAGCTGGAACTCAAAGACACGGTGACTTCCACAGTACTCGCAAGAGGGGATACTACCTGTTCCAATGGTGCTGACCTTGGTAGCGGGGTCTGTGTTGACGTTCAGTCGAGAACCGACAGCATCGACGGTCGAGTACAGGAGTGGTGCGCCTCGGTATTCGTAGCGCAGGACCTGTTCGGGGTTGTGGGAGAGACGGGTCGAGAACTTCATGAAGGCCTTGTCGAGTTCGGACTCGAATGTATCTTTCAGTTCAGCAGTGGCGCCTTCTTCTTCCATTGGCTCCATTTGCACATTGTCTGGGACTGTGGGTGTTGAAGGACGAGAGATTGTCTCGTATTCGGCGTCTAGGTAGAAGTTCTTATAAGGCGCCGGGAAGGCAGACTGTTCAGGCCATGGGGTTGGAGTCGCTGACTCGGGCGTTTGCTTAGTCGCTGCCAAAGGAGGGGGCGACGAAACGCGCACTTTGTCAGCGAATGATTCAGCCAGGTTGGCTGTTGATGGCGCTGGTTTCTCGACTGGCGCCGGGGTTGACGGGACTGGTGTTGCGAATGGGTTGTTACCAGCTGGTGCAGGGCCAGAGGAGAAGGGGTTGGAGTTTGCGGAGATGTTGCTGGTCAGGTTTGTTGCGCCGAACAAACTGGCGCCCAGGTCTTGTTTGGGTTGTTCGGGGACGCTGGGTTTGGGGGTTTCCTCTTTGGGTTCTTCTTGCTTTGGCGCTCCGATGGTGACCTTGCGCGAGGCGCGGAATGCCCTGATGCTGCCTGGCTTGCGGTTGCAGGGCTTTCGGGGGCATCCGAAGACGTATAGGCGTCTTTCGTTGGTGGGGAAGTGATCGGGTAGGTCGCCGTGCAGCTCGAGGAGTAGCAACATCGGAGAGTTGCAAACTTTGCAGTTGGCGAAGTCGCCGGGGGCAGGAGAGGCTTCATCTAGCCATTTCTGTAGGATTCAAGTGGTTAGTTGGGTATTCATTGCATTTGCTGGGTCACATACTGGGGAGCCTCCAAGATGGCTGATTGTATCCTCGATGAGTTCGTCGGCTGCATATCCTAGAAGCACACTGGTCTCATTGAAGTCTTCGTCTCCACTAGAGTCACTGTCGTAGGGATCCATGGTGCAATTGGTGGTGTGGGTTGGGTATTGAGACTGCAAAAGACCCCTCGTTCAAAAAAATGGCGATAAGCGATATGGAAATACGCTAATCCATAACGGGCTAGACTATCTTACGGTACTTGATGTCTCCGCCCGCCATCGACTTCACTGTAGACGTTAGCTCTTGGTTCATCTTCCATTCATCGAGTCTTTTAGTGTAAAGCTCGACATTATGACTTCGATCCATCGGCACATCTCTCTTATATTGTATTGCGTTCTCACTACCCTACTGGTCTCACTTTCCAATGCAACAGAGCAGCAACCCCTTCGGGGTGCTGTAGATTCAAGTCCCAAACGTGTCGCCATAGTTGGTAGGTAGTATCAACGATCTAAATTAATGTCCTTTCTGGCCTAAACCTTCCTTTAGGAGCTGGAGCTGGAGGCTCATTTACAGCGTATCAATTACGCAAGCTTGCTGCTGAGACAGATACTCCTGTCGAAATCACAGTTTACGAACGTGAATCCTATATTGGTGGCCGCTCAACCACAGTAAATGTATTCGACGACCCGGCTTATCCCATCGAGTTGGGCGCCTCGATCTTCGTCCAGGTCAATTATAACTTAGTCAACGCATCCCGTGACCTCGGCCTGAACGTCCACAGCGCTGACCATGCGCGACCCAAAGAATCCGATGATAGTATTGGAATCTGGGATGGCTCTGAGTTTGTTTTCTCGCTGAAGAATACCTATAGCTGGTGGAACATCGGGCGACTATTCTGGCGGTATGGAATGGCGCCATTGCGAACCCAAAAACTAGTCAAGAACACTGTTGGCAAGTTTTTGCGCCTATACCAAGAACCTTTCTTTCCCTTCAGCTCCCTTTCTGATGCCGCTGCTGCCGTCAATCTGCTGGATTCTACCTCGTCGTCGGGCAAACAGTTCCTTCGCGCGAATGACGTCGACTCTCTGTTTGCGAGGGAGATCATCCAAGCGAGTACTCGAGTCAACTATGGTCAGAACCTGCAATTGATTCATGGCTTGGAATCCATTGTTTGCATGGCTACCGATGGAGCCGTATCAATCGAGGGTGGAAACTGGCGCATTTTCGATGGTGCATTGGCAGCCTCTGCTGCCGATATCAAATTGAACACCACAGTCACCGGCATCGTGCGAAACCACGATGGCACCGTGTCACTTTCGTCGAAGTCGAACAATGCTATTGAGCAAAGTCACAACACCTTTGATGAAGTTGTCATTGCAGGGCCTTTGCAATATTCCGGTATCTCCATTGAACCACCTTTGAATCACACTCCGGATGAAATCCCATATGTGGACCTTCATGTCACTTTGTTTGCGTCTCCCCATCGCATCTCACCGCAGTACTTTGGTCAAGATCCGAATGGCCAAGTGCCAGAGACGATTCTCACGACTCTTCCCGAGGGACTCGACCTGGGATCAAATGCGACTGGTGTTGGTCCCAGTGAATTCTGGAGCATCAGTACACTTCGCACAGTGAATCGTTCCGAGTCCGAAGACAATCAGCAATATTATGTCTATAAGATATTCTCGCCAGAGCGGCCGACAGCTGGATTCGTTGCCGCCATTCTCGGTCTGGACGATGGGACCGTGGATGCAAATGGAACCATTGGTGACCTTATGAGGAGCGACGTGAGCTGGTTCCATGAGAAGTTATGGAATCCATACCCTGTTCTGTATCCTCGAGTGACATTTGAAGAGACTCTCCTAGCTCCCGGTGTTTGGTATACCGGTGGGATTGAAAGCTTCATATCGACCATGGAGACCAGTGCGCTTATGGGTCGGAATGTGGCTACCCTCATGTTCCAATCGTGGAAGAATGGCCTCAAGGCTGACAATGGGGCTGGATTCAAGGCCAAGACCGAGCTTTGATGTCATTCAATTTCATCCTACGTTGACAGTCAGCAATGAATCCATATTCTACCAGATCTCCGTCTTCCAGCCCTGATGCAACTTTCCTAAACAAAAATCTCAAAAAAAAGGTGTGAAACTCACCCCAGGAGGTCGCCCCCCTGAGGCTACAAACCCGAAGGTTATCAGGAGTCGCGCTGCCAATCAGTGGTATGCTGAATGACGTTTCCTACTCCCTCCCGGGAAGGTAGGTGCTAAACTCCCCCGTGTCCGAAGACCGGAGCTCGGACTCGCTTTATGCGGCAGTGGGAAACGAAACACAAGTTTCACCAACTGAGCCACTCGCCCTCGCGTACTAAAATGAGGCCTTAACTTGACATTTATACCCCTGTCAAGTCGTATGTTCGAAGGTGAGATGAGACGATTTTGGGGCCCCACTATAAAACAGGTCCTATCGGGAGATCAGATTCTTAATTTGACTTCAGTGGATTTTGAGCACTACTTGAATCGTAAAATTATTTTAGGTTCGAGTTTCAAAGTCGAGATTTGGAGGGATTGGTGCATTGTGAAGTTATTCGCGCGTACCTGCCTTCTGCTGGCTTTAGGGCTCCTGAAGTCGTCATACCAAATTTGAGTTGAACCCCCCAATTGGGAAATCATACAACTCCATGGGCATTCAACGGGCTTACCAAGAAGGAAGTGAATATACTCATCGAATTCATGAAGATATAGAATGTCGCATACGCCCTTTGTACTTGAGCAGTGCCATTAAGGGAGATTTGGCCACGGGAAGCGGTCCGTAGCGGGAATATATAAACATCCGCAACCTTAAATCAACCCTACTCCAGACACTTCAATTGTCCTACAAAGCAGCACCACAACTTTAAAAGATTCCAAAGTTCATACTCGTATGAGGTAAATCTATGTACCTTGAGTGCGCGTACAATACTAGCAATTTACTTAAGTACCACGCCAGTGGTCTTCTAAAGTTCCAAGGTCACAAGAAATCCCCCGAAGTCCAGGGCTGCAGATCTTGAAGTCGTTGAGTGTGATGATGTGATGGCATCAGGTGTTTTTGTACAATATCTAGACTGCTCTATCATTCAGTAGTCTGCCTCACTCTCACTTCCAGGGTATGCCTTCTTCCGCAATTTCCAGAGCGACTTTTCTCGTCGTGCTGCAACTTCGCGTTGGTGCCGACTGTTATCTTCAACAACATTCATCCAAGGAACATTACTCGCTCGTCGCACCCTCTCTCGCAGTAGTGCAAGCGTCCGAGCATGTTTGGATGATTCGGAGTCACCGGATTTCTTCTGACCAGACGTGGAATCTTGATAACGTCGCTCGGCAGCACGAGCGGCATAGTATTCCTCACTGATAGCCCAGTTCGGGTTATCCAATTGTCCGCGGACCAGGACTAGACTGTGACCTTTTTCGATACAGCTCTGGATATGGGATGGGGGAATCGAGGTGGAGAGTTCGAGCTTTTGCGAGCTTGTATCAATCGACCGGACTAAAGCTAGACCGAGGCAATGAGACGCCTTGGGATGTAGCGGGGTGCAGCTCCCAGATCCAACGAAGAGATAAGGTAGATCTTCTTGAGTCCGAACAATGTTGTCCGCCATGGAGTTCTCAATGCCCGCAGCTGGATTCTCCGAGTCCATGTCGATATCAAGACCAGAACCAGTCTCGCCTTGTTCGTCAGTTGATGGTTCGGGTGGTGCCATTGCGCCCATTAGCGCCTTTGATGATTCCACCGCCACAAGTCCTACTATGGCACCCTCAAGCGTTTCATGCAAAAGCTCAGGGTTGATCTGGGATCCCATCACCATGATACCCAAAATACCTTGGCGCGGTCCAGTGTAATCCACAGTCAAAGGCCGTGTGCGTGAAAGTGGCTCCTCAGACCACAGAGAGCTACCGAGGTCGGTTGGATGAGACATATGGAAGTAGGACTGAATCTGCATGGCGCGGAGTTGGGCGCTAGATCGGCTCACAAAGTCTGTGGGTTGAGATGGCAATATGGTCAACGGAACACGGGCTTCACGGGCTGCCAGACCCAGGGGATCGATGACCTCTGATGGGCCCTTTTCGCTCATATATACAACATCGGAAAGACCTAGTGACCTGACCAACCACGTTGCAACCTCTAAACCTTGTCCGAAGATCCAGCCAGGGTAATTGATGATGAGAGGGCATTGAGGATGCTTCTCCAACAATGTGCGATATTGATCCATGAGATCCATGACAGCCAGTGCGTAATGATCAGGATCTTCCTTTGGTGATGTCGCACCGATGTGGTGCGCCCGCACTATTTCACCACCGTGGGAACCGTCAAGCGAGGGGTGTGTGAAAGGTGGACCAAAGAATGGATTGCGCAGACGCGCGAGGTAGACTTGGCCCATAGGGGTGAACTCAGGCTGCCCCGGATCTAGGTCTAGGAAAGCGACTCCGTCTGTATTCACATATCCGCCCTCGGTTTCAGGTGTTGGACTGAGCACATGGTTCAGTAAGTACCGACTGAAAGTGGATTTTCCAGACGCCTTGGGGCCACAAACTAGCACACGCAGTTGGCCTTGGCGCTGTGAGAGGGCTTTCATCGAAGCACTCCACTTTTTGTCGAGATGAAGGGGACGGAGATGTCTGTTCAATGAGTCATCTGAAGATGTGTATAGCTATTGAGACTGATTAGTTTTGATGATTGTATGCGAATCATGAAGATAATAATATCATACCACTGAGAAAGACCGCTTCGAGTCCTTGGGGGCACCTTTAAGTGTGGCTTTATCTGCAGCAGTGTTCTCGCCAGTCCAAATTTTTTGATATTGAGGCGAGAGATCTTGCAGGTGGGCAATACCGTCATTGCAAGACTTGATTTCAATTTCTGCTTCTCCATCAATGCCAGAAACACATTTGATGACCGGTAATGAGTGAGTTGACGGGGCGTAGACTCGATGCAATTGTGAAGAGGCATGCAGTTTCGCGCCCATCAGACTCACAACGCCCCTCTTGACCCAAAGATCATATTGGCCCAACAATGCCAGATTCTGCAAATTGTCAGTTATATAATTAATGTCTATTTGGGAAAATACATACTGTTCTTTCCTTGATGCGAATGCAAAGGGTACTTTCGTCACTATAGACGATATTGCTTTTGTTCAAACGGACTTTTGATAGAGGGAAATTCTGCAACTCTGCCGGTGTTTCTGCGGGGGACTCATAGCCGTCGGCATCCCCTACAACAGACGCGACATCATTCTCGTCCATTTCATCCTTGGCATCAACTGTGTCCGTTGCGACCTGCTCCGCTTCCGAGCCGTCCTGAGAAGATTCCTCTTCCTGCTGAGCTTCGACTTGAGAAGTCTGAGTGGACCTTGTTGAGCGCTTTGGTAGATCATCTGCAGGCAATGGCTTATCTTGCTTCTTTGCTGCCCTTGTTCGTGAACTGCGACGATCTTCATTCGGCTCTGTAGTCTCAACCGCATCGAGAGATCGTCGTGGCTTTTTTGAGGGCGGCTCACTTTCCACCACAGGCGCAGGAGTAGCCTTGGGCGCATCTTCGCTTGCTGTCTGCTGCCGGGCTCTGCGCGCCGCTAAAGCAGCAACTGCGCTGACAGGACCTGAAGGAACGACTTAGCTTGGGTGTGAATTTTGGCGACAGAGAAGAGCTTACCAGCCGACGGCTGTTTTTCAACCTTTCGCTTGACCATAGCAGTCATCAATTGCTGATCAGAAATGATGTTTGGGGAAAATCCACCTCGATAAAGCGTCAAGCCGATAAGCCAAAAAAGTTGACGAGTGGTCCGTGCTCCCGCGGAGCAGAAAAAAAAAGATCGTTGGACTTCGACATTGTCACTCAGCCTCGAACCAATTCTTCCATACAGGCTTCTGGGGAGATATTAATCGATAGAGGATTACTTTTTCTTCTGTTCAATATACCCGCGAAACTCAAGTGTGCCCCGCGCCGCGCATCCTACCCTCGACTGTACCGACATCTCAAATAGCCGCCATGGCATCCGATAGCGACAGCAGCTCTAGCAGCTCAGCCTCGCCTGCGCCTAAGACCAAGCAGGAAAAGAGCCTCAAGAAGCCTGTGAAGGCCGAGGAATCAAGCGAAGATGATACCTCAGACTCGGGTTCATCCTCAGACTCGGACTCCGATAGCGACTCAGAAAGCTCCAGCGAAATGAAGCCAGAGGGCGAGGACAAGAAGTAAGAGGCCGATTTTTGTGTCAAATAGGACTCGACTAACGAATGCGCCGTTAGAATTGCCATTTCCGGTCCCCAGCCATACAAACCCCCAGTGGGATTCAAGAGCGCGAAGAAACAGGCCCCGCCCTCATCCAAATCATCCTCCCTTCTGTCGAACCTCAACGGAAAACAAATATTCCACATCACAGCGCCTGCATCTGTCCCATTGTCCGAGGTCAAGGAGGTGTCTATGGCCAAGCTGATGCAGGGAGAACCGATCATCACCCACAAAGGCGTGAAATACGGTATCCCAGCCGAGGCATTCTCCGAGGCCGATCCAGCGGACAAGTCGCTACTTGTCTTCGATGAGAAAACGCAAACATATCGCACCGCAGCCAACAAAGTTCCCAGCTTCCACGTTCAAGAATTGATCGGACTCCCCAGTGCCTCCAAAAAGACCGATGCTGCCGTGGAAAAGCTGCGTCAATACGTCAAACCAGCCAGACCCCAACCAAAGAACCTCAAGATGCGCTTCCGACCTACCGGGACCGCCCGTGCGCCCCCAGAGACTCTGGGCTCTAGCTCGGAATCGGAAGCCGAGGCACCTTCATTCAAGGTTCCCAAGGGAGAGGAGCGCAAGAGAAAGCTCTCTCACACTGATACCGAGGGTGATGCGCCCCAAGTGGCAGCACTGCCCCGGAAGAAGTCAAAGAAGCACTCACAAGAAAAGGGAGATGATGATGAGCAGAGCCGGAAAAAGTCTAAGAAGTCTTCCAAGGACAAGGAGGAGAAGAAGCGGAAGAAGTCTACAAAGGCTTAATTTGTTCTTTTGTTCTCAAAACAGCGATTGATTTAACGATGTTCTCATATGTACAATTTACAATCTTACCCTTCAAAATTGCATGAAATACCTACTTAAGTAGAGAAGCTGAGATCTACAGGGACATACTAGACAGCCCCGGCGGAGGAAGGGTAGACTGATATAGACCCAAAGCTGTATCTGGGTGTAAGGTGACAGGTCCATGGATACGTAGGTATGGTCAGAGTATTATTACAAATGTAAAATATACACGCAGTGACACTCAATATAGACCAGCGTTCATGGACTCAGTGTGAAAGGGCTCTAAATCGGACAATGAAATATTTGATTTCTAAAGTCGGCAACCAGTGGTTCAAATGTTCTGATCTGGTCTGAAATTTGTCTGACAGCTCAAGAGCTTTTGGCAGCTCGCAAGACACAGTATAGCCTTGAAATAAATGAAAAATTGTGTTCCATGCCTAAATCTATAGTTACTGTGGCAGCTCAAGTGCTATATTACACATAGAAAATCAGCGATATACAAGATATGGGGTTAGTTTCTTTCATCCAATAGGTATCACTCGGATAATTTGGCTTATATCAACCCATTTGTGATCAGCATTAGCCCCATTTAACCCCAGATGCTTATTACTGATCCACAGAACCCATGTTTCATGTCTCAAGACTGGGGATAACATGGGACAGATAAGAGAGAACATTGCTATCAAACTGGAGAACAGAGACCCAGCCCTAATTCAGCAGAACTCTATAGACCTCAACATCAACAGATCTCATAGTCCTCCCTTCAGGGCATAGAACGGATGATCTACAAAGGCTTGGCGCTGATATAATATGGAGTCATCAGATCACCTGATTGGCAATAATCACATGCGGAGATCTTGGTTCATTCAACATTCGTCTCATTCTGGATTTTGGCATTCTGTATTCAATAGCCAACTTATCTGCTCGTGCATAGCCATGGCGCTTTGGTTGACTTTGAAATCCTGAGATCCCTTGGCTTTGATAGCTCAACTACAAAGCGCTTATCGGCCTAGACCCTACCCCCGTGCGTTGTTCACCTTTGCTAGTCACCTAATCATCTGACCGGTTACTATGACAAAGTCACTCGCAGACTGTTTGCTCTGCCTAATGTGTGCTGGTCCTATTTAACTGGTGCAGCCATACCTGATCGTCATAGTCCTATCAGCACCGAGCTGTCATCTGGCTCGAGCTTCTGACTGCCCGACCGGTACTGGCGATTCACCGCATCCTAGGAACATTCACCGTCCTTTTTAGCCTCTATTTCCACGTTAAACACTTTGTCTCGGGATATTGCAAATAATATGGGACCGTTACGAGACGATGCCAGGCGCCGGGCAGACCGGCAAATGAGCGCTAGTATGAGACCTACTTCAGATAGCCGTCCACTTTCAGATCGTGTCCCCCCAAGATTCAGAGATGGAGACGATGCCCAAATTGATTTTACAGCTCCACCGCAGGGTATTGGTTCACGGGACGGTAACATGCATTATATGCAGCAGTCTCTATTCTCTATGATTGCCGCCGTGGGATCCAAATCGGACTTTCATGCTCGCTTTGAGGAATCAAGCGACAGCGATGGTGAGCCAGAGAACCTTCCGCAGGTGCGACAAAAGGGCGAAAAACCGTACTCTCCCACGCCCACACCTCGACCCGACCCACGCTTGCCAATGGAAAGGTCAAAAACAAAACACTTGGATGATGTGGAAAGGGGACGTCGTCATCAAAGGGCAAGATCGGATAACAGGCTCTCGCACACGGTATCACAGTTGGATTCACATCCGGAGGGGATGGAGTCATCAAGCCCAGGCGGTTCGCTTCTTACCTTACCTTTGCGGCAAGCTCGAAGTGCAACACCACGGGCAGCTCCTGTTTTGAGCCGGATGGTTGAAGCACAGACAAGTTTCGACTCTGCTATAGCAACACCTCGTTCACCATCGAATCCACGAACTATCCCGGCAGACCACCCTGAAACGTCTGCATCAGCCCTCTCTACGCGGCTGATGGAGATGTTCGGATTCGAAAAGCCCGAAAAGGTTTTGGTTGAGTACGCCTGTTCGCTGGTTCAGAGCATGCTTCTCCAAGGGTACCTCTATGTGACCGAGGGCCATATTTGCTTCTACGCCTACCTTCCGAAGAAATCAAACGTGGCGATAAAGTCCGGGTACCTATACAAGTCCGGTCGGAAGAACCCTAGATACGATCGTTATTGGTTCACTCTAAAGGGCGATGTTCTTTCATACTTCGCTGATCCCTCCAAACTCTATTTCCCTAGTGGACATGTGGATCTTCGATATGGAATCTCTGCGTCTCTCGCCGAGCGCAAAGATGGCGAGGTCAAAGAGTTCAAAGTCACTACTGATCAAAGAACCTATTATTTCAGAGCTGAAAGTGCCACCAGTGCAAAGGAGTGGGTAAAGGCTCTCCAGAAGGTCATTTTTCGAACCCACAACGATGGCGAAAGTGTCAAGCTCTCATTTCCCATCGCAAATGTCATCGATGTGGAAGAAAGCACAATGGCCGATCTCCCTGAGACATTCAAGATTCGAGTTCTAGACAGCGGAGAGTCATTTGCGGTTGACGAGGTACGTTTTGCATTCCATCGTTATCAAAAACTAGGCTGATTGATATCAAGCACTTCTTCTCTTTCTTCGAGTCGGCACAAGACGCATTCAGCTATATCAAAGAATTGGTGGCCGCGGCATCAATCAAAAACCCCCTCGAAGAAGGCCTGGGCTTGCAGGGTTCACCAAACAGGGAGGATCCGCTCGGGTCGAATCGAATCACCCACAAGAGACTGTCAATCAGCAGTGTTCGTGTCTCAGATCAAAGAAAGGATGATATACCACCAATGCGCAGCTCTAGTGCTGGAAACGAAAACCAAGACTCGACTGATTCATTCGCCGAGCCCGAGACTGGATCCTCACCAATCGTCCATTCCATGACAGAGACTACAACCACCGAATCAGCGAGTCAAATATTGAACCGAAGTGATGTTTTCCAATCACCTACCATGCGTAATCTCCAAAGGCGTTCACCAGACGGACGAGAGACTGTCCAACGATTCCCCGATGACACGACACCTTCCGCTTCAACGCGTTTGGATTTAGAAGGAGTGGTTCACCGCACACAGCAAGGCGATGCAGCGGTCGCAGGATATGACCTCGGCCAGGCTAAACAAATGCAGACTTCAGCGCCCAGTTCAACTGGCCATCTGAACGAGCTTGCTAAAGCGGGTGCTTACCCCCTCCAACGCGCTGCTGGCTTGGCGGGATACTTGAAAAGCCGTTCAAGACAGATGAGTAGTCTGCTGGCAACCGAGTCCATGGGCTACATAGAAAAGGTCTCTGGCATGTGGACTGGAAGTCAAAAGCATTACGGAGAGCGGGAAGGGCCATTGCTTGAGGATCAAAATGTCGATCCTGATGATAAAGAAGGTGATTTCAACTATGGAGATCGCTTCCGTGCTCACTTTGCCCTTCCATCAACCGAGCGGCTACAAGCGACGTATTTTGCCTATTTGCACCGTGTGCTGCCCCTTTATGGTAAGATCTATATTAGCCAGAGAAAGCTATGTTTCCGCAGCTTGCTCCCCGGCACTCGAACAAAGATGATTCTGCCTTTCAAAGACATCGAGAACGTTGAAAAGGAGAAAGGGTTTCGTTTTGGCTACCATGGTCTCGTTGTCATCGTTCGTGGTCACGAGGAGCTGTTCTTTGAATTTAGGCAGGCAGATTCACGAGATGACTGTGCCGTCACTCTCCATCAAAATTTGGAGTCTGTGAAGTACCTGGTTGAATCCGGCTTGCTAGCAGAGGAGGAGCGAGAAGAGGTTGAGGCCGCCAAGGCTGAGCACCGCATGCTTGAGGAAGCGAGAATGGACCATCCCGAGGAACAAGATGCATGCCCGACCCTGACTGAAGAATCATCGGAAATCCATCCCTTCTTCGATGACCCTCGTGCTTCCATTATCAACTTCAAACCAGCTGGGTCTCTCAGGATCACTTGTTTGACAATCGGTTCTAGGGGCGATGTTCAGCCATACATTGCGCTCTGCAAAGGCTTGATCGCAGAGGGCCACAAACCTAAGATCGCCACCCATGCTGAGTTCGAGCCTTGGGTCCGGAAACACGGTATTGACTTTGCTCCAGTCGATGGTGATCCAGCAGAGCTGATGCGGATCTGCGTGGAGAATGGAATGTTTACAGTCTCGTTCCTCAGAGAAGCCTCATTGAAGTTCAGGGGATGGATTGATGATCTCTTGTCATCGGCCTGGAAGAGCTGTCAAGGCAGCGATCTTCTAATTGAGTCTCCAAGTGCCATGGCTGGAATTCACATTGCAGAGGCATTGCGAATCCCTTACTTCCGCGGCTTCACTATGCCGTGGACAAGAACCCGTGCCTACCCGCATGCTTTCGCGGTCCCAGAGAATCGAATGGGCGGAGCGTATAATTACATCACGTACGTCATGTTCGACACTGTCTTCTGGAAAGCCATCGCAGGTCAAGTCAATCGCTGGCGCGCCAACGAGTTGGGCTTGAAGGCTACAACTCTGGACAAAATGCAGCCGAACAAGGTTCCATTCTTGTACAATTACTCACCATCCGTTGTACCTCCACCACTTGACTACCCAGATTGGATTCGTATCACTGGGTACTGGTTTTTGAACGAGGGCTCAGACTGGTCTCCGTCAGCCGAACTATCAGACTTTATCAAACGGGCTCGGGCAGACGACAAGAAGATCGTGTACATTGGATTTGGCTCTATCGTTGTTTCAGACCCTGCTGCCCTGACACGTACGGTCGTTGAATCAGTCCTGAAAGCCGACGTCCGTTGTATCCTTTCCAAGGGCTGGTCCGATAGGCTCGGAGACCCGGCCAGCACCAGAACCGAAATTCCACTGCCTCCAGAGATTCACCAAATCCAGTCTGCACCGCACGATTGGCTATTCTCTCAAATCGATGCTGCAGCACACCATGGTGGCGCAGGAACCACTGGCGCGAGTCTTCGTGCCGGTGTCCCTACCATCATCAAGCCATTCTTCGGAGACCAGTTCTTCTTCGGTGGCCGCGTGGAGGATCTAGGTGTTGGCATATGCATGAAAAAACTGAATGTCAGTGTCTTCTCGCGGGCTCTATGGGAGGCTACACATAGCGAACGCATGATTGTCAAGGCCCGCAATTTGGGCATACAGATTCGTAATGTGAGTTTCCCCCTGTATTCTGCCAAACTGAAACAAGTCGCTAACAAGTCTCTTTATCAGGAGGACGGCGTGGCCACTGCAATCCAGGCCTTGTACCGTGATCTCGAATACGCCAAGACATTGGTGCGACAAAGATCGAGAGCCTCATCCACACCCTTCTCTCCTACCCCCTCGGCCAAGGACTCTCCAGATGGAGGCGATGATGACCTCGATGACATCGAAGAGTGGACCTTCGTTGGCGACGAGGGCGGCATTGATATTTCCAAGCGGATGCGTGATCGAGCCGCTTCAGACGCCGATAACATGACTTCCAGATGTTCTAATGATTTGTTTTGAGTTGATAGATTAGCATCTTTACTCCCTTCACCGGGATTCTGGTATGGCTTCTTTCATTGCTTGTGGTTTTTCTGGCTTCATGAGACATGATTTGCATTTGCTTCTGTTCTTCATATGCATAGGGCGATGCTATGACACCATCAGCTTCAGGTTTACAGTTGATTGTCTTTTTAATATCCAATGGCTTCTCCATCTTTTCATACTTCTCCTATTTGGTATGCTTCTTTAATTTGTTCTGGTTTATTCGAAGTTCTAAAGTTGTACCTGCTCAACGACCTGGCAAAACCAAAACAATAGATCCATATGGAATCGGTTACATTTCTATTTCATGATATATTCATAAAACCCTCTAAGCACCACCAGGGCGCTTCTCGTCGTCTCCCTTTCCTTCAGCCTTGTCTTTACGTCGTTGCACGACATCCCAGTTGTACACACGTGCTGTGGCAACCTCCAAGGTCTGCAATGGCATGAGTTAGCAATATCTCACAAACACTCCAATCATATACTAACCGTAATTTGTTCGCGCAAGAATTCCAAATCCTCTTCACAGTTCTTCAAGCTTAGTTCCGCCCCAGAAAGCTTCTCATCCAACATGCTCTCAGCTTCACCAAGGGGGTACGCCAACATGACATTAGCACCAAGCCAGAGATAAACCTCCTCAGCATCAGCAGGCGAGATCGAAGCCCGCGCGTAAAGTGTATCATTGAGTTCGAAGTTGGTCTCGAGGTCAGCCTCAGTATTCGACTAAGAGAGCATTAGATTATATTCCAAATGGTTTCCGGATCCAATATGCCAAAAAAATGCCGGTCTCAACACCTAGTCAACGGAATCAATTACCTCTTTGCGCAAGACCAAGAATCGCACCATGTCCAGGGTCTTTCTAATATCGGGGATCTTCTCGCGCAGTCCCTGGCCGCGGCGCTGGGCGTTCACCTCCATAAATTGGTACTTGGAGATCATCTCCTGGAATCTGCGGAGTGTGGGCTCGACATCATCGCGCGATGAAACGTAGTCGCTGACATTGTCGATAAATGGTGCGACGGGAATACCGCGCGGGTTGGTTTGTGTTGTTACCGTGCTGGCGGGGTCAGTTGGGTCTTAAAGGAGTAGGGTTCCAAGAGAATGAAAGCCATGTTTTGATATAAACAGATGGAATTCGAATTGACATACCTCTTTGCGTCGGCCATGATTGATGTGAACGAAGATGACGATGTGGGGGAGGAGCTTAACTGCCACTTTTTTTTGGCGCTGCTGTCCGCTCTCTTATCTGAGCAATCGCTCTACTCCGTGCACACCTGGGCATCTCATTCAACCTCAACAGAATGGTCCTCCTGGTTACTACAGATCGCATCCATGTCGCGTTCGAAGCTACATCGATTTCCCAGCGCGAGGAGTTAAATCTACCTCCAGCGCTGGAAGTAAACGGACCAATAGCCCATGATCAACTAATCCGACTCGCAAAACACCTCCAAACCGACACAGAATACAAAGAGCAAAACACCCACACACCCACAATTCTGAGCTCGCTTCTTCACGGCACAAAAGTCTACGTGCCTCCACCACCAAAGAAGCCAGAACCGGTACGTGCCAAACGCCCTAGCTCTATCCGCGCCCGGTTCCATTCCATGGCCACAGTTCTTCTACCCAGAAGCAAAAACAAATTGCACCAAAGCCAGAACTAGTAGCTAACATCCAACTGCAGAGTGCCGAATACCTCGCCTCAAAAGCCCGCCTCATCGCCGCCTCAGAACAGATCTCCTATAACCGCCTTCTAGACCCATCGTATACACCAGCGCCCGAGCACGCAGATCCACATTCATCGCCCTACACAAGCGACGGCTCAGCAGAGGATGACACATTGACTATATCGCTAGTGTCAAGTATCTTCATTTCGGTGCTGGTGACTGGATTCGCGGTATACGGGGCATTGACGAAGTTCTCGGCGCCTGATGTAGTGGCGCAATGGTTTGCGTCAAGTAGGGATGTGTCTGAGATGCAGAGTCAGGGTGCTGGGGAGGCGGTGAGGGTGCTTTTCGCCATATTCTCGGCTATCAGTGTTGCTGTTGCTGAGTCGTTTTTGTACTTTACGTATCTTGGGAAGGTGGAGTCGGCTAAGGCCAAGGAGAGGAAGAAGAAGGAGGAGAAGGTTTTCATTGGGAGGGTTGGGGAGGATGGGGAATTGGATGGTGTTAGGGTTGGTGAGTGTGATGAGATTTGGGGGAAGGGGGTTAATGGTGGTGTTAGGAGGAGGGTTAGGGAGAAGTGGGAGAAGGGGAGGGATGGGATGGGTGAGGAGTTATGAAGTACTGGCTTCTTTTGTTGGTATATGGTTTGGATTGTTTAATTGTTGCAGTATGCAAACTACATGAAAGATGCGATACATGAAAGGGGAATGTATGATCAAAGCTTTTGGTATTATTGGCCTAAAGCTACAACGCGCTATGGCTCTAAACTGTATAGATGCTGTGCAATCAGTCGTTAGTACTCATCAATGAGGGTCCAAACCCTTTCAAGATCAAGATGCAAGGCATTATAATGGAAAATATAGCAGCTTGCTGCCAAATGTCAACTTTCTCCAAGCGAGGACAAAGGAAAAGTATAGAAACAAGAAAAGAAGAGAAGGGTGTATCTCAAACCCGTTTCTCGAGGAGCAGCTTGCCGTGAGGAGACTGGCTAGCGAAGCCTTGGTCCCGACTGTAGATACGCTCACCCCGGAGCCAAGTCTCGCGAACCATACCACGCATGGTACGTCCCTGGTAGGGAGAGCACTTGTTACGGAAGAGCATGGTGCTAGGCTCGACGGTCCACTCGGCAGAATCGTCGAAAACACAAATATCCGCATCGAAGCCAACAACCAGGTCACCCTTGTGCGACTCCAGGCCAACCTGAGCAGCAGTGTTGGCACAGCAGAGACGGACAACATCTTGGAGGGCGTTCTTGGTGTTTTCATCTTCTGGGGCAGAAGTCAGACCCTTGCGACGGCTGAGGTCTGTCCAAAGAATAGGCAAGCCCAATCCAACGGACGAGATGCCTCCCCACGCGGACATGAAGTCGCCGCTCTTTTCCTCCTTGGTACCGGCACAGTGGCCGGGGACGTGAGCGGGGAGCATCTTTAAGTCAGGGGTGCAGGGAGAGTGATCCGAGACGACTGTTTTGATGACACCGTCTCCAGCATGCTTCTCCAGCTCTTCCCAGAGACCGTCCTGGTTCAATTTTGAGCGGATGGGAGGGCAGCACTTGTGGCGAGTGTCGCCGTCGCGCACTTCTTCCGCTGCCAATGACAGGTAGTGGTAGCAGGTCTCGGCTGTGATCTTGACGCCATGAGCGCGGGCTTCCCGCAGCAGGGGAATGGCTTCCATTGCGGAAAGGTGAACAATGTGCAAGGGGAGGTTGGGGGCTAAATGAGCCAGTGAAAGAATGCTTTCCACGGCACAGGTCTCAAAGGCCGAGGGCCTGGAGGCCAGGAAGGTGGCATACGCCTCTAGTGGCCCAGTTGGGGCGGGTGGGTCTGACTGCTGAGCTCCTTCCACCGGTGCGGTGGTTGGAGGCATCATCTCAGCGTGGAACATGAGCGTCGTGGGCTCATCTGCCAGCTCGGCCATGGCCTTCTTGATGTCCTCTGGGGTAACCGCAGGGAACTCGTCGACCTACCACAAATTGTTAATTATACATCAAGCAAAGGATATTTTAAAACACTTACACCGCTGTCGATGAGGAAACCCTTGAAGCCACGGACGCCCTCATTTACGAGGGCCTTCAGCTCACCAGCATTACCGGGAATAATACCACCATAGAAACCGACATCCACCCAGCACTTGCCTTGGGCTGCCTGGATCTTCTCTTTCAATCCGTCCACCGTGGTGGTGGGCGGGATTGCATTGAGGGGCATATCAATAACAGTCGTAACACCGCCAAAGGCAGCGGCCTGGGTGCCAGTGTAGAAACCTTCCCATTCTGTGCGGCCTGGCTCGTTCAAGTGGACATGTGCATCGACCAGGCCTGGTAGTAAGACATGGGGTGAGTAGTCGGTGTATGGGGTATCCGCGGGGAATTCAGCCGCTGGAATCACAGTATCAAAGACGGCTGTGATCTTGCCAGTTGAGCGGGAGATAACGACTGTTGCAGCGGTCAAACGGCCGGAGATGACGGCTCGAGATGAAGCCACCACGGCAATGGAGGGAATATCAGACATCTTAAGGAGAATTGAAGTGGATTTGAAGGTATCGAGAAGTGAGTCGACTCCAAAGGGCCAATGATAAGGGTCTTATCTGGAGGGGAAAGGGAAGATAAGGGAAGTCTGGGGTTGGGAAATATGCCAACGCAAGTATAAATAAGCCACTGGGGCCCCATTCTGTTTTAAATTTCCCACATGTTTCGATTACTCGATCGATTGACCAGTCCAGTCTAGTGGCAACTAACAGCCAACGGAACTCGGAAGACCTCCAGGGCTACAGTACAAAGACTCCATTCAGGCACCGGGTGTTGTCTCCGATAAGAGAATTTGCACCGAACCACGGCCTAGCCACCCAGACCTATCGCTGATTGGCTTCGGAAAATACATAATCCGAACCGAGCCCTACTTTTTTCGTCTTTTTCACATTTTCCGCCAGAGCATCGGCCGCCTCCGATGTGCTGCGGGCATTTCCTGCTTATCAGGCCCCGCTGGTCGATCCCGTTACTCGATCAAAACTGCCATGCATTTGACTCCAATTGCCATGCACTTTCAAACTCCGATAGCGCTGGGCTTGGTCATGTTATACACCTGGGCATGTTCCACCCCATACATCTATCTGGGACCTCAGGGCGGCTAAAGGCGGCTATATCCGCGAACACGAGAACATTAGCCCTAACTGCGGGTGACCATGCTCTCTTACTACCTCCCGTGAAGACTGGCTCGTAGAAAACGTAGTTTTAACCCCATCCTTACGATTGTAGACATGTTCACGAATATTAATTACGCATTCGGGGTCCCCTAATACCTGTGAATGTAGTGCATGCACCTAGTTCCTTCGTATGGATCGTAACTAAATACGACACCGTATCCTATCGCCGGCCTAAGTTACGAGGCAGCTGCTTGCAACCGTCAGCCAAAGGTTTCGGAAACGTACAGGTCCCGTCAGTATCATTTCCTTTCAAGCACTGCTCTAAGTTACCTTCCATCTGATATTCTACGCATTGAATGCAAGGTAAATCTGTCAAAGGTGCATTTATTTCCGTGAGTAAGTACTGGCTTGCTATGTCACCTTCCAGACACTGTCCATTGCAAATAAATTTTCAGATGGAAGCCCAGGTGGGCATGGAAAATGACCAGCAAAATCGTACGAACTGACAGAAGACCAGGTTAAAAAAGAGACGCATGGGCAAAAGATCGCAAGGGTGGAAGGCTCGTAAGTCGTGCAGCATCTGGGATGCGTTGACCCGCAAAAAAACAAGGGAACCGCGGAAACGCAAGAAACGAAGGAAAACATTTGAAAGTTCCTCTAGGAATCATTAACCAGTTCAGCATGAGCTACTCTTCTCGCAGATCCTCGCAAATAGCGGAGAGGTTCTGGAAGAGCAAAGTCCATGAAGCATCTGGTAAGAATGGGCCCCCGAGATACTTCAAATGTTCAAACTGTGAACGCGTGTTCTGTAAGTAACTCCTGTTCAGTTGGGGACGGCAACAACGGTAATTTGAGCTACTCTTCGCCGGAATCCTCACGGATGTTCGGCAGGGGTGTCAACCCAAACTGAGCTGCACGATTGACCCCGATTTCTTCGTGAAATCTGGACCTCATGCGGCTGGTACGCTCAGTTTCCTCGGTAACCGTAGCATCTGAATCAGAGGAACTGTCTGAGCTGTCGGAGTCCTCATCACTCTTTCTCTTTTCGTGAGGCACACCCTCGCTGGCGGTGGTGCCGGCACCTTCCTCGTACCTGACGTGGTTGCTGCCACAGAACGTCTCACGCAGATCCCCAGGGACCCGAGACTCACCATCGTCAACTACCCCCACCACTTTGAACGACTCAGCACCAAGCATCTTCGGATCATCCTTGGGAGATTCTTCATTCTCTTCTGCGTCGGTAAGGTCCATCTCTGTAAATAAACCGTTGACGAAGCCCTCGAGCACTTCGCCCAACGCGGTGTCCAGGGGCTGATCCTCAGAATAGTTCTCATACACATCAAGGCCGAGCATCCCCCGGATGACCTGACCATCAGGATAAGGTTCACCGTCGACGAGAACAACCTGTTCCACCATGGTCGGGATAAGGTACATGACGTTCTGCCAGCTAATAATGTGGGAGATCGAGCTCGAGACTAACCGGGTAATGCGATAGTCTTCGCCGCCCGAGAAGCAGTTCACGCCATGCGTCCCCAGTCCAACCTCACGGGCGCCCAGTTCCTTACTGGAAAGCACGAAGCCACGTCCTCGGTTCTTGAGGAACGAGAGGAATGACTCGGGGTTTCCCAAGTCAGAGACATCAAAGTCGACAGTCACAACCTGCTCTGGGTTGGCCAGCGCGATGGTCGAAATGTGAGGCCGCCAGAATGACCCTACATACAAGGTTAGTTGAGCCTTGGTCCAAGGTTGTATGTCATCAATACTTACAGTTCTGCTTCAGGTACATCACGGCCGCATATCCACCCTCGGACAGGCCAATGACGTCCACCTTGCTGCCCAGCTTCAACTTTGCATACAGCAATCTCTCAAAGATGTGCTGGGTGTGAGTGAACAGAGACTCCTTGATCTGGACGGCGTTGCGAAGAGCAATAGCCCGGGATCTAGCCGCAGCAGATACAAGAGGACGTGCATTAAAGGACTCCATGTTCACAGCCTCATTAAGGCTGTTTTGCCAGATCTGGCTACCAGGGTTTGCCAAGATCAAGGCAGTGTTTTGCTCTGCACCGGACATAGCCCAGGTTGCCAGCTGAAGGACAGAGCCGAATTCGATTCCGTCGTCACAGATATCTCGGTAAGAGAAGACACCCAGGTCTTCAATAAGGTTGCCGATGAGGATAATCACGCGAGAAGCCTCGTGGATGTTGGTGCTCACGAAGATCGGAGCCTGAGGGTCAGGACGAAGTCTATCCAGAGGCAGATACCACATGTTCATGCCCATGTCGAACAACTGCTGGGTGATGATAGCGCGGATGGACCCTGAGAACTTGTAAGTACTGTCCCATCAAGGCCAAGCCCAAGGCTCGACATAGTACGAAGGGGTGACTGACGATGCAAAGCATCCATGTGGACCTGGTTGATACGCTCGTTCTTGTTGACCTTGAAGCGTGGGCCCTGGTCAGGGCTTTTGATGGCCCGAATCTTGTTGGAGGCGGTGATCTCGAACCTGTGTCATCGACGAGGCGTTAGTCTATCGCCATCTCGTACCAGATCGAAGAAGAAAAGAGAAGACCAAACTCACCCGAGCTTCTTCAGATCCTCCGGGAAGAATGCGTCTCCCGGCATTCGTTTGTACTGCTTCATCTTCGGAGGGTCACTCATTGTTGCGGATGATGGGTTGAGATCAAGGAAAAGCGTAAAGTCCTCACTCGAAAATTATCACCGTGTGAGAAGTGAAGGAGGGGAGAGGTGGAAGGGAAAGACGCGGTGTGTTGCGCGTTGGGGAGAGCGCCTGCCCTATCCTCGGGGTTCACGACGACGTGAAGACCTACCTCTGAGACGACAGCCACGCTGTCTGAGCACTATGGGAAGCTGAGTCCCTCCCAGACCACCTGGGCACTTTCCACAATTAAAAGAAAGATGATCTGAGGCTCGATTTACCGAGAAATTCCCGAGTGAAGATTCATTATACGGGAATTCTGCATACATTTGGAGTATAAACAAGAATTCCGACAAGCAAACATATGGCTGATGGTTCGAAGTTATTGGAACAAACATCATCAGGTGGACTGTACAATCGTCCTGATGAGACACAGGAAGGACATTGGGTCCGATCACCCTTGAGTCCGATTGCGGAAACTCTGCTGGCTATAAAAAGCAGAAAGTCTGTTGGTGACTTGACAGAAAAGGGTCCGACATCAGGTGGACTTTGCACGAAGAGTGAGTCCAATGCAACAAAAAAACCATTCCAGAGTGATGCACCAAAAGGCATCAATTGATGCTCCCTGGCGTTTTGGGGGTATTATCTACTCCAAGGGATTCCTTCTTTCACCGTCTGAGATAATTCTTCCTCAACGAGTGCGTTCACTACTCTCCCATGGTGGAGACATGGATATGCGAGTATCAGATGTTGCCCTCACTGAGGATCTCTTTGATTCTTCTGGGATTCTTCCTGCTTCTTCCCAACACGGAAATCTTCCTGCTTGGTCACCAGCTCTAGGCGTTCTTCACAATCCTCTCCAAGACGGGAATGTCTCTGATTCTTCTCTAAATGGGTACTCATACTCATTCTTCACCAAACGGAGATCTTCCTGTTTCTTCTCCAGAAAGGAATCTTCCTACTTCTTCTCAAGACGGGGATCGTCTTGTGTCTAGGTTCTTCCCAGGAGATCCTGTTCCAGGGGGAAAATTTCCCTGATTCTTCTCTAAACGGGGAGTCGTTGTACACCTTATCGGGTCGCGACATGGGTCCGACAGCCTCCCTGTTTCTTCTCTAGGAAGCAATCTTCCTACTTCTTCTCAAGACGGCGATCGTCTTGTTTCTAGGTTCTGACCAGGAGATCCTCTTCCAGGAGGGAAATCTCTCTGATTCTTCTCTAAATGGGGAATCGTCCTTCTGCTTCTCCTAGCGGAGATCTTCTTCTCGGGGCTCTGCATACGGAGTGGCCCCAACAGCATCACTGTTTCTTCTCTAGGAAAATTCTTCCTACTTCTTCTCCAAACGGGGATCATCTTGTTTCTAGGTTCATTCCAAGAGATCCTGTTCTAGGGGGATAATCTTCCTGTTTCTTCTCTAGGAAAATTATTCCTACTTCTTCTCTAAACGGGGATCATCTTGTTTTAGGTTCATTCCAAGAGATCCTGTTCCAGGGGGGATCTTCTTGATTCTTCTCCAAAGGAGAATGTCTCTGATTCATGCGCAAATGATTCAAGCCCAGCAAAACGGCAAGCAACGCGCAAATGAAACAAAACGCACAGATGATTCAATGCTTTGATTTTTCAAGCACAGAAAAATGGCAAGCATTCTCTCAACGAGAACTGTCGGCTCAGTTGACCAGGCATTTTTCGGCGGCTACCATCTCATTCGCCAGTCCAATGATCCATGTACGAAGTAGGTGGAAGTTGAAACCGACGGACTGTCCGTGGATTCCTCCACAGTAAATTCAAACCGGCGAAAGAAGTGATCATTCGATTGCAAATGAGATTGATATTGTACAAGCCTTGCACTCACTGGAAGCGGCCGTGCCGCCGCCATACAAGCAAAGGGACCAACGATCTTGTCATAGATCGGGGTACACATGATTCCACGAATGATTATCACGCTACCACGAAGCCTTTCTCACACCAGGCAGCTCACCAGCAAGCGCCTGCAAACGGAATTGGTACTGGCAGTTGTGTCAGTAGCGTGTACTTCCAGCGAACATTGACCGAGGCGTGACGACTCACTCTGTTCAGCTTGAAATCCCGGAAAACACTGCGGGCAGTTCCTGAAGCCACGCATCTGTTCTTAATCGTGGTGGAGCGGGTGTATGAGTGGGACTCCGCCAGCTCCAGTTGAGCCTGGACCCGGACGCGGGCTGGAAGGGAGGTGTTCCGGACTGCATATCGGAGAGCTTGGCTGAGAGAGCCAGGAACATGTTAGCCGGTGCTTAGTCGGCCCGGTGAAGGGGCTTTTCAAATTGGGAGAATGTTCCTCCCAACGGAGTACACAATGGCTCCTACGGCCACCGTGGACGGGGAATTGTTCGTACCGTTGAACCTCGTATTTCGCGAAAACCTGACGCTTCTTGTCATCGCGGAGGACTCGCGTATTGACAAAGCCGGCAATGTTGACCTTCTTCGGAATCTTGGGGAATTGCATCGACATTGTGGCGTTGAAATGGGGGATGTCGAGATGCGGTCGCAAGTTTGACGATGCGCGAAGGATATGGCGGGCGGCAATGAGAGAGATCGCCAAATCGGGCCTAGCGCTTCGCTCTCCGATAACCCGGGTATCTTGGCAAAGAAGAGTAACCCGACGAACTATGGGCGTTATTCATGCCTGACGCCTGACGCATACTTCTCTTGGTGAATTCGGACGACTATTTCCCGTCGACACCTCCTGAAGAATTTGATTATGCGGAGATCCGATTCATGCACACGAGCTGATCGATTGCATGTTCTACATGAAGTCAATACAGAACCGTGAAGAATCTTGCTACTTGGCAAAGGAAGATGAAGACCCTACGATAATCCTGTTTTTGGTGAATTCGGGGGACTGTTTCCCGTTGACACATTCGCGCAACCCGGTTATGCGGAGATCCGATTGATGCATACGAGCTGACCGGTTGCATGCCGTACATGAAGTCAATACAGAATTATGAAGAATCTTGCCATTTGGCAAAGGAAGGGGAAGACCCTACGATAATCCTCTTTTTGGTGAACTCGGGGGATTGTTTCCCCTTGATACATCCGCGCAACCCGGTTATGCGGAGATCCGATTAATGCACACGAGCTAATCGGTTGCACGTTGTATATGAAGTCAATACAGAACCGTGAAGATTCTTGTCACTTGGCAAAAAAAGAGGAAGACCCGACGATAAACTCTTTTTGGTGAATTCGGGGTGTACCCAGTTGACACGCTCATGGAGAATCTTCTCACTTGGCAAAGAAGAGGTATTATGTTCTTTTTTTCTTCTTCATTTTGGGGGACGTTCTCTGCTCTGACATCCTGGGGAGGAATTCGATTACGAGGCACATGGAGAATCTTCTCACTTGGTAAAGAAGAGGGAACCTTTTCTTGGTGGCCTCTCACCCAGCCCCAGTTCTCTAGCCAGACTCTGCGTCCAGGCCGTCGATGCTGTCCTATCCTTGATGAATTTGGGGGATTGTTCCCTTCTGACATATGGGAAGGAATTCGACTACGAGGCGATGGCGAATCTTCTCATTTGGCAAAGAAGAGGAGGGGAGCTTCTCTTGGTGACCTCTCACCCAGCCGCAGTTCTCCAGCCAGACATTGCATCCTCAGGCTGTCGATGATGTCCTGTCCCTGATGAATTTGGGGGATTGTTCCCTTCTGACATATGGGAAGTACACATTTTGTGTAGCGACAACGATGCCATCATGGTCAAGAGCGAGCTCGTTCCAGACGCCAAGGCTGCCTTAGGAGACAGCACCGAGTTCGACTACGAGGCGATGGAGAATCTTCTCATTTGGCAAAGAAGAGAAGGGGAGCTTCTCTTAGTAACCTCTCACCCAGCCGCAGTTCTCCAGCCAGACATTGCGTCCTCAGGCTGTCGATGATATCCTGTCCCTGATGAATTTGGAGGATTGTTCCCTTCTGACATATGGGAAGTGCACATTTTGTGTGGCGACAACGATGCCATCATGGTCAAGAGCGAGCTCGTTCCAGACGCCAAGGCTGCCTTGGGAGACAGCGCCGAGTTCGACTATGAGGCGATGGAGAATCTTCTCACTTGGCAAAGAAGAGGAGGGAAGCTTGTCTTGGTGACCTCTCACCCAGCTCTAGTTCTCCAGTCAGACTCTGCGTCCTCAGGCCGTCGATACTGTCCTGTCCCTGATGAATTTGGGGGATTGTTCCCCTCTGACACATGGGGAGGAATTCGACTATGAGGCGATGGAGAATCTTCTTAATTGGAAAAGAAGAGAAAAAGGAGATTGCTCGCTTTTGATATGTCCTGCGAGGAATTCGATTACGAGGCTATGGAGCATCTTGTCACTTGGCAAAGAAGAGGAGGGATGTTTTTCTTGGTGAATTTGGGGGACGTTCTTTGCTCTGACATCCTGGAGAGGAATTCGATTACGAGGCCATGGAGAATCTTCTCGCTTGGTAAAGAAGAGAAAAAGGAGATTGCTTGCTTTTGACATGTCCTGTGAGGAATTTGACTACGAGGCCATGGAGAATCTTCTCACTTGGCAAAGAAGAGGTATTATGTTTTTTTCCTTCTATTGTTTTGGGGGACGTTCTTTGCTCTGACATCCTGGGGAGGAGTTTCACCGTCA